TAAAACATATTATTTCATCCCTGAAATAACCACCATGGACAAATGAACTGAAGTCTGTTTTCATGTGTCCATCATCAGATGAACAAAACACAATAAATCTGAATAAATCAGACAGTACAACAAAAACAGCACCATGGAGTCATGTCATATTCACCATTAAGCTATCATCAGTGAAACTCAGCACTTCAATTCAATTCAATTCAATTTTATTTGTGTAGCGCCAATTCATAACAGAAGTTATCTCAGGACACTTTTCAAATAGAGCAGGTCTAGACCGAACTCTTTAAAACATTAATTACAGAGACCCAACAGTACCACCATGAGCAAGCACTTGGCGACAAGGGCAAGGAAAAACTGCCTGTTAAAAGGCAGAAACCTAGGACAGATCCTCCGGCTCTAGGTGGGTGGTCGTCTGTCTCGACCAGTTGGGGTGAGAGAGAGAGAGAGAGAGAGAGAGAGAGAGAGAGAGAGACAGACAGACAGACAGACAGGTGCACAGCAACAACAGTATTGGCAATGGCAATCTAGCAGGACCGTGGCAGGGGGCTCCACCAGGATCGACAAGAACCTGCGAGACGAGAAAGCTACTACACTAGAGACTTTAGGAACCACAAGTAGCCCAGCATTCAGAGAACGTAGTGTTCTAGTGGGGTAATAGGGTACTATGAGCTCTTTAAGATATGAAGGGGCCTGACCATGAAGAGCTTTATAGGTGAGGAGGAGGATTTTAAATTCTATTCTACATTTTACAGGGAGCCAGTGCAGAGAAGCTAGTACAGGAGAGATGTGATCTCTTTTTCTAGTTCCTGTCAGTACTCGTGCTGCAGCGTTCTGAATTAATTGGAGCGTTTTAATGGACTTATTGGGGCAACCTGATAATAAAGAGTTGCAGTAATCCAGCCTTGAAGTAACAAATGCATGGATTAGTTTTTCTGCATCTGTCTGTGATAGTATGTGTCTAATTTTTCTAATATTACGTAAATGAAAGAAGGCAGTCCTAGAGGTCTGCTTTATGTGGGAGTTAAATGATAAATCCTGATCAAAGACAACTCCAAGATTCCTGACAGTGGTGCTAGAGGCCAAGTTAATGCCATCTAGAGTAACTATATCTTTAGACAGTGAGTCTCTAAGGTTTTTGGGGCCAAGAACAAGAATTTCGTTTTTTCTGAGTTTAACAAAATTGCAGGTCATCCAGGATTGTATGTCCTTAAGACATGTTTGTAATTTAGATAATTGATTAATTTCATCGGGCTTGATTGATAGATATAACTGCGTATCATCTGCATAACAGTGAAAGTTAATGGAGTGATTCCTAATAATAAAGGGAGCATATATAAAGTAAATAGTATTGGTCCAAGTACAGAACCTTGTGGAACTCCATGACTAACTGTAGTATTTATTGAAGATTCATCGTTAACATGTACAAACTGCGAGCGATCTGATAAATATGACTTAAACCAGCTTAGTGCGGTTCCTTTAATGCCAATTTGATGCTCAAGTCTCTGTAAAAGAATATTATGGTCAATGGTGTCAAATGCAGCGCTAAGATCTAATAATACAAGTACAGAGACAAGTCCATTGTCAGAAGCAATCAGAAGGTCATTATTAACTTTAACCAGAGCTGTCTCTGTGCTGTGATGAACTCTAAATCCTGATTGAAAATCCTCAAATAAACTATTGTTATGTAGAAAGTCACACAACTCTTTGGCGACTACTTTCTCCAGAATCTTAGAGAGGAAGGGGAGGTTAGAAATCGGTCTATAGTTGGCTAAAACCCCTGGGTCAAGAGTGGGCTTTTTAAGAAGGGGTTTAATTACAGCTACTTTAAAGGACTGTGGTACATGATACTGATAATAAAGAAAGATTAATCATATCCAGTAAAGAAGTGCCAATTAAGGGAACAACTTCTTTAAGCAGCCTAGTTGGGATCGGGTCTAATAGACAGGTTGATGGCTTCCTGATGACTTATACATGCACAGCCAAGAGTTTCACTGACAGTAGCTTAACATTATTAAACAAACAGCAAAGTGGAAGTGCCTAAGTATTTAGTGCTTGAAAACAGTACCGTGTGTGTGTATGTTTAAAAACTGAAACTCGTGTGTCCGGTTAGCTCACTTGGTGGAGCTGGCGACCACGGACAGAGTCCTGCAGCGGCCCAGGGTTTGAATCCGACTTGTGGGTCTTTGCTGTGTGTCATCCCCTCTCTCTACCCCCCTTTCCTGTCTATCTCCAGCTGTCACTGTCGATTAAAGGCAATAAAAGGCCCCAAACTGAAGTCTTTTTGTGCTTTCGGTTGCAACTTGGGAGCTTTTGGGGAGCTTGAAGTTTAAAGTATTTCAGCTTTTTTTGGTTGGAAATGAAGGGAGAGGCAGAGATAGGCAGAAGGTGAGTCAGACTTCTGTGGAATGAGACTAACCAGCTGTGTGTGTGTGTGTGTGTGTGTGTGTGTGTGTGTGTGTGTGTGTGTGTGTGTGTGTGTTGCGATACCGTGGGAGGTTAATATTTAATGTGGAAATATTCCGTTCTCTGGTTCCAGCTCTGATAATAAACTCTGTTCAGTGGCCGATTCCCTGCAGCAGTTTGAGACATCTAATGGTTCTGTGAATGAAGATCTGTGCAGGATGAAAGCAAACAGTGTATAAAATTAGAAACCATGACTGCGGTGTGAGTGTTGGATGACGTGGGCAGCTTTCTGTATCATCGAAAATAAATTTAAAAATAGGATGCATCCCTCTCAAACACACATTTTCAGATATTTTTTTAGAGAATGGTTCAACAATTTTAGAAAAACACTTTTTCACTTGTCTGCATGGTAAATATGATGCTCGAACCAGCTGCCGTTAGCTTAGCTTAGTCCCTGCTGGCCAGAGCAAAGATGCTCTATAGCAAACTGCACCAATGGTATGAAATGGTACACTTCTGTCTCCTAAGTGATTGCCTCTCCCACCTCTCTCCCCACCTCATTTGGAAGTGTTGTGAACATTATGTGGACATATGAAAGCATTCTGTTTTGTGCATACATAATGTTGTAGATAATAACAACTTTCTGAACTGTCCAACAGAGAGGTGTGTTTCCAGGTCTCAAACAAAGTCCCCCTCCAGTCAAAAATCTGTTCTTCTTGTCCCTACAGTGTGCTGTTTGAATGCTGTATGTGCAGAGTGTGACAGTAGAAGGATGTTTTCATATTCATCTGCTGAAAGTGGAAAGTTTCTCTGTGCTCATTGAACATCTGATTTTAAGGGGTCTACCAGCAGGATTTGTGTCAGTCCTGGTCCAGTATGCAACTTGTACAGTATGATGTTGAAAGACATGTCCAGTGCACATCCACTGAGAATGGACTTTACAGTGAAGTAGGAGACATCTTGTGTCCAGCAGGAAAACTTTAAGATGAACAGCATTTGTATATTCAGAGATTTGGGGATTTTTAATGAGGTAGAAGGAGTGGAAGTGTTTTTAAGGATTTTAATGTGGAAATGATATTTGGCAATGATACTAAGCAGAAAAACATATCAGACAGACATTATGGTTCCAAGCAGACTATTTGTATATATGTCTTAATACATGTCTGGAGGGGATCTTTGATTATCTTTTGGTTTGTCTGTCAGAAAAAGGCCATTTTAGTGTCAGCATGTTCAGAAGTAGTATGTGGCTTGTGCAGAATGGGTCCAATATTCACTTTGGTGACTCTTGGGTGAAAGAACCGGTCGTAATCTGTGCTCACATTTACTTCTCCCATTGGAGTGAATAGACCGAGGACCCGCCGCTAATCTCCTAAAGGGACAAGTCAGTCACGTAACACAGGAAATTACTCTTAAGTGAACCATCTCCTTTCTAAACTGTCTCTAGCCAGAGTGAAATACTGTGGAAATGTCATTTTATAAATAGATACAAATTATTTTAACAGTTTCTGTTCAAGTGTTTGTAGATGCAACATTCTTTTTATTTTTTTATTTTATACTTCTGTATCCTAACATGACTGCATGCCTTCACCTCAACTAACTGTTTAGAGGAGCTGCTAAACATAACAGGCCATAGCAAATTAATGGCACAGAAAATAACATGAAATAGTTATTTTATTTACTTTAAATAGTGAAAAAAAAGGACTATATGGGGGAAAGGGACAGTAGTAAGAGTGTGAACATCTACATCTTTTTACGCTGCCTGGAGACTTTGCCTGTAAATGCAGTGTTTTCTTATTTTGTGGAAACAGAATCTCTGTATCCACTTGTGTGCACAGAACAGCAACTGACCCATTATCAGCCTGCGGAGGCAAGGAGATAAAATCAAACTCTTTGCAGAGAAAGTACTGAAAGCTGCTGGTTGTGAGGACAGACAGGATGAACATCTACAGTATCTGACCCATGATGCATCATTAATAACATATTTAATAAAATGCCATAGTGGTAATCAGCCTGTACAAGCTAAGTCTGTATGGTATGGTGAACACTTTTTCTTTTCAGTTTTGTAGTTTTGATGAGTCAGCAGCAGCTGAACTTGTTGCAGGTTGAAATATTCTTGATCAAATGGATCCTATTGTTTATTTTACTGGAATATCTATGGCAGTACTACATCTTTCAGGTTGATTTTTAACCTTTGGACAGAGCCGGTCAAGCTGCTTCTCCGTGATTACAGTCTTTATGCTAAGCTACACTAACCATCTGCTAGTTTCAGCTACATATTTACAGTACAGATATGAGGGTGGTTTGGACCTTTTCAGCCCACTCAGCAAGAAAGCAATTAAACATATTTCCAAAATGTCAAGCTTTTCCTTTTTCAAATTACTGTTTTGCACCAATTGTGGGAATGTTAATATGCTAATGTTAGTACCTGAGCCAAGTCTGTAGAGCTGAGCCTTACAAGCTGCGTCTGTGATGTTCTTAAAGGCCAGCGTACCGATGGAACAGTTTGAGAAATACTAAGGTCATTGGTTTAAATTCCTCCAAATTCCTAAGAAATGTCTGACAATAAACCACACTAACTGTGTGTTTTAACCCCACAGACGCAGTGAGCCGGCATCTCGACCTCACTCGTGGCATTCAACGAAGCTTGGTGAAGGTCGGCAGGAAGTGGACCCAGGAGTGATGGACACTATGAGCAGTGCCTGGCACCACAGCTACCACCCCAGGTCAGTGTTCTATGACAATAAATATCCAGAATTGACCCGGGTTTAGTTCTGCCCACCATTTGTATTCTTTAGATTAATTGTTTGCTAGCCAGTGAGCAGCAGGGTGAACAGGCAGTGGCTGGGTGGGTGCTGTCTTTTAGTAACCTTTGGGCTCTGCGCAGGAAACTCTCCTCACCAATATCACTGGCACTGGGTAGATGGTTACCAATGATTTTCTGGGCGGTTTTAGTCACTCGCTGCAGAGTCTTCCTGTCCTGTCCTTTACACCACATACACCATGTTGTTTGTGTATTGCTATGACAACCTCTTCCATAGAATTCCTGAATATTAACATCAATTATAACGCCCATACATTGTGTTCATGGCAGCTGGACGTCTATGAGAAAAGTCATAATGAACTCTTGTATTTGATAGGGATAGGATTGATTGATAAGATTTTATTGATACCACAACCACTATCAATTCTGCTTATGGATCCCATTCTTTGTCGATTCCCTTATTGATTCCTCAGTTTCAATTTTCTGTGTGAAACACATTATCTCAGAGTCTGAACACAGTGTAGGCACAGTGTAGAGTTACAGTAGTTTGTTTGTGAAATGAAGCCATGCTTTGGATTGTTTCTTCCTTCCTTGTTGTTTCCAGCAGCATAGACACAGTTTGACCTCACTGTTTTGCAATGTGCTACTGTCAGAGAAACATGCGGGCATTGATAAAAGGAACTGATAAGCTCAGTGGGATAGGATTCTGATGGATCAGACAATTTGGAACCAGTTCTCAACTGAAACCAGTTCTCGATTCCCATCCCTGATATTTGATGTCTTGTCTAACTTCAGAAGCTTTGCACAGTACATCCAGGTTTACCTCAAGTAATAGGATTATTAAGCATATTTTTTGCTCTGTAAGATTTCAGCCGTCCACCAGTAAAGGACATTAATCACTGGAGAAGCTTGTGAGTCCTTTATAACAAGACTTCTTCCATGTAGAATGAGTGGACGCTTGTAGATTAGGGGACAATAACACTGTGGTCATAAACGTAATAACACAAGATAAGAAACAGAGCGATCTCTTTTATGATACAACTCAGAATCACGTGAACTTGTCTGTGTGGTCTTCCAGAACTGTCTGAAGAGAAGGTTTGAAACCCGGATTTTAGGTTTACTGCTCTCTGCTATCGCTCAATCGCAAGGTCAAAGTTTGTGCTGTACTTCTCATGTCTCATCTCTTATCTAGGACTAATAGACATTCACTCTTGACATTTAATGTATCCTGCTTCAAGATCTCAGCTCCCAGGTCCACTCAGTTGTTACTTTTCTTGACTTGTAGTTACGGTTGCTATGGTTGTTTATGTTTTTAACAAGCCTTATTTAGTTCTTAATGTAACCCTACCATGTGACAGTAAAAAAATAAAAATAGATCAAACAATCAAAGAAAATTATCTCTGGAGAAAGGATCAGTCATTTACAGCCTCACACAGTTCCTGAGGATTTATAGACAGTTGTGGTTTGACAATGACACCACTCAAACACAGTGCTGAATAAAATACTTTGCCGGCGACCTCAGCCAATCATGGTCACTGTTATATTGCACAAACCAGCTCATTCAGCTTTCATTTAAACTGCCACTGAACATTCACAGTGTGTTTAAAGCTCCAGCAGTGTTTGCTGATACTGGGGCAAGGAATTTGTTCAGGTGACAGAAGGTATAGTGACGGATCAATGTGTGGAGCGGTTAGCTGCTATCTATCTGTTATATGATGTGACCTTTGACTGTCTGTCTGCATAGTGTGTCTCCATTCTGAAGTGTCTAACTGTTACTGTCAGATGTCAGGTTGTTAACCTCAGACTTTCATTTTCTTACATAATGATTTCCAGTCTGTGGTTGATCGCATCCTGACTGTTAATTATTACACACTGAAATATAATGGTTGATTAAAGGACCAGTGTGGAGGATTTAGTGGCATCTAGTGGTAAAGTTGCAGATTGCAACTAACTAAACACCACTCACATCTGTATTTGACGACCAATGAGAAGGGGCTGTGAAATGTGTAGAAGAAAGTACAGTGGCCGTAAAACTCTAAAGCCAGAGTTTGGTTTGCTCCTTCTCGGCTACTGTAGAAACATGGCGATTCAGCATGGCGGACCCCATGTGGAATAAAACAGTTTTAGATTAAAACAGCTCATTCTACGGTAACAAAAACACGATTCACATATTCAGGTGATTATACACTAATGTCCATTTCTGCCAATAGATCCTCCTAAATGTTACATACTGGACATATAAATATAATGATTATTGATTACTGACCAAATGTTCAGGCTCTGTGGCCCCATTGGAAGTTAAACCTGTAACCCAGGGAGTACTTCTGTCCTTGTGAAGACCAGTCAGTTACCTTGAGAGTGAGGACTATTTTAGAGACATTTGTGGACAATGAGAACATTTTGAAAAGTGCAAAACTTTCTAGAAAATGAAGTGAGGAACACCCTGGGAAGTGGGAACATTTTTAGAAAAATGTCCTTCAAAGGGACTGTTTACTAGATTAAGATTGCAGTTAGATTAGGGTTATGTTGGTAATATGTCAGTGAGGACCCTGATAAATGTAAAGAACATGTGTGTTCTGAAGTATCTGCACTGACATGTTGAGCATTTAGTCATCCCAGTTTCACAGACGAGTACACAGATAATTGCCTTGTGTTAGTGTTGTCCTTGTGTTCTATGTGAATCGGAGCTGTTGGTCAGCAGGTTTGTGTCATCAGAGGAAGTTACATCACTGTTTCTTTGAAACCGCAGTGAAGGGCGAATAAAAGCCTCTGACGTGGCCGTGTGTGTGTTGCATGGACGGGGCATTGACGTCGATGCCTGCAGAGACGGGCATTCCTTATGCCCTTCCCCCTCACCTCTGGGTCTCCCATGACAACCCCCCCCCACACACACACACACACACACACACACACGCTCTGGTCGTGTCCTGTTAGTAAATTAGGGGTCTGAATAAGAAACTCTAATAGAAGTGGAATTAAGCAACAGAAGATGGAGACGGAAAGTCAAACAGAGGTGGACCGTACAGCTGACTGAGAGAGAGGGACTCTGAAACAAAAGTTAGACTGAGAGAAGTTACTGACACAGAAACAGAGAAGTACTGACGGACACAGACAGAGACTGTCCTCTTTTCCACAGCAGTAATTGCATTGTGTGCGGTTGAAGGACTTGGTGGGTCAACCTGTGACGTAGACACACGCACACACACATTTACATTCCAGTCAGTTATCTAGAGTGAGGTAACTGCAGCAAATCACCAACTTTACAACCAACGGTCTGAACAAATAAAAGCCCTATCAGTCATAGACCGGGGTTATCTTAATGTTCTGGCAATTTAACACACTGGCCTCATAAACACCCGAGTCCATTTTATGTAAAAGTCACAACAACAGTCTGACAGGCTTGGACACATAACCTTTCTGTAACACTTACTCAGGGCACACGTCTGATATATATAAACGTATTGCACACCTTGTTCAGTTAAAAAATCACTTGTTTATCATTTCTTAGGCCCAACGAAAATAAAGCCAGCTTAATGAACAAGGAACCACTGTGAATGAGCCTGTTTCTAGTTTAATTGTTTCTGGAAGAGAGGAAAAAATAATCAGAGCAGCAATCACGCTTTATTTCATTTATTCCCAACGGCATGAATAGACCAGGAAAACACTTAAACTCCCTGCTCCCCTTCATTGTGCCTTTTTTTGCATGTAAGGATCAACTGTAATCACTTTGCTGATCTCCTGATTTTTCATCAAACTCCATCAAAACGTAAATCTCTCCAGTACTTTGGTTTATGACAAAATGCCAGCAAAACTAATGACATTCCCATCAGCCTCAGCTGTACCTTGTCCTCTTCTTTCTGGATTTGGCAGACTTTAATGGCGTATTGCTGCCCAGCTGTACTGTGTGATTATAAGGACGTGCTAACATGCTAAACTGAGATGGTAAACATAGCAAATTTACTTGCTAATGTCAGCACGTTTGGCATTGTCATTAGGAATTAGTGAGTACACAGTTATTTGTATCTGTTCTAGAGCTTTTATTTTCCACCCAAACCCGACTGGATCTGACATCCGAAACAGCTGCTGTAGGTCGGGCTCAGATTGGGCTCAGACAGAATAAGGTTTACCTCTTTTTTTATATATTTAGATGTATTAATAATGCATGTGACTGTAATTATTGAGAGCATTTGTTTTGATAATAATTTGCACTATATTATATGTAAAACGTAGTTTCCTTTGGCTGGTAAACAATTTTGGCAATTGGGTCCGTCTCTGGCCCGAAATTACTTCTGTGGTTTGGGCTCGGTTCAGGTTTGTCGTTGGGTGCATGTTAGCATGCAACATTAGTGTTTAAATTTACCATGATATGTGATGGTTTAGCCTCATTTCCACTATCAAAGCATGAGTGAGTCTCGTAGATTTGAATTCTCTGTCTTTCAGTGCGTCGACCAACGACCTGTCCGGTGGGTTTGACTCTGGTGGCACCTACCTGAGGAAGAGTCCGGACCAGTACAGCTCGAGGGGCAGTATGGAGAGCCTGGACCCTCCTCTGTCCTCCCAGCATCACTCCGGAGCTCAGCACCACCACCCACTGGGTCACCACACCCACAGCGGATCCCACCCCACCTACTCCTCCTGCCACCAGCTATCCTCTGCCAGGTTCATACACACAAACACCTCCGCCATTACTGTCTGAACGAAGTACAGAGGCAGATTCAGACATAAAGGCCACTGCTAGCTTAGCTTCATCAAAAGAGAACAAAATCCACCTACCCACAGCTGTCTGATTTATATGTTGTATCTTGTTTATTGAAGCTATTTGTTGACCAACAGCTGCTAGGTGCAGTAGCATTTCAGAAGACCATTTCACATAGTAGGTTGCCAGTTCTTACCTCTGTCCTGAATCTCCTGTGCTACAGCGCTAGTGAAACCTAAACTGTGTTGCCCATGTTTGCCAATGTACCCATAAGAAACTAAACGAGAAAGAATGGAAGCAGCATAGGAGCCTTATTGTACTATGAAAATGTAGCCTTCTCATTCATGATGAACCGGTCACTGTGTGTTGACCTTTTGACAGCACCATTATCAAGTACAGTTTGACAAGCCATCTGATAGTGTGTCTTTCACAGCTGTCAATATCTCAATGCCATGAGCTCAAATTTAATCTATTGTTTTTCCAGGTCCTCCAACAGCATCGACCACCTCCACAGCAAACGAGACTCTGCCTACTCTTCCTTCTCCACCAGCTCCAGTATCCCAGAGTACCTTGCCTCCACACCCTCATTCAGCCCAGAGCGCTCCTATTCGCTGGAGACCGTCTCTCAGAGAGGAGGAGGAAGTGGAGAGATGCAGCAGGCTGACATACGTTACGTCCGGACGGTTTACGACACCCAGCAGGGCCTATCTCAAGAGCACGAGCTGAGCTCCAGCTCCGCCACCTTTCTGCGCAACAGCGAGTCCAGAAGCGGGAGTGGGGCAAGGCTAGGCCAAAGCCGAGATCTGCAAAGTAAAGTTTCTGTTTTAGGAATAGTTTTGGGGTAATTGATTTTTAATTAGAGTATTTATGTATTAAATTTTTTCTTTATACTATTGGTTCCACTTTCAGTGGGTGGAGTCTGTTACCGTGGCAGCAGCAGTGGCAGCAGCAGTAGCGGCAGCAGCAGCGGTGGGGTGCCAGCTTCAAACAGACACAGTGTGGGTCCAATATGGGGCCCAGCAGCCAGCCGCAGCTCCTACGAGAGCCTGAAGGGGGCACCAGCTCCACCAAGGCGCAGCGACAGCTATGCAGCCATCAGAAACCACGAAAGACCAAACTCCTGGTCCAGTCTGGAGCACGCCCGGTCACTGCGGTGAGTAGGGTCCATCAACTGGATTTCATCCAATCAAAAGCTCAAAATCCCCTCTTTCAGTCTTCCCTGTGTTTTACTTTACTTTAAACTTCAAGACAAGTAGAAATGAAACTGGGGCTTTCCATCTTTCAAGGTAAATGGGTATGAACTACTTTAAGTAAAACCTGGATACCTCATTATTTAGCGTGCAGCAAGTGTTGCTGATTTATTTTTTTAAAAATAAATATGTAGTCAGAGTTTATAGCATAGCATAGTAAGTAGTAGTATAGTAGTCTATAGTAGATATTCTATGTAAAATATTATATGTTGATAAATACATGGCGGAACAGAGGATTGTGTTGAGGTGTGAGATATAATACCCTAAGATGTGATACATTAGCCTTCAATATTAATATCACTATGATATGCAATCATACAATACGATACAGGACAATATGTAATGCTACAATAAAGTAACAATACAATATGACATGATACCACATGACACCATATGCTACAATACAATAGAAATACACTAGGATATAATACAACACACAATAATAATACATATAGTATGCTACAAAATGCTACTATAAAATACAATTCAATAATAGACAACTTAATGCAGTACATCATAATATAAGTATAGGTAAAATATAAAATTCTACATTTCAATGTGATATAATATGGTGTAATACGGTGTGGTACAATGTAGAACAATGTAACATTTACCAAAACGAAAGCCATATAGTATGTTATGTGATTCAGAACTATTAGATATAAAAGAATGGAGTAAATTTCAGATGTTTTTGTGAAGTATGGTGTACTTTTACTGTGTAAAATGAACTAATCTAATTTGATCTAATCTGATATCTTTTACTCAGGTCTCTGCAGAAAGGTTCCTGGCATCACTCCAGTGGCCCTGTGGCTTCAGTTGCAGGTATATTTTAGTTCTATCTTAATGATTTTACTCATTTTAAGGACTCTAAGCCTAACCAGATCCAGACATACAATAATACTTCAAGTTAGGGTTGAAATGATAAAAAATATATGAAACACTAATAGGCAGTTGAGAGGACTGACATTTCTCTTACAAACACTGTCATCATTACTGTGGTTCCAGCTAAAGGCTCGTACGGCGCTGATGGTCAGCTCCACACAGTGATAGAGAAGAGTCCAGAGAGCAGCCCCACCACAAAGCCCCGGCAGGGTGGAGGCTTTCCCCAGTCCCCTTCCCCTACCGGACCCTCCTCTGGACCTGCAGGCTCCACCTCACAGTCCGGCCGGTTCATTCTGCCCACTGGCCTGTACCCGGTCCCCCAGCCTGAGCCCCACTACGCACAGATACCCAGCGCCAGCCCCGGGCCAGGCTTGTCTGGGGTCTACCCCGCCCTGGCCAAGGAGAGCAGCCGACAGCAGCACCAGGGGCTGCAGGGTGTGGGAGGGAGAGAGGAAGGAGCGACAGAAGGGCGGAGGGATGGAAGAATGTCAGCTACAGAAAATGGATACCAAAATAACACTACTTCTTCATCATACTCATATTCCTCTTCTTCAACATCTGCCTCTACACAGCTCAGGACTCAAGCACACCAGACAGACAGGTGATTTATACTGATACTACAGCTGTGTTTGTAGTGTCTTCACTCTCTACCAAGTGGCTATAAAAAGTTTGTGGCTGTAGTTTGTTGGAATATGTTCCCAAGATGAATATTTTTGCCAAAATATGGCTTAATGCACAAATTCATTGCTAGATGTGTAGCGGTGTCCCAGATGCAAAGCCGGTTATCCTATATTATAACAGACAAAACAAGCAGTTTTGCCTCATTCCTCTCTCTCGGGTTGGGCCAACAGGCTGATACTGTATATCTGATTTTGGCATTACTCTCATTTTGTGCCACGGGGTCCTTATAAATTGTACATATTGGCACTAAATGCTAACTTAGTCTTTGGTTTTTTCAGGCCTCAACAGGAAGAGTCTAAATTCTACAGACCACACCAGAAATCTGCTGGAGGGGTATCGGAAGGCCAGACAGGGCCCACCAGGCAAACCCACCAGGGACGTCACAGTCAGAGCTCCCAAGGGTCCCATGTTCATACAAGCCAGGGACCTCACAGCCAAGAGTTCCAGGACCAGAACCAGGATTTTCCTAATCCCCACATCCAGTTTACTCTTGGACTCAGGCCCTCATCCTCACAAGAGTGGAGGGACCCCTGCACACTCGTTCAGCCAAAGGGAGACAGGAGCAGGTACGTTATAGAGGATTAAATGGTGTAAAGTCCTTACCACATTTCTGAATGTGTCCGCAGCATTTTCAGATTTCAGATTCTGTCTATCACTTTCTGAACCTCCTTTGAGATGCAGTCAGCCGCTCCACAAAAACATCCCAAAAATTGACAGTAAATGAATATGAGTTTTTGTGGCCCATTCAGTAGGCATTGTGAGGCTTTCAGCTGTAAAAAATGCTGATTGATAAGAGCTGTGACACTGTTTAAAAAAGTTCGTAAACTTTTCAAGTAAAAAGGCGTGGACTGGCTGTCCACCTCAAGATGTAGTTGTCGGTCTTTACAGCTTGAGCACTTGGTGTGGAAGTTAGTATGCACACAGGCTGTTCTCAGTGGTCTTAACTATTTTCAGTGCAGCACAGGGTATGTGTCAACATGTCCCTTTTCTTCTTGACAAAATATACAGGAAAAAAAGGAGGGGATGACGTCATTACAAGAATACTTTGAATAAAAAGGGGAAGACACTCTTGGGGAGTTTTTCCTCTTCTCCTTATGGAGTTTGGGCTGTTGTCAGCCTTTAATGACATTGTGATACTGGTTAATACAAGCTCGACATGACCTGACCTGGCAGATCCTTCAGCAAGTCAGAGTCCTTCATAAGTCACTTGTTTCAACAGCCCTTAAGTCCTTTAGCAGGTCAGAATCCTCCAACTGATCAGTTCTTCAACCAGTCAGAGGGCTTTATAAAAGTAGCTTTCTGACAGTGAATAGTTGGTTTGTTTATCTTAGTGTCATCCATTTTCTCCTCCTCCCTCCCTTCAGATCAGTGGACCAGACCAGCGTTCATTCTGAGCCAGTGGCGTCCTCCAGGCTCGCCCAGGGACAAGTGCCAACTGCTCACTTACCTGGTCACCCTCAGCCTCAGGCTTCACCCACCTCCGCCCCTCAGCCTTCCTACCGTCACCTCAGTGACTCAGCAGCTCTGCAGCACCAGCACTGGGACCAGAGAGAGCGGGACAAGGACAGAGAACATCCACTGACACGCCTGGAGATCGCCCTTGCTGAGGTCCAGCGATGCGCCAGCCCAGACAGTGCCAGTAGCCATGGCAACAGTAGCTTTGGTGATGGCAGCAAGGGACCGGCCCGCAGCCTCTCTGTCCTGGAGAAGGTCAGTCGTTTCGAGCGTCGGGAACGCAGCGGAAACCAGCGCAGTCACAGCACCAGCAACGTACACAATAAAGCCATCCATCTGAGGGTAACTCAAAACTCCACCATATTTCCCTGTGATCATTAAACAGAACGTTTTTTGAGAGTCAATGAGGGTCAGTCCCATTTTTATGGATGTTTTGACTGTCTTTTGACTAACCCTAACCCTTCATTTAGAAAATCTTGCTCCTTGTTGGCTCTGATAATGCTTCACTGCTTTGTATTCTGATCTTGAATCAGATGACTGACAAAGGCCGCAGTGCTGCCTGTGGAGCAGATGACCTCAGAAACATGCTGGAGAGAAGCACTAACGGGACCAAAGCCCACAGGACTCTGAGCTACAGAGGAGGCAGCAGCGAACACATGAAATACAGGTAGAGGCTGTGTCCATGGCAGTCCTTTCAGATTGGCTATAGTCAAATTGAGTCACTTTTACTCGACTTTACTCCCTGTCAAAAGCCAGTTAATTTTTCTCTTTGGTGTTCAGGACCCCAGCAGATCCCAGTTCAGCCCTCCAGAGGAGCCGGAGCACCCTCCAGCTAGAAGAATCCAGGGAGGGTGACAGCAGCAAAGACTTCCCCTGGAGACAGGACATTCAAGAGATGCTGGGCTCCATGCAGGACACGTCCTCCAACAGGCCAGAGTCTTCCAACAGGTAAGATTCAATTCAGAGTCCTCTAAGCCTTTCCCTAGGTCCCAGGTCAGTGTCCCGAGTCTCTGTAAGCAATCCTAATGCTGGAAACTTTACTCTAATCAGATCTTACCGGGAGTCTTTGAAAGATGCCCAGTCTAAGGTCCTACGGTCCACTTCCTTCAGACGGAGAGACCTCAGCTCCTCAATCAGCCCTCCTCCTCCTGCAGCTCCTCCTCCCGTCTGCTTGTCCAACAGCCACCAGCCTCCATCCGGCCCTACCAAGCAGCACTCCCTGGAGAAAAAAGGCCCAAAAACCATGCCCAAACCACAGGGCATCCTCATCACGCCACAGTCGCCACCACCGGTAACTTCCCCTCACACCCCGAAAGAGCGGCATGTGGTCAGCCCAGAGATTCGAGGCCCAAGCCCCCCTGCCCTCCCCACTGTCCCTCCTGTTGGACCTCCTGCTTACACACGGATCTGCGGCCGCAAGCGTCTGGCGGCAGACCAGAAGAAACGGTCATACTCAGAGCCAGAGAACATGAACGAGGTCGGGGTTTCGGATGCCGAGACTGCTGCCCTCTTCAGGCGTGGAGGAGGTAAATACAAAACGTACATACAAAAAGCAGCTGCGGCCCTACACCCCTCTCCCCCGGCATAAATTACACTGTACCTGCCCCAAGATCCTCAAATAATCAAGTGAATATTGCGAATGTCACAATGGTGCACTGATCAAAGTTACTTGGGTCACGCAAACAATATATAAAGACTGCAGACTTACACAAAATGTACTAAAAACCTTTTAATAATGCGATAAATGTGTAAGCTTCCACAGGCATACAGATACATTTTTGCACTGTTAGTCACTTAGTTAGTTTCATGCATACTACTATTGACATGAAACCATTTAAATTAAATTTATATGAACGTAAATAAAAAAAAACTGCTAAACATTTGTTTAGTTTGTGAAACTCATAGTTTCATAGCTGAAAAAGCTTCCTGTTATGTGAAGCAGAAACTACCTTTAAAATGAAAGGAACAAACTTTGCTGTTTAAAAAGCTAATTTTGGATGACCCTCAAGCATTTGGTTTAAAAGCAAAAAATTACTTTGAAAAGCTGATTGTGCTCTGCTTGGCCTGCGAGAGCTGATATCACCAGCAGGCTAGCTATAGTGTTATAGCTCAATGTTCACGAAAGCTTCATTTTGTGGAGTCAGACTGGACATAAAACCTGAATACTTTATGTGTACAACCAAATGCTTGTTAGCTAGCATCAAATTCTAGGTGAGATTTACCTCTTTACGGAGGATCTATGGGCAGAAATTAAATATAATAGATATTTATATCAGATATGTTTTCATTAGTGTATAATCTCCTGAAAATAAGAACTGTTGTGTTATTGTTGCCTTAGAATGAACCGTTTTTATCTGCAGAGAGAGCGTGTCCTCTTCTACGGAGGCCTCCATATTGAACCGCCATGTTTCTATAGTAGTCCAGGACGCCTCGAACCTAACACTGGCTCTAGATTGTTTCACAGGCGCTATTGTTTCTCCTACACTCTTTTAAGGCAAGCAGCATTCAGTTGGTTGCAATCTGCAACTTCACCACGAGATGTCACTGAAACCTACACACTGGTCCTTTTAAATAATACTTTTATTTCTGAAAAGCTTGAGAAGCTTGGCTTATATTGTCAAACAAAGTCTAGTATTATATATAATAAGAATAAGTAGTTTATAAGTTATCCAAAAGATATGAAGTTAAGGTCTTGCAACGGTACTGAAAGAATATCAAAGCATGATCTGAGGAAAACAAAGGCATTTTAATAAATGTGATAGAAGCTTTCGCATCACACAAACATCTAGGAATATTAACAGTTCTGGTTGCTGAGCATCGGCCTGCCAGGAATGTCAGTGTTGGGTATCTTTTATGGCACATTAATAACATCTATATATGGCTAACCGCGGGCTTTGACCTTGATCTCCCTGTCTGTCAGAGACCAGCGTGGCAGACCGGCGGAAGATGTTTGAGCTTGCGGCAACCCGTGTCGGGGACAGGGCTCTGCAAAACGCCACGTCAAGGCCCGATTTACGGCAGCTTCAGCATGACGCTTTGGCCGAGTATGTGGAGAGGAAGAGAGGAGGGAAAAAAGACGAGGGAGGACAGAGAAGCGGATCTAGGCCTCGCAGTGCCTATCTACAGCCTGAAAACAGCAACCATACAGGTGGGTGGAGGGAGGAAGGGAAGACAAAGGGTGAGTGAGTGGTGTCTGAATTGAATGGTTTGATAAATGACGGATCAATGATAGGCAAAGGAAATATTGAATTGATAGACCAAGAGTGGAACAGACGGATTAATCATGTCCTTGGTCTTCTCTGTCCCTCCTTCTCTCCAGTCTCCTACTGTCACTCAGACACCCGCAGCCTCTCCTCCACCTCCAGCCTGCTCTCCCTCCAGGACTCTGGAACAGATCGTCTCTGCTCCACCCTCCCTCCTGGAGCCGACCTGCGGAGCCTCCAGTCCAACCTCTTTTACCCAGGCAGGGTGACCACTCCGAGGCCCCCGGTGCTTTCACAGCTGAGGTGACCAAGACTGGACACGCTAACGCTGGTTTTTAGCCATGCTAGCAGTGTAGCTTTAGAGCCGGCAGTGTCTGTCTCTCAGTCCAATATGTCAACAACATGGACATTAGACACTTTTGGTCCTAATGAATGACAGCTCAGTTTACACTTTGAGTGAAATGTATGCACAACTTTTGGATGGATTGCATTTTAATATATTTAATAATTAATGTGTTATTACATTATTATTACACTTTCCTAATTCCTCTTCTTGGATTCTACTCCCAGTGCTCCTTCCGGCTTCCATTCTGAGCTCCAGGCCCAGATCCTCCCAGATCTCCCCCCTGAAGCTGGGCTCAGCAGACAGAGTCGGTCTTTCAGCAGAGACCCGGGTCAGGGCCACCAGCAGCTGGCCACAGAGCCTGAGCTCAACCTGGGACTGTCCAAGCAGCTCAACGGCGCTCTGCAGAGGGCCGGGTCAGCTCGGGGTTCTGGGAAGTCGGCTTCTGCTGAGGATCTCCTGGAGAGATCTGAGGAGAGACAAATGACTCCTCAACACTCCCGCTCCCGCTCCTCTCCCACGGGAGAGAAACTGAACCAGGTAACGCAGCATTCCACCAAGAGCTCACATTTTAGTCCTCTCTCTAAGTATTATTTAAAATCACTGCACAGTGTCTTGGTGCCTTGTAAATCTTCAAAGTTGTCAGCAACTAAACAAGTTTAGTTTTGTTGAAATCAAGGTGTGATCCTATTTACCTGGGCTCCTAACCTCTGTTCACACGTACACTCTTCAACAGTATTCAATAGTGAATTTACAGGTGTGTGCTTCCTAAAACTCAAAAGTTTCCCAGGGTGCACCATATATTATGCTATTATGTAACCACTTATCTTATACATTTTATTTTTTACTTTTTTTGCCGTCCACTTTGGTCCAAAATGTAATATGTCAACAACTTGGATGGATTGCAACCAAATCTCATATTCACATCCCTTTTGGCGTTACCATTTATTTGACGACATCCAGCCATTAATGGACATTTGGCCCTGAGTCACACAGGAAATACCCAGAATCCTCAATGTTTCCTGTGAGGTGCCGGAGAGCCGGGGACGGCGGCTGGGCGCTGTCCGATGTGGGCGATGGCAAAGATAACGCTCACACGTATGCATATATACACACATCTGCAGTTGGTAAAGGAATGCAGTAAAGGATGAATTTCTCTTCTATCTCCTTCAGTGATCAGAGCGGCCCACATTACATAAACATCATTACAGTTCAGTCAGACAAACAGACACTGTGCTCTCTCTTTGAACAATAGTTCTCACTGCAGGGTGGTGCAGGCTTTTACAGTGCTGGATTTTATTTATCTGAGCAGATGACAAAGAATTTGAAATGTCTTTGAAGGCACCAGCGAGGACAATTTTCTGCATAAAAGTACAACTTTCTTTTCTTTTTATACACTTCATTGATGGGGGGGGGAGTTTCTTTTTAATGTAAATCTAGAGTTGTTTTCTTGGAAAATCAAAAAAGCACACCTGCTGACAACTAAGATAGGATGATCAATGGATGAATGAAAAAAGCAATGGATTTGTGCTTAGATCAGCTTATAAAATTCCACTGTGAACATTAATGGGTTAATCAGAGGCTCTCACCCTGACATTTTAAAGTCTCTGTTGGAGAGTTCTGACTCAGTTCAGTGGGGAAGCAGCAGACCTCAGGCCTGTGCTGTGTGTGTTTTTATTGTGTGATAAGGTCAGACATGTGATTGCTGATGCCACAGCCTGGATTCATCTTTTGAAATGGGTCAGAGACAGAAACACATATAGAGTCCAGGAAGTCACTGCACCCAGCCAAGAAATAGTTTGTAACTCCCCTTAAAAACACAACTTGTTATTTTGTCAATTTGTAGCACAAACATATTTCATAAAGCATCTTGTGTTACCTAGATTATCAAATACCTTTTTTAAAGGGGAGCTAAGTAGGAGAAAAAGTGGAGACATTACAGATGATTTTGTTGATTTGTGGTTCATTTGTAGTAACTATCACATTATTGATGCACTCAAATTTAGATGATAAAAAGTCAAATTCCTGTTCACCAAGTCATATTATTGTGTTGTAGTAGACAAAATGTATATTTTTAAAAGGCATACTGTAAATTATCAGCATGCTGGGACAGATTCAGGTCAGACTGTTGGACAATCATCCATCTGGACCTGGGGATTGTGTCACAATAAAATAAGATCAAACTGATCCCCAGGTGGGAGATTAACAGAATAAATAATAATCTGAGATATGAATACCATATGACTCTATAGGGAGAGGACAAACAAAGAATTCACTTCCTAAAACAGCCTCAGTGTCTAAACTTTGTCTGTGTGTGTTTTAGGACTTCCCTCCAGGTGACATCAAGATGTACGGTGTCTTCATCTCTCAGTCGGGACGCCACTCTCTGGCCGAGGACAGGTATGTCACATCTGCATTCGGACCATGTGACCAAACAGCTGATGGCTGATGGCAAAGCTAATAACCTCCTCCGTCCGATGATTCGTTCGTGTTTCATTTTTGATGTCAGACTGCTGTTTGTTTCCTGCTGGAGAACTGAGGGATCATGGGAATTCAGATCATTTCTCCGATATATTAGACCTCTTCCATAATAGGCTGTTAACAGTCAGCCTGTGTGTGTGTGTGTGTGTGTGTGTGTGTGTGTGCGTGCTTTAGGCTCTTGCTATTTTAAAACCAACTTTGGCCTTATGAGTCCATGTGCCCTGCTGCTGGCACTACAGAGAGAGAGAGGGAGAACAGGAAGTAAGGACAAGGAAGTTGAGGGAAAGAAGGAGGAGGACAGACAGAGGAGTAGAGAAGAGAGATAAAAAGGTGGAGGAGAAGGAAAAGAAGAGGGAGTTTAGGCAGAGGAGAGGAGATGTGGGATGGATAAAGTGAGGCGGAATGAGGGAGGAGGTGAGGGGAAAGGAGATAAGGTGGGAGAACAAGAAGCGACTGAATGTAGAAGGTGAAACAACACAGGAAAAGGAGGGAGGGAATGAAGACAAGGATGCAAGAAAAGATAACAGAAGAAGGAGTTGAGGGGAAGAAAGAAGAACGGAGAGGTGAAAGAAGAGGGGAGTTTTAAGAAGAAGGGCTGAAGAGGGCAGGTGAAAGGAAGGAGTTGTAAGTGGAAAGAGGTGAAAAAAATATATATTGGGAGAGGAGAAGGGAGGAGAGGTTAAAAGGTGGAGGACAAGGGGGGAGGAGAAGAAGGCAGGTAACAAGGAAGGAGAGGGGGAGAAAGGAGGAGGTGAAGGATGAACAATTGTGGAGAGATAAAGCTGAGGAGAGAAAGGTGAGACGTAAAGAGGGTGGGATAAGGGAGAAGGTGAAAGGGAACAGGAAGGAATAGGAGGAGAGGTGAAACAACTGAGGAAGAGGAAACAAAATGTGAGAAGGTGAACATAGGAGAGAGCAGAGGAAGGAGGGAGAGGTGAAAGGAGAGGAAAAGATGGTTTCGCAGCTTTCGTGAAATAACTTCAGTTTAGTTTTCAAAGATTGACTTCTTTATTTTTCTTCTTCAAATAGTCTGAAATTAAATTCCAGGCAGCTTTACAACAGACTCTCTGGAAGCTCCTGGGCAGGAAGGAGGGAGGAGTGAAATGAGGAGACTCGGCAGTTAGAGATAGGGTGCGAGCTGATGGAGAGGAGAGGAGACTATGGGGTCAAGGGTGCAAATGGCAGGTAAGAAAGGAGAAGTTACTGTAAGAGGAGCGAAAGTGTCCAGAAGAGGTTAACGGGAGGAGGGGTGGAGGAGAGGAGTTAAAGGAGGAAGGGACTGAGGAATTAAGGATGCAGATAAAAACTCCCTGGCACAGAGACAGAAAAATAAACAAAATACCAACTCCAGTCCTCTGGGATTTATTAGCTTAAAACTCTTAAATATGCTCTCATAATGTGAAGGTCGGAGGTCACTCCAGGAATTCTGTGTGTGTGTGTGTGTGTGTGTGTGTGTGTGTGTGCGCGTGTGTGTGTGTGTGTGTGTGTGTGTTCGCGTGTGTGTGTGTGTATGATTACACAGATCTTTCTGGTGTCTGCAGGAACATGATTGAACACTGCATTAGCTCATAAGATTAAACATGTTAACAGTTACTTTGAGGAAAAGGTTAATGACAGTTCTAATGCAGAACATACTGAAACATACTGTTTACTACATATAACATGTACTTTGTATTTCTGTTGTCACTTCATCCATCAGTTTTTAGATAGTTTTCCTTCCTTCCAGGCAGGCTAAAGTCCAGTGTTAGTGTCCCCTAGAGGCAGCAGTGTTATTACAGCCACAATATGAAAGAGTTGGACAGGACAGTGTGTCAATCTGAAAAGTGACCATATTACTATAGTTAAAGGAATATCTCTCGCACTAACAGCCAATGTTGTAGTGGTGCCTGAATAAGTGGGTATGCTCTTGAGTTATGCCCCATATATTTCTTTTTAAAGAGGCCCGTCCAGCATAGGATAAACATTCTACCCTTGCATATTTAGTTCACCCAAAAATGGACCCGTAGTATTTGCACATTATCATGTCACATTGTCAAGAGGTGCAGGTTTTACAGTCAATGCTGGCCCACAGACGGGTGAGACCGCTACATAAAACGATCCATTTTGAGTCTATTCCCTACTCAGCCTAGGAACAAAAAGCTTGCAAAACACTACTGGACGATGCAGAATAGAGTTAGAAGTGGGTATGGAGAAAAATGAGTGGGTGTACTCATAACTGAATGATATAATTATCTCCCTCTCTTTAATTCTGTCTCTTAGACCGGCAGGCATCCAGGCATCAGGGGGTCTCGTCTCTCCTCAACACTCCCAGAAAAGTCTGAACGCCGTCCAGTCTGCAGGATCTTCACAAGGTGAGCAAACTAAAACAAACAGGATGTTCATGAAAACAAATAGTTATCTAACCTATGCCCCCCCCCCCCCCATTAGCCTTGTGAAAGAAAGCATGTGCAGACTGCTGAAAGGTCCCGTGTGTAACATTTAACATGTAACATCTATGGGCATAAATGGAATATAATATTCATAAGTATGTTTTCATTAGTGTATAGCGTCCTTAGAATGAGCCCTGACGCCCCAGGACTTCCATGGAGTCCGCCATGTTGAACCACTATGTTTCTACATACGGTATATAGAATAAGCAATAAACACTGTAAAACATAATAATAAATAATAAATACAATAAATAAGAATCATGAATAAAAGGTTTTAAAAAAAAGATCACAGGAAGGCAAGAAAGTGTATTTTAAGAAGACTCTGTTTATCCCTGTCACCAAGGATACTCTTGCGTAGTAATAGAACATGAGTGCACAAATGTCCCCTTTGAATTCCCTATCTGACTCTTCCTTGTGTTCTGATCGTAGACCCGGGCTCCTCCCACACCCCCGTCGCTCGTAGGGAGCGGCAGAGGACGAGCGAGCGGCAGCGAGCCAACAGCACCTCCACCTTGGCGGCCTCTGTTGGCCTGCCCTGCCCCTTCTCCCCATCTGGCTCTCAGGACGGAGGCAGCACTGAGTGGCATGCTAGCGAGACGCTGAGCCAAGCTAACTTGGACGCCATCACCTTCCCAGGCATCCCGCAAACCGGCACAGGTGAGGACGTCAACGCCACCGGCTACAGTGAAACCCTGGTGACGGACAGACAGACGAGACACAGCATGAGTGACGCCAGCATATTAGAAGACACTGCAAAGGACATGTATAGAGGGAGAGCCTTCAGTTTAGAGATGAAAGGAGAACACTTGGCAGAAAACGGCCAAAGAGTTTCACCAGTGACGCCAACCCCCCTGCCCCATTTCCAGCCTGCAGCCCCACCTAACAGGAAAGACAGCGGGAGCACCGTGTCATCTCCTCCCTCATCCTCCCATCCGTCCATCCACCAGCACCTGTCCTCACTGCGGATCTCTGAGTCCAGCCTCTGCAGCTCCATCTACCAGCAGCAACCACTAGAAACAGGCGTATCACAGGAGGACTTTGACGAGGTCTTCCTCCAAGATCCTCCCCCTCCATCGCCTCCTCCCGCAATCAAAGAGACAAGCATCATGGAGGACTTCCCTCCCCCTCCTCCTCCCCTGGAGTTAGAGGAGGAAGCTGGACACCAGACTGTGGGAAGGTTTGTTGTACAATATGTTTCTTTATGTAATTAAAGTATTATCATTGTGGACTTTTAACAACTCCATCATTCCCACCAGGATGTCATCCATCCACTCCCCTCCAATGTCCCCGTCCTCCGTCTTTTCTCCGCCTGTGTCCAGCCTTCCTTTCACGAAGCCACAGGCCTCTACCATCACCTCCATCTCCGCATCCCCCACAACCGAGGACAGTCTAGGTCTTGAGTACCAGCCCCTGCCCAAGAGGGAAAAGACATCTGAGGAGCTGCGAGTGGAGGCACTGGCCATGCAGCTGGTGGGTACCTGGAGTCAGCAGGTCCCTTTAATAAGTTCTGACTCTACTGTGGTCAGTATCTCTTTGTAATTCTGTATGTGCCTTCATTTTTGTACCTAGTTCCATCTCTTATCTTTGCCATATTGTGTAGTCCAGACTATAGTTCAGCCATAATTGTCATACCTGGTTCTGACTTTAAGGTTGTCATTCTACTGAGTTCTGACTAGTTCCGACTCTGTCTTTGCCATCGTCCTTTGTTGTAGTACTGAGTTCTGACTGTCTTTCTCCTGGTACCCAGTTCTAACTTAAATGTACTCCGCTTTTCCACTGCATGGTATGGCTTGACTCCACTCTGCTTTTTTGGGTTTTCCATTATGGACAGTGCCTGGCACTTGGTACCACCTAGCTCGAGGTTCCACACAAGCTGAGCTGATACTAAAAGGTGACTTGAAAACTCTGCAGACCACTGATTGGTCCTGCACAAACCAAGCTACCATCAATAGTGATCACAATGTTTTTATTCACTCAAAAATGTTGAGTGAATGGCAGTAAAAAAACTAACTTTTTTTATTAGAACTTTTAAAGACAGCAGTCATCTTTATAATCGTTCAAGCTAAATAAGCTAAGGTAAATGGACAGTGTAAAGCTGAAGTAGAACTCCTGTGTGTTGTCTCACAACTGCTCCGCCTACACTGAGGGGTGTACTATCCAAAGTACTATCTACAGTGGAAAACCAAGTACTGGGACCAAAAGTGTAGAGTCGAGCTGTACCATGGAGTGGAAATACGGCTTTAGTCGACAACAAGTCAGCGTGAACATAGTTTGATTCTCCCTTTTTCTTTGTATACAGGTGTTGCAGGACAGCTCTCTGGCGCCCCTCTTGGACACATGGAGGGGTAAATCCACAGTAGAGCTCATGGAGGAGATCTTTCCAAACAGCAGATTGGGTGGTAAATCACCATGGCAGCGCAGGGGCAGTAGCCGATTGGCAGACAGGTAATTCTGACATCACGTGTTTTGCCTGTGAACATTCACATTTTTAGTCATATTTTGAATACTCCAACAAGGTCCCCACATGTCCTGGAACAGCTGGAAATTTAGAGACAACTTGGACATAGATTAAAATGACCAAATATCCTGGAAATAATCCATGTTGTCCTAGGTATTACTACACGTTGTTTCAAGTCAGGGAATCCCAGTGGAAATGGTGTGGACGGTCATATCTACATGTGTACAGCCTTTTAATAATCAAACTTGTTGTGGTTGACAAATACATGCACAGCGATTCATTTTCTGTAAAATAAAGTAAATTCTACTTATTATATACAGCGGTAAACTGTAGTCAATTCATCAGAGACCGCTCTACTGAGACCACCGCTGTGGTGAAAACAGCCATGAACCCCTTAGAAGCAAGCTAACGTGGCATGAAAGGTTCTGGAAAATGCTGAAACCCTGACCAAGACACTGAGTTTTAGTGTCAACAAAACTTTCTTCCTTTCTTTTTTGTGAATATTTTTATTTATTTCCCTGCAAAAATAAACATTAAGTTGGAAGTTTAGTCGGCCTTTTCAATAAAATACACTTTGTGCTTGAGGTTTAACCGTGCTTAACCAACACTGAAATGCATTCATCACAGACAGATGTAGTTCAAAACTGGAGGAGGATCACTGTGCATTTCCTTTAAAGTACTTTATGTAACACAAGGATAAAGACCTTCATGTTGAGTGTGTTTATTTAGCCATGAGACCAAAACTGCAGAAATGAACTTATGTAACTGAAGGACTAGACGAGACATTGGGGGGGACTTCCTGTAAACCAGCATTTGTCATTCTTGTTGTGTTTGCTGACAGCCTCCCTCTCCTATCTGCTGACACAGAGAAGAAACATGACAAACCTCTGCTGGCTCTGCATGCTGTGGCCTTTACTCACTGACATCTTTAATGTGTTTGGGTTTCTTGGTGAACTTGATGTTCAGGGAAGAAATGTTTCCCCACTGAAATTAAGACAAACAACCATTCATTTAAAGGCATCATTGCTCTGTTAAGAGTCGCAGGAAGGTTGTGAATTTGCTCTGACCTTGGTGATATGTATCCTGCAGCTACACACTCTCTGTAATGCCGCATTCATGTGCAAGTTTTTCTTCAAGTTCTGAAGTTGGAAAAGTGAGTTGCGTTTTCCAAAACATTCAGTCAGTAAATCAAATATATTTTTGGCTCAGAAAATAAAATCAGACATGGAGATGATATGATATATAGTTTCGTAGCACCGAGCACTCGGGTTCAACCACCTTGAAGGAAGATAACGTCCTGTGGCTCTCCTGGTGGAGCTGGCCCCCTGTGTGCAGAGGCTGGGTCCTTGCTGCAGCTGCCATGGGTTGGATGCTGCGTGTCATCGCCACATCTGTCTCCCGCCATTTACTGTCTCATAAAAAGGCATTTACTGTCTCATAAAAAGGCATTTACTGTCTCATAAAAAGGCATAAAAAAACCCAAAATACATAACACATATTAAAAAAAAGGAAGACAACGTTCCCATTCTTAATCCCACCTGCAAAGCTCTAACTGGTCCGGCCTGGGAAACTGTCATTGATGGTCTGTTTGAATTGCTGGAGGCCTGGAACCAGGCTAGCAAGTCAGACAGTGTGGGCATTGCCAGCCAGGACAGGAAGGACCAGACAAACCTGATCAATGTTTCTCAACACTCAGCAGAGTCCAACCACGGCGACTGCTGGATCATAGAATAACTGTAGATTCATTAAAAGCAAAATGACTGATCTGTAAGACTCACTGCTATCAACGTTAACCATTCATTAAGGATCAATGTCTGCTCGTCTGGAAGGTTGACGTCTTGTAGAATTGACAGATAACTTCCTGCAGCCTTAACAGCTGAACAATACTGCGGCCTAGTGGCCAGTGTTGGTACAACAGAATGGACTTGACCAGTAAAATACAGCATCAAAGTGAGCTTTTATCGTGAACCTCTTACGATGGAAGCTTTGTTTTTATTATTTCAGGTATTCCTTTTCCTATTTCCAGTTTGTCACTTCTGTTGCTTGCTATATCTTTATATCTTGTTTCTTTCCATCAACAGCAGCAATGCAACGTTTTAATGAATATAACCCGAGAATGACAGAGGAAATGGCACATAGAAATTTCCGTTTTTAAATAGTGTTGTTTCCTCCCTAGGATCCAAGATGCTGTCTGTGATCCTGCTCAGAGCACGGCAACGGATCGAGGGAAGGAGACCGATCTGGATGAGGATGAGAAAGACCTAAACACCAAGAAGGTAGAAAAAATGATTTCTTAAAACTTTACTCCAACCAAACCAACAATTTGAAAACAACAGCGTTGTACAGAAGAGTTTGTAGTGTTTTAGACAGCTATTTGGACAATAAGTCATGTTCTGCCACTGCCCTGAAACACTGAGTGTTCTTGTGTGTCTCGCCCTGTTTCCAGCTGGAGCTGTGTGAGGCGCTGAGGCACAGCGTGGCGGCTCTGCGGCAGGAGAAGGAAGCGTTGTGCGAGGAGCAGAGACGTCACCAGGCACTGGGGGCGAGCATCGAAGCACTGGTGCAGGAACGCCTCAAAACCAACGAGAGGGACAAGTACAGCGTGTTCATCGGTACGACACCTGACTGAATGTCACTGTACAAACAATATAACTATTATTGTAGAGGTATTCAGAGACTACAGCTCCCATCAGGCCTTGGTGAGAAGAAACTCAAAAATTTAGAAAAACTCAGAGATTGGTTGTGTTTGCAGGAGACCTTGAGAAGATCGTGAACCTGCTGCTGTCTCTGTGCAGCCGGATGTCGAGGATCGACAGATCTCTGCTCGCTCTGGAGAGAGAGGAGCTGACGCAGGAGGAGATAGCGGAGGAGAGGGTGAGACAGGACTCACTGTCAATCCAGCTTTATTTGTACAGCACCTTTCATACAGTTGCAGAGCAGTTCAAAGTGCTTCAGTTCACTGACAAGATAAGAATAGGACATAATGAAAAATTAAATAAGGTTGATTTAAAAATGATAATGATTACAATAAAATGTATATTTTACAGTATAACAATAGTACCAGGGGGAGGTCCAAGGGAATTTATTTTTGCGAGTTTTCAAACCTATGATTAAAATTTTGGTTTGTCCAAGTCGTGTGTCATGTCCGTAATATATAAAGTAGCACATACACATACAGAGGTCTTAGTGAAGTCTGAGAGCATTCTGGGCCTAATTTAAGAGGTTCTAGATACTCACATACCATGGAGGGCCGCATACAGAGGGAGTGATCTCAAACTGCTGAGAAGATAATGAGACGGTTAATGTTTGTCTCTTCATTCATAAACATAATAAAAGAATCACTGTGTTGAGGCTTTTTCATGAACTCACAGATCAAAGATTAACTTTCACACAGTTGCTTTGTCATCACTGATGTCAGATAATCTGATAATCACATGTTAATGAAATGCATTATTCATAAAGCTCTCAATCATGTATAACTAATTGCATAATAAGAATGATTGAATATTTGTGTAGGTGTTTTATTTAGAATGATGGTCTGTGTAAACTGATAAATATGTGGTCTCCTCCCCTTCAGGACTCCCTCCATCACAAGCGCTCTCTGCTCCTCAGTCAAACTGAAGACGCTCGGGAGCTGAAGGAGAACTTGGACCGGCGGCAGCGAGTGGTCCACGGCATCCTGTCCAGCTACCTTGCCGAACCGCAGCTCCAGGACTACCGCCGCTTTGTCAGCGCCAAACCCTCCCTTCTGATTCGCCAGCGGCAACTCGACGACCTCATACGGCAGGGGGAGGAGCAGCTGACACGACTGGCCGAGAGCCTACCACAGGAGCTGGTGGAGGCTCGCGGTTGGTCGAGAGCGTGTCCGTTCTCATCATCGAGCCCCGCCCCTTGCTCTTCTCCTTTCCCGCCGCTGCTACCCCCCTCTGTGGCTCCAGGCCCCGTCCACTCAGTCAGGTCCACCACTGTGACGTCACTGTGATGTCACAGACAAGGCTGCTATTACAAGTGGCAGTGAATGCTGGGAAATGAAGGAGAGACTCCCTAAAAACTCACTCTGAGCTCGAGTGGTGCTCCCGATGAAGGAGCTTTACATGAAGTAAGGAACAGGCGCTCACTCTACTATGCAGACTTCACACATGAAGAAGAAACGCCTTTAATGAGCCTTGTTCACACCCGACTGTGCGTTACAGTTCACCTCGACATCAGCCACCAGCGCTGTGTGGACTCAACTGCTGCCAACATCTCTAACTATCCTCTGAAAGGTGATTTTAAGGGTTGGAAGTTCATCGTCAAACGCTTCAAAGGACAATTCCAGCGTTGCAGGTAGTTGACAGGTGATTGGATGGACCATCTGTCTATCACTGTCTATCACGGGCAAACTGAAGCCGTTCTTTGTCTTCTTTCAATGAAGAAATGCTCTCCATATATAACTGATGCTAGCAGCATCTATGCTAACCTTTAGCAGCTGTCATAGTGGTTTAACAAACAGTGTATTCTCGCTGCATCACACCTAGCACCCACTGCCTGTAGCGGCCAGTACTTCCTGAAAGGACGCTGCTGATTGACCGGCCACAAACCCATAGATTGAATCTTGGCAAGATGGATTCCCATAAGTCCAGCTCCATCGCACGGTAACTCCTCAGTGGCAGCGACGGCCCAACATGTGATCTCTTCAGCTGAAGGAGCACTGGCCATAATCCTGGTGCTGACTGGTCAGACAGCAGCCTGAATTAATAGTAAGATGGTAGTATTTTGGTTTTAAGAGTCAACAAGCACACTGGAATTGTCCTTTAACAAACCTAATGGTGCCTTCAGGAACCTCAAACATTCAGACTTTCCTCCAGGAGCTCTATTTCTAGTGACGGGACGAAGTGAGCAGGTGTGTTATCTCCCAAAGACCCAACACTGTCATCTTTACAATAAAATATCATTTTGCCATCTTGTCAAACCCTTCAGAGATATTTGCAGCACCTGCTCATCTTTGATGCACATGTACAGTCAACTTACAATAACACCAAAATCGGAGGGACTCTGTTTTTATTCTACAGCTACAAAAAGAATCCAAACTCTGAGCTCATCAGAGAAACACCTGAAGCGTAGCTGTTGTGATCACTGTCACATGATACTGTAACACTACTACTGTCACTACTGTGTGTCCGGAGCTTGTAGCACTTTTTTTAGCAGTTTGACTACTGTTTGCAGCAGAATTTACACTGAATGATGAACGTTGTTGCCTCTATAAAAGTCGATGTGATGAAACATTTGATGTCAAAAAATGGAAAAAGTTCAGATTCCAAAGATTTTCACAGGATGTTTGCAGATGTCAGCTTCGTTTAATTTGGTCCAAAACTCTGTTGTGTTCTTTCAAAGTCTCAAGGTTTACTGGCGCCATAACTGCAACAATTATCTTACCTTTAGAAGGAAAGTTTGGATTTTTGTTAAATTAAGAAATAATCTGTTAGATTTTAAGTCCACAAAATGTCAGTAACAAATGCCACAATTTACCACACCAAAAGATATTTAATGTTTAATGAAAGGAGAAACTGAAAAAAGCATTTAATTGATCAGTAATTTAAATGATTAATCAATCACTGAAATTGCTGATATATGGCTAGTTGTTTTGTTATGGTTAAGCCCTTTGGTTTTGGATCATGTTTGCCCGTTTCCAACAAACTGACATTATCATTTTATTTAATTTTGTGGAAATTAATGCAATAAAACATCAATGTTCAAAGGATGAACGTTGAAACCGTCTTATAAAAGATAGACGTTGTGTCTCCCCTTCCTCCCGCTGTATAAAAATGGCGCCACCATGTCGAGGTCCAGCCCATTCATCCGGTTATCTCAATCGTGGCGCAGCTCAGCTGTCAATCATTATGTGAAACCCCCTTCCAGTGTGATAAGAACTACCTAAAATGACATGAAAAATATATTTGACATGTACTTAGATTTTTTTTTGTTTGGCCCACCTGCTAACATGGAGACAACAGGCTTTATGACCTTCTTTTGGAGAGCTGTCATGTTGTCCATCTTTGTAAATGTGGATAAAACGGCATACATATATATGATTGGCTGTTCCACTATCCTCTATATGAATTCATTATTTCTGGAAGTTAAACAAAGGAGTTTTTGACTGAGAAACAGTTTCAGTTTAATACTGATTCCTCTGTATGACCTACAGAAATAAACAAGCCCCTCAGCCACAACATTGGCTGTTTCTATAAAGTCATTCTTAATGCCTGCCACTGGGTCCGTTTTGGTCCGATTCCCATTCAAATCAATGAAACGAGGCAGTGAAACACTTCCACTTTTGTCCACAGGGGCCGCCAGAATCAACACAAAGTGAAAGTAAAACAGTTAACAGAAATTATTTGTTGGCGCAACCGTGAAGTATTTATTTATGTTGAAATGAGAATGCTCGGACGAGGTGAGGCACATATGAAAAGAAAAAGCATTCAGTGAAGAAAAACCAACATTAGAATAATAAAATAGTTATAAATTAAAAATGAAATGTTTCATCACTCCTACTCTGTTAAGTCACAATCATGAAATATCACTTCTTATTATCACATTATGTCATTGTGTGAGATCAGTTATTCCGTCTGCCAGTGAAGGATCAGATTTATATTTGTTTTTAAAAATATTGAACAGTTTTGCCTTGGAGCCGGTGCCATTGGGTCTCCCTTCAGTTCAAATCACCTGGGGACGCCAAATGGCATCAGTCCTACACAATCAATATTTATTGCTGAATTAACAGCCTCAGCATTGTGTGCAATCTAAGATACACATTAGGTTTTCTGATCAGTGGATGTTTTCACCTGTTCTCACTCTGAGCTGCTTCATTTTACACCCACAGTACGTTTCCTTTGACTTAGTTTCTAGAGCACCTTTTAAATATTCTCACTGTCATATTCTCCGAACATTACAGCACCCAGTCTGCCTTGTGTCCTCATCAATAACCCAGATTTTATTGTTGATTATTGTTTGTTCGTTGTTATTTGCAGAGAGGCACAACAGAATATCTCAGACGTTTTTTTTGGTTCGTCGTTGAATAAAATTCAATGTTTATGAAAGAAGAACGATTAAATTACAGCTCCTGGTTTTTGCTAAATAAATGAATTTTGTAAATGACTGTGTGTCCTCTTCAAGTTGTCCCGCATAGACACACACACACACACACACACACACACACAGAGTTTTATTATGACACCTTACATTGAATAACACGCCAATGTTAGGCAAAATTTTAGTGATGGAAAAACTGGCATGGCCATTTTCAAAGGGGTCCTTTGACCTTTGACCTAAAGATATCTGAATGAAAATGGGTTCTATGGATACCCATGAGTCTCCCCATTGCAGACACTTGCTAATCCCATGTAGTTTGGGGTAAAAACCATGTAGTTTTTTGCATGTGGTATAAGTTTTTAGTTATTATTATTATTATATATTTATTATTTTTGCCAAGTGTATTTGAATATTTCTGCATACAGGGATCCATAAACTGTACTGGAATTGAATAAATTGAGAATGAACAGAAAGCTGAGACACATACTTCATGCCGCCCCTCCATAAGTCAGTGCCCCACTTGTGCCACCCCAGTCAAAAAGGTCTGGATACGCCCCTGGCACACAGTTTGGCTTTAGATGGAATTGGATACTGGAAACTTTCCTTAGAAGCTGACTGAGGTAATAATCTTTTCTGAAACATTTATAGTTTGTTTCAAATACAAATAGTTGCCTAGTTGTAGAATAGAATATGATGACACTTGACACACAACCATATACGGAAAAAAAATATATATATATATATAGGCTATATAATATAAATATATATGTTTCTTATATCAAAAGATGACAAGTGTATTTCCACTAGTTTGTGAGTTAGTAACATAAAAGTTAAAAATGATACAGTCTCCCCTACCTCCGGTACCAGCAGCAACAAAACTGTTGTTATCGTTATCCGGTAACATCCGGGTCACCTGCAGGAATGCAGCAGGTGGGGCGGGGCTTAAATACCTGAGGTGGGCGGGACTTTATTCCAGTCTGACAGAAACAAGTGCCCGACCTTTGAGACCAGCAGCAGGGACAGGAAGACCAGGATGGCCACAGATTTAAGTCAGGACGCGGTGTTACATTTCCTCCGGAGCGGCGGGGGGTCGGTGAAAAACTCGGACCTGCTTCTGCACTTCAGAAACTTCATTCGGGACCATGCGGACCGGGACAGGAACCGGGAGCACTTCAAAAAGTTCGTCAACTCCCTGGCCACCGTCCAACAACTCGACGGCGTCTCGTACGTCGTCCTCAGGAAGAAGTTCAGAGGACGTGTCCCCGGCGGCGGGGAAGGGGGCTCTTCCGGACCGCCGCGACTCCCCGCCGGGAAGAGCACCGATCCCTCCCCGGAGAACGCCCGGCTGAGCCCGGCTGGGAGAGCAGAGCAGCCTCGGCAGAAACCGCAGCTGAGGGAGGCGACAACACCCGCCCCGCCGGGAGTAACCGCAGAGAAAACAATCCTACCTGCTGCTGGGCTCATGCTGAACAACAACAACAACAACGTGGAAACCAACCTCAACCTGCAACACAAAGCCAGCACACCTGAAGGTCCAGGTAGACCTGAAGGTCCAGGTAGACCCGCAGCAGCTCAGGTCCTGACTCAGATCTCAGAGAGGGCACAACTGAAGACCCCCGGTCCGTCTGAACCTCCCTCTAAAGGGGGACAGCTCAGGCCGGGTCCTGGCCCGCCTCCAGGGATCACGCCTGTGGTCCCTGCAGTGAGACACCAGCAGGTCCCAGAACCCCTGAGAGGGAGGGGGGCCAGTGTGTACCCTGGAGGAGGTCTTCATCAGGAGCCTCCTCTTCATCGCACCCGTCTCCCAAAGGAGCCTCCTCTTGATCATGTCCATCAGGATCCTCCTCTTGATCACGTCCGTCAGGAGCCTCCTCTTCATCACGTCAGTCTCCATCAGGAGCCTCCTCTTCATCACGTCCATCAGGAGCCTCCTCTTCATCACGTTCGTCAGGAGCCTCCTCTTCATCATGTCAGTCTCCAACAGGAGCCTCCTCTTCATCACGTCCATCAGGAGCCTCCTCTTCATCACGTTCGTCAGGAGCCTCCTCTTCATCATGTCAGTCTCCAACAGGAGCCTCCTCTTCATCACATCCGTCAGGAGCCTCCTCTTCATCACGTCAGTCTCTATCAGGAGCCTCCTCTTCATCACGTCCGTCAGGAGCCTCCTCTTCATCACGTCCGTCAGGAGCCTCCTCTTCATCACGTCAGTCTCCATCAGGGGCCTCCTCTTCATCCTGTCCGTCAGGAGCCTCCTCTTCATCACGTCCGTCAGGAGCCTCCTCTTCATCCTGTCCATCAGGAGCCTCCTCTTCATCACGCCAGTCTCCATCCTCAGGTCACCCAACGCCGCTTAAGACACAGACAGAGCTACAAGTCTGCCGTCTCCTATGATGAAGATGAGGAGGAAGAGGAGGAAGTTCCAATGAGGCGAGGTTCAGCAGGAGGAGTGTGGCCCCTGAGCGCTCCTCTCGGAGATAAGGGAAGGGCCACGTTCGCCTCCTCGCCGTGCATCATAGAACAGCCTGCTCCTCCCTCCGTCTCCTCTTCCTCCTCTTCATCAGAAAGGAATCTCCCGAAGATTTACATCCAGGATGTGAAAGGGGAAGTGCTGCCCCCCGGTGGCCCAGGCTGGGGCCTGGAGTCAGGAGTGGGGCAGAGAGGACAGCTGGCCGGGCCCGGACTGGAACCTGGATCTGTTCTGGGGGAGTCCACCAGACGCAGCCTGCCTCTAGAGGCGGAGCGATACGTGGAGCCTCACGGCGATCTCCACAAGGGCCGCAGACAGGGGCCCACACAGGGGCCCACACAGGGGCCGAATCCAAACCAAAGGGCGTGGCTGTCGTCCAGCCACAGCAGCATCTTCTCCCCCTCGTCTGACGCAGGCGTCTCCAGCAGCGAGTGGCTGACGTCGAGCTCCCCCAGAGGACCGGGGTGGAACAGCAGCTACGAGGATCTACAGGCCAGAACAGGTACAGTTAAAGAACAATGCTGATATTCTTTATTTTCTTCACTGGTTATTGTTTTCTTGAATGTACTTTAGCACAGTCAGACAGAATTTGGCCTTTTAAAGAAGATTCTTGAGATGTTTGATGAGTTTAATTAGTGTCTGCACTGGCCTTTGCCTCACATGTCAATCAAATTGTGTGGGCGGAGCTACAGCATTCTTCCACCTTGAAGAACCGCGAATGGAAACGCTTAAAGGCCAATCACTGCTGAGTTGGAGCTGTAGAGAGCAGAAGACTGACATTAGTACAAACATTGTGGATTCTTTAACCCTTCACTGTCCGCAGGTACGACTGGAGGCGACGCCAAAATCCAGGAAGTACTGCAGCGCGCCCAGAGGACCAAACCCCAGTCTGTGACACATGATGCGGACAGGAAGACCACGGCGCCTTGGCATCACTCTACAGGCCATCTCCATGACGACCGGGAGTCTAAAGCTCCTTCATCACCATTCCATCACTCCGCTGACCATCTCCATGACGACCGGGAGCCCACAGCTCGTGTGTTGCCGTGGCACCACTCCACAGGTCAGAGCTAAAGTCTGTAGTTTTTTATAAACTCTATACGGTGTGTGACTGATGATTGATCAGTCATTGGTCAAACAGCTGAGTGCTTTCTGCCTGCTGCTCCAGTCTGAGGCTTTTCTCTGTCTCTGTCTCTGTTTTGGTGTGTTGGCCACTCAAAACAAGATATTTAAAGACATCGCCTTTCTGCCCACATCTCTAATTTATCAGCGATTGAAATAAGTCTGATGTCGTGTTCATTGACAACTTCCTGGCTTGAGGAAAAAATGGACCAATCAGAACGTAGGTGTGATCTTCCATAGCTAGCTACAGTCATGGAAAATAATGACAGATAGATGGACATAAATATGGCAGCCATTAGGTGGGCGTGGCTGTGTTGGTTTCGTCGACTCTTCAGTAGATCATTCTTGGATTGATTAGCACATTAAGCTTGTCGTTGTCCTTTAATATGCTAATCCTAATGTTAGCTTTACTTTTTATAGTTAGAGGTCTTTAAATACAGCAGATGAGCATTGGCGTGTCAGAACGTGAGCTAACTATATGTACGTATGTAAGAGTAAGTAAGCTTTTTATTTTGTACCTACTACGTATGATATAGTAAAAAAAATCCTATTGAGATTATTTTGTGTTCTGTGTGTTTTACAGTTAGTGGGAATAATCCTTTTTGCCTGACCATCTTCATTTTCAGTGAAAAAATCATGATGATTTGTTGGCGTCTGTAATAAACAAACAAAAAACAAACACATTTTCTCACATCTAGAGAACAAGATTCAGATGCCAGAGCCTCCCTGCAGCTCTACAGTCCCTCATTCTACTGCCCTCCTCACATATTTGATCTTTATTAAAAAAACAGCAGCTTCTGTGATTAGGATATTGGTCATATTGCAATTTCTATAATTCCATTAATTGTACTTCTGCTATGTTTGATACCTGTTACAATAGTGTGGTGTGATCCGTACCTCCTGCCCAACTGGCACATGCAGCTCTCAACAGAGATGAGAAGGAAGCAAGATGGCTCTCTCGTTAGTTAGATTTTCTAATGTAAAACCAAACCGTGTGTGTGTGTGTGTGTGTGTGCGTGTGCGTGTGCGCGCGTGTGTGTGTGTGAAGGTAGGCAGGGTTTTCCTTCCACAGTGGCCGTTCAGAACAGCTACAGACACTTATGTGTTGATGATGTTTAAAGCGTTCCCTTTCCTTCACCGCACAGGTGATCTCTGCGACGACCGCGACGACGCAGAGTCGAGCGAAGGCTCCACCTCCACACCGCCGCCACGACTGCGTCCGACTGTCGCCAGGCACCTCAGCAGCCAGTTGAGGAGCAGGATGTGCCGCAGCCTGGGAGCCGACCTCGACCAGGTCCTCCAGGAGGGGACGAGGGGGGGAGGAAGTGAGGCGGCCCGTCTGAACCGCCTCCACCTGATCTCGTCCTCGCTCAGCCTTCACCACAACCTGTCATCCTCCTCGCTGTCGTCCTGTTCCACGCCGCCTCGCTGCCACAGCCTCGCCGACATGATCGAGGGGGTGGAGGGGAAAGGGAGGAGGAGGAGCCTCCCCGCCGCCTCCGCTTCCACTGCTCATCATGAAGGCTCCAGTAGGCAGGTGAGACCTGTAGTTTCTGTTTAATGTCCCATTCAAACCTCCTGTCCACTCTTGTATAGTAGTGTTGCTGGTAGGGGAGGAGTCACGCTGGTGACAACTAGCACAGACAACAATACGATATGATAACACATGGTTGATTCCATGAGAGTGAATAAGTTGATGTTTGTTCCCGTCGTCAGTCACTGGTTCCTCTGGAGCCCAAGGAGCACGCCTGGCTGGTGAAGGGGGCGGTGGGTGCCTGGCCCGACATCTACTCCCTGTTCAGAGAGGACTCGTCCCTGCTCAACAGACGAGACTTCATCTCCGGGTTCACGGTGCTGCACTGGATCGCCAAACACGGTGACCACAGAGTCCTCAACACCTTATGGTACGCAGCTAGCCGTTAGCGTTGTCGGGTTTATACTCTGTAAAACAGGAAGGTCTGGTTTATGTAGCATTCTGAAACTGAAATAGCTTGAATAGTACAGAGCTCAGTGGGCTGTAATTAGTGATATTTGATCTGTCTAACATGGATTACCAACATGTTTCTGCAATTGTGTCAGCCTTAAAAAGAATGGAGGATTATTTCAGCCCCACTAGCAGCCTGAGGATGATGATGGTCTGTGGCTTGGTCTGGAGTCTGGTATCTCACTGTGGATATTCTTGGTCCCCACAATGAATTTGATGACTTCCACACATTTCCTCTAGCAACGTTAACTTTTTTTACTTAAGTAATTTGTATAATACAAAAACAAATTGTTCGTCTTCCCCATGATTCAGATCACTAAAATCTTCTCTTTCAGGTATGGGGTTGAAAAGGCTGGTTTGACCTTCGACATAAACGCCAGGTCAACATGCGGCCACACGCCTCTCCACATTGCCGCCATCCACGGCCACAAGAGCATAATGCGGTTGCTGGTAAGCAAGTTCAATGCCGATGTGAAGCTGAGGGACACGGCGGGGAAAAAGCCCTGGCAGTACCTGAGCCACGCCGCGCCGTCTGAAGTCTTCCAGCTGCTGGGAGCTCCTTTGCGGGCTGCTGGGAGAGGAGAGGGAGGAGTCAGGGGAGTAGACTCCAGCTGGAAACCCGAACAGCAGCAACGGCGCCGGCGCCGGCATCACTTTTCTACGGCTTCCTCGGGGCAGAGGCCGCTGACCATTGCAAGCACGGCGAAGGTCAAAAGGTCAACGTCGATCGCTGCGTTCCTCAAACCCAAATCTCTGCATCTGTTTCACGGACATCAGTCTGACTCCTCCGCTTAGAGCCTCACTGATGGATTAAGTTGTATTTGTGTGGAGGATTCTGAAACCTGATGGTTTACTCTCCACTCGACTCAGCAACTGTTTGCTGACTGCCTTATACACACGGACGGGTAACTCGCTGATTGGACAGTTTTGAAGAACGTCATCCTGCATCATGCAGCGTGGGGGAAAATTCTGGTGACTGACAGCTGATCATTGGATGAGCAGTATTACAGTCGGAGCATGTTTACTCATTTAGACTTAATGAACTGCTTTTGACTGTCAAACTGCCACTGCTGCTACTCATGCGCATCACCATGGTTACAAGGATTTACATAAATATGGTTTATTCAGATTGATTTATAAGATTGCTTCTTGAACAGTTCACAATCAGCAGTTGTCCTGCGTTTTCAGATCACACAGACTGCACCAGTCGAGTTGTCTCAGTATTCAGTTATACTGATTGATGTAGATTAGCTGATGACGTAGGAAGGGTCAATTGCATGTCACTGTTGTACCACAGATAACACTTAGTAAAAAGACTGGACAGTTTATGTTTCAGTGGTCAGTGGTGTAGCATGGATGGTTAAATTAGTGGCCTAGAACCGTAGTTATTTGTTCAAACACAGAGAAATAAATACACACACATAACGTGCATCTTGAAAATAAGTGCCACTTTGTGATCTAACCACGGCACTCACAAAGCAAGAGCTAGCAGTTTAAAATGGCAGCTGGCGGTGGAGAGTGCTATCTGACGGTGGAGTAACTACTTGCAGTGTAGCAGCCAGTATGAAAATGAACATATGGAACAGGACTACCAGGACGATCTGCTTCTGTAGCTTCACTGAAATCTACATTTACTTCACAGTGGATGCACAAAATACAATGGTATTTACTCGACCTGTAGGTCTCCTCTCAGCTGTGTTTGAGCATGCTTTCTGAACTGAAGAGAAACTGAAACTGCACCAAACATCCAGGATTGCGTTTCAGGAGATACAGACATCAGTATCTCATCAAAAGAGTTTGGATATGTTGCCCGTCCCTGCTGTGGATTAACAGAGCCTCCACGCTGTTCAGAGCCTCTGAAATTACGTGTTTGGTGGTCTGACTTTAAAATGTTTTTAAAGAAAGGGATTTGCCCATTTCAGCCCAAAACCTTGACGTCAGTCCAAATAACTCCAACGACCGGGAGCACTAGTTTCTGTGCCTGAGCTTTCAGTTTCACTGGATAAGAATGCCAGAGATTGTATCACAAAGACTGCTGGATCTGAGACGTGTGATGGCCTAAAGCGAGAGGTGATTTGCGAGCACTTGGCAGAGCAGATTGGCTGTCAGTGTGACTGTCTGATCTCATTGTTGTGAGAGGGAGAAAAAAAAGTGGAGAGCCGCGGGGCAACGAGAGCTCCAGTTTCAGTCTGGAGCTGTGATTTACTCTCAGGACGGTCAACAGCAGAGGTGATACTGCAGCTTTGTGGCTCACATCTAATCTCTGTTCAGATGTACTTTCAGTCATACATTAGGTTTTAGATTTTAGATTTTCTTCCTTCCAGGCAGCCTTTTAGTTTCTATGAAAGTTCACTTGCAGAGAATTGTAATGTAAGCAGGAAGCGGACAAACCATCATGAACACTAAAATCACTTTGCAATAGCAACTGCTTTTATGAAGCTTCACGTTTGTCTGGCACTGAATCAGAGGTGTTTAAAGTTGGTTGCATGATTTAAAAGGTATTTCTGATGTATTACAACGTGGGTCTTGTTGTTGTTGTTGTTGTTATTTCTATAGGGTGTCCACAGAGTTTTTTATAGCTCATAAAGATTGATTGGATTGATAAAGTTAACATGCTTTTAAATGTGTTTTGGGGGGAAGTGTGTAGTGATCACGCTGTAACAACTATAAAACAGGTACAAAACAGTATGGACGTAAATGAATGGTCTGAACCTGTTTTTATCAGGAACGAACTCACCAGAGACGGCCAGAGACATGAGCAGACAGACAGACAGAAAGACAACTGTAAGCTGTAAACAACCAACAGGTTATCCAAATGTACAAAGTGTTAAATGAGTGTAGAGCACAGATTACAGAGCCACCCTAGCTGTTTCTTTGTGCTAAGCTAGACTAACCGTGTCCTGGCTGTAGCTTCATATTTATCCTGCAGATATGAGCGTGGTGTAGAAGAATGTGAGTAAGCGCATTTCCCAACTATTCCTTTAACCTGAGTACAGTGTTATCAGTAGTGATAGACATAAAGGACGAGCTATGAAAATAAGTTGTAATAAACTGAAAAGATCCGTTTATTTCTGAGATGGTGTTGTATTCAGTTACACTTTGAAATGTCTACCCCCTTTATTGTCACCCTCTCCTCTGGGGTTTTCAGTGCACTCCATTTGTTCACTGTTACATTATCACTGTATGGTAGTGTGTTGCTGCTTGGACATCTGAGACTTCACTCATTGGTTAAACAGCATATTATTTCTTAAAATTTTGTTCACCAGGTTTGGTTTTTAGGTCATTGAGCTTCTCCCCAGCACTTGAACACATCAGGCAGATTTAAGATGTACATGATGTTGACCGTGATGGATTATCTATCTGCGAGTGTCGTAGAAATGAATTCAAATCAATGGCTGTCTGGAAGGAAAGGAACAATGGAAGAACTGATGGGGGATTTGTAGATTAATGGTGTAAAACATGAAAACACTAGTTGTCCTGTAAGACTCACCAGCAGGATGAAGCTGGTGTGTTGTGGTTTGTAAATTATTCTGGTCTGAAGTTTACTGTAATTGGATGTTTCACAGTGGAGATGTACAGTATTTTTCAACCGCTGGTCAAAGTTTATACACGGAGTATTAAATATGTTTCACAGTTGGAGGTGTTTGTGTGTTATTTGTATGTGTGACCTCTTTAAACACTGTCTGTTTTCATGCATACTGATGACTGTCCATTCAGATCCATTCCCATCAGGCTGCTTTACAGTTTCACTTGATTGATATGGAGTCCCAAAAAAGACAAGAGGCCAAAAAACATCAGATGTCAAAAATATAACTGCAAACTTTGATTAAAAATACTTTTAGTCAAATGATTAAATTTAGTTTTTTTTAAAAAGTGATGTAAAGCATTTTAATTTTTTTTACTTCTTAGTTTTCTTGTTTGTTTTTTGTCTTTTCTACCACCTGATTGGAGGCTATAGAGAAAGTATCAAGTTATGTTTATATATTTCACTGTTTTGCTCTCCAATTTAATTATTTACTATATTGTTTACTGATCTTGTTACTTGATTTCTGTATTGTCTGGCAACATTTTACTGCCTTTTGTCACCTTTTGGGCTCCATACATTTACAACTTTTTTGTCTGTCAGTACGCAGGTACTCCTCACTTGGATTCTTCCTCATTTCATGAGCAGCCCCCCTGACCAAAAGTAAGTAGAGTTTTTCAGATCAAGTAAAACAATTAAGGAATAAAGTATAGGTAATATAAAATAAGTCTGCAGCTACATTTTATTTTTTTCTCAGGCCCAGATTCACTTTGTGGCAGTTGGTTGTGCGTTATTGGACTAACAGAAATTAGCACAGTATTGACTAAGGTAGGGCGGCCTTATGTCAAAATCTAGTTTTTAGACCTTTATTGTCTTAGAGCTAGGCAGTCCAAAGCGGGGCCAGCAGGCTAGCATGTCTGGAGCGTTATTTAGCCCCCTTCCAAATACCTCTGACCTCAGGATATCTGAATAAATATGGGTTATATGGGTACCCACAAGTCTCCCCTTTACAGACATACACACTTTATGCTAATCCCATGCAGTATTTTGCATGTGATATAAATGTGGTAGGATCCTTCATTGTGGATTATCTTTCATAATCTGAGCATGGTGGGCAGAATGATACTTTGTGCAGGAAGTCAGTCAGTTATGGGAACTTGGGATTCACCATTATCCATCTTAACAATACAAAACAACAGGTGTTTCCTTTTGACCCGGGGGACAGCATCAAGTTTCAGTTTTGGCGGTCCAAAGGAAAAAGTTTAGGCACTCCTGCGCCGACATGGTGCAGATTCCAAAATAAAATGGTGTTTGTTCAACCACAGGTTACATGACACACAGAAACCTGTGGGCTGGGTAGGACTGGTATCGGGACTGTGTGTACAGTTATAATGTACAAACACACGTGAACACCACCTCAGTGACATTTAGTCTCATTGGATCATTTATTTGTGGATCCACCCAGCAGTTATACCGCTGTATTGTTAACACTGGTTTTGAGACTGGTAACAACATGTTTAATCTGTAAGGAGAAACACTGCAGGCTGCAGGACATGTTGGCTCATGATCCTGTGTGTGTGTGTGTGTGTGTGTGCGCGCGCTCTTGTAGTTGTAACTGTCAGAAATAGTTTTAGACTTTGAGATTAAGGACATTTTGTCTCGTCATGAGCTCTTCAAAGGGCTGTCTGAGGGGTTGGGATTTGGTTTTAGGGTTCAGGTTAGATTCAGGTTTAGGTTATGGATTATGTTATTGAATTTTCTCACAAGTATAGAAGCAAGAGTGTGTGTGTGTGTGTGTGTGTGTGTGTGTGTGTGTGTGTGTGTGTGTGTGTGTGTGTGTGTGTGTGTGTGTGTGTGTGTGTGTGTGTGTGTGTGGTTTTTGTTTGAACAAGCTCAGCTGGGCCAGTGTGTACATTCTGAAGCAGCAGGTTAGAACTGTGGTGTATATGGAGTTACATAACACTCTACACTCTCTCATATCAAATAATAGGCTTTATTGGATTAAATGGTACATTAAGTGAAATGATATATTAATAAATATTAAAATTTCAAAACAATCACAAGACAACAAACATTAATGCAACAGTCCCCCCAGGATTGTGTGATTGCAAGAATTACCTCAAATTCATCCAATCCTTGCAATTTTTTTTTTGCGATTTAGACCAATCATTGCAGTCCACTGTACTATACATCACCAAACTACTAGCGATTTTATTCTCGCTGGAACAAGCTGCTTTCAATTTTTAATAAAGCCTAAAAAAACTGCAACTATTATAGCAATTTTTACTTTTTCCCGCAGTCTCATTGCAAATACAAAACATAACATGCAACCTTTTAGAAAAGCTGCTGTGAAATCGGGAAATTTAGGCCACAACAATTCCATAAAAGGCTGCAAAATCCTGGAGGGACAGATAAAATTACTGACTTTTAGGCCAGTGGTTCCCAATCTGGGGCTTGGAACCCCACTATTTTTTTACGATTTTAAAATGTTTGTAATTAAAACCAAAGAGCTAACTAATAAATGGCCCCAGTATGTATGATTGTTAAATTAAAGAAAAAACCATACATACATAAATACATACATAAACGTGTAATAGTAATCCAAAATTGCAGTTTTATACAAACCTCAGTTACTGCATTTACTGTACAGCTTTAATGGTGCAGCCTATCAGGCGTTCTGTACTGTTATTGTTATGCATTGACTATAATATGAAATATCCATAAAATATGTTTTCTAATTTGCTTTGTGCGATTTTCACAACGATGGAAAAGGGGTCCCTTGAGGAAAAAGGCTGCAGTGATGTGCGAGGCTTGGTGTGTGGAGATCAGCACGTTGGTGTCAAACAGATAATTACTGGCAGGGAGCCTGAGCCAATGCATCCGGCTGGAACAATGGAGGACCCAGCCTCTGGTTAGGGCACTGCAGGGAACCAAAAAAGGTTATATTCTGTAATAATCTGTTTATTAAAATCTAATACAAGTCTGTTAATGTCTTGGAGGAAAAAGAGAATGAATGTTTTTTGGAATCTATAGATAGCCTAGTTAGTGTAACCAGGATAAAAACACCATGCATTACAATACAAAGGATGTTTGTGTATTGTGTTTGTATTTGTCAACCTGGGAGTGGGAGCTGGCTGTGTAGGAGGAAGTACGGTAGCCACAATCTGGCGATACAATACGTACAATGATCTTGTCCAGTCTTGACTAAAAGAACTCAGGCCCTTTCCCTGATTAAATTAATATTAAAGTCAGCCACATTAAGGAGACTCAACACTAGTAGCTACCTGCTGTTGAGGTTCGGCAAAATATAGAGGATTTGATTTGTTTTTTCACAGCAGCCATGTTGACGTGAAATAGTAGGGTAGTTATTACCAGTAATACTAATTAAGGTTCCGTTCCATTTAGTGTAGCAGAGCCTTTCCAGTGAGCCAGCATGTACAGTAGCAGCAGCCTGACTCTGTTTGACCTGAATGGAACAGAAGCTTTGTTGGTGATATGTTTAGTTTCAGTATAATCCATGAAGACAGCGTCCATCGGGTGTGACGGCATTTGAGGAGTTTTTTCAGTCGTTACCAAAGTACCTACACAGTTTGCTGTTTGTTGCTGGAGAGAGTGCAGTTACCTTCCAATAATATTAAACATGAGCTGCTTCATATTTCCCTCACCCATAGTCCAACAACGGTTCCTTAAACGCATCGCCATATAGCACTGACCAGTTATGGGTGATTGTGGGAAGAAACTGGGTTTTATTCTTCTATTACGTAATATTTTAGGATGGAATCTAGTTTTATAAAAACATATTTAGGGAAAATATTTCAGAAAGTATAGAAGAGACACACATTAAAAGATAGTCTGATGAAGTCCTGAATGAGCTGAACATTTTGAAGTTTAAATGAAGTTTCTGTGTTGAACAGTGTTGAAATAAATAGGTGCCAAAAATGAGGAAGAATAAGAATAATAAAGCAAAACTGAGAACATAGTTTGAGGAACTGTAGGTACTTAAAGCTGCGGTACCTTTAAACTGAAAGGCAGTAATCACTAGGGTTGGCTACCTGTTTTCAGGAAACATTCAAGTTGTAAAAAGTCCAAACTCCTCCTACTACCACAGTGCTCGCATTCTGTAATAGTTCCCTGTAAACAGTATGCTGTTCACATGGTTTCATACTAATGTTTCAGACATACTAAAAAGATCATAACACTACATAATAATTATTAATATTTATGTCAAGTTGATCATCAAACTTGCTACCCTCCAGACATCAGAGCCTAAATCAGAGGAGCAGACCTCACCAGTCCCGTTATCTTCCCACTCTTCAGCTGGTAGATACATATTGTGTTTGACCAGGCGGACGAGGCCCTACAAGGCCCGAGGGTTCACAGGCCATCCGACTACTTCTGCTGCCATTCAGCTTGTGGGGTTGATGGGAGGGGCTTAGTGAAGTGATGCAAGGCAGTGAAGCTTTTGCATAGATTAGCAGGTATTGCCTTCTGCAGCTTTAATTAAATGAAGTGAATGAAGAAGACTGTGTGATATGGTCCTGGGTCTCCACATGAGTGAATTATGTGGTTAATGATTAACTACAGTTTTAGTAAGCAACCTGCACCAGAATATTCCACACTGAATGCATACAGTCATTTACTGTCAGTAAAACCAACTGTGTTGTATTTGGAGCGAGTGCGAGCCATCAGTGTGCTCAGCTAATACAGCAGAATGTCGCTCTGACACAGTCTCAATATGCAGTCAGCCTCAGGAGGAATTATAACCTTTCAGTAAATCTGGTGAACTATTTGCTAATTCTAAATAGTTTTCTCTCCTGTGTTTATGACTTAAAAACAGGTGGGAAAATAAGGTTTTACCAAGACAATCTTTCTTAAAAGTTCCTCAGTTGTTATTTGTTTCATCTGTGGAACAGGTGGGGAAATAAAAAGTACATCTGAGAACAGGTTTTTTCCTCCAAGTGTTTGCTGTTGTAATCCTTCAGCCACAAGAGGCTAAAGTGCACCACCCCGTGTTCTAAATAGGAGTAGAAGCTTCCAGGTGAATTTTTCATTAACTCCAAACACAAGGTATATAGTGTGATAGTAAGTTATTGAACATTACTGTCATGTCTTTCTTTGAGCTAGAAATACATGTTAATCAGCACTGAGAGAAATTCACTCACTTGGAAGAAAACGTGAATGACCTATTTATAAGTGGTGCACTCTTGTGGCCAAAATGAGTATTACAACATAAAACACATTCACCTATTTTCAGACTCATTATTTTTTTAAGGACCTTTGAAAGATTATCCTGGCAAAACCTTTTCCACCTGTTCTTGAGTCTTAAATACCATAGAAAATAATTAAGATAAGACTGAATTAAATGGATTATTAATTAAATGCCAGATTTATTTCTTATGTGCCTCTCAGGGCTTCTATAGAATAGACAAAACTAAATGTAAAAGATGAATGTATTTGTATGACACAGTTAAGACAAAGAGCGGGATCAGTTTTCATACGTTATTTATTGGTACCACGTTGTGTTCAGGGACCTGGAGCAGCCACCAGCAGCTCCCGCAGCAGGAACAACAGAGCTTTTTTGCAGAATTAAAATATATATTAAACAGAACTTCAAGAGATAAAAACAGCATGTTGTTTTTAGATTTTTTTTTTTTTTTTGAACATCAAAGTGAAGATTGTCACTTGTCTCCTTCTGAAGCTCAGACACCAACTCAAAAACCACATTTCTGTCTCTTAGCTTAATATTAAAATGCTTTAAATAACTCAAGGTTGTTTTATGTACTACAACGTTATTCCCGTTGGCTAATTCAACACAAACGACATGCAGTCTGATTTTTATCAGAGCCTGGCTCAACTTTAGGTTGGTCATAAAGCCTGGTTGTTACTGTTATTGGGAAATGATCAATATCTCTGTCTGTAAGGTTAACAGGACCCTTTTAGCTTGATAAGCCTGTTAGTCCGGATTACTTAAACCGGGTTTAAAAAACAGGGCTCTGATTGGACAACCAGATTTACGTGGCAGCTTCAAAGAGACTTTTTCGTAGGTGAATAAAACAACCTGAGAAACTTTCATTCAGTCAAGCTATCACAACAAGCTGAGAGGGAAGGGGAAAACAGAGGGATTCATAGGAGGGATGTTTATATTAGCATCTTATTAACAATCAAATTGCACTTCACTTAAAAAAAAAAAATCTGGGAGAGTAATACAGATTATCATCTACAAAAACATTCATACAGAGTGAGGAAGGAAAGAGGAATAAAAACATAAATATGTGAAAGAAAAGAAAAGATTCTAAGATATGAACAACAAATATAAGTTGACAAACAATGACATTTTCAGTAATCTTCCACAACAGGACAGAGAGTGAGACACTGGGGTTGAGAAGTATATTCTAGGTTTTTTTGAAGGTTACTTTTCTATTTATACTTTTTTTAAACCTTTTGTAATACTGTATTTGTGTTCAACAAATAGAATTAATAAGATAGTAGCAGCAGCTTTTTTATTTTTTGAATGTTTAATTTTTTTTGGGCTCTGTTTTCCAGTTGCAGGGGATGATGGGAGCTGACCTCAGGGCTGCTGAACAACTCGGGCTCACACTGGGGTCGTTTGCACTGAAACCAAAACCATCTTAACCACCAACACCATCTGTAACACTGCTTCATTTGTATTATAACATCAATATTTTCTTCTTCTCCTGCACCTTCCATCAAACGCAGTGATGTAACAGTTGTCTCTGGCAACTCTGATAGGCAACATTTCCAGAGGAGCTGCCTTTATATTGCTTTTTTATGCGAATGGGAACACTGAATACAAGCTTTCTCTGACTTCATTGCCTATTACTGAATGACTTGCCCATCACTGTTGCCAAAAGTTAGATTTGAACACTTGGATTTGAGGAGTTTAATCTGAAAGTGAAACAGGAAGAAGATGTCAGTGTGAAGGTGGTTTTGGTAAACAGGTTGCTGTTTGGTCTCTAGGAGGCACTGACTGGCTGCAGAGGCGGGCAGGGGGAGGAGCTGCCTTCCTGTCGGGATAACAGGACACTGCAGACACCCAGTCCTCCTCCACCTGTTGGTGTTGCCCCCTCCTGGACAGCGATGGTGATGTCTTCATTGTAGAGGCGTTTGATGCCGTCATAGAAGTCATCCACCTCCATCTCCTCCACCTGGACAGACAGACAGACTTATATTGTGACTCAGGTCTAGAGCTCTAACTAACCATTATTTTCATTATCAGTTATCAGGATGTCCCAATCTGATATCAATGATCAGTATCAGCTATACTGAGCTTTATTGATCTGATCCAATCTTTTGTTTTCCGTCAGCTGTCACACAGCTGCTTTTATACACAATGCAGCCATCATCAACTCTCTCCTCCATGCTGAGAGCCTGGGGCAGACAGTGGTAGAGAGCTGACACAGCCACACTCACCAGGCCAAGTAGTAAGCAACAATAGCCAAAAAAAAATTTAATTAATGTAATCTGCGCAAGAGATGGACGATGGAAATAAACAGTCAACAGAATACAGTCAGTTCATTCAGGTTAAGGCTGCACCTGCAAAACTGGAACTCCTTCCCGACAGCGACAAGATTAAAAACATTACAGAGGGTTTCTTTAATACAGTATTGTATAAAACAAAATAAAAAACCCATTAAGGAACAGCTTTGATGTAGGCTTTTTTTCTCTTAATGCAATGCAGAGATATTCAGTTGTCAAGCATATACATTGGATTGATTTTTTATGACTTTAATGTACTTGAAGTGTGCATTATCTAAAAAATAATTCCTGATCAGGACATCCCTACTAATCAGTCAAGTCTTTGGTCCTTAAAAGGAAGTGTTGTGTTGGCTCTCTGCTCTCTCACTGACACAGAGCTCAGAGTGGAGAGGCAGACAGCGGAGAGAGTTGACGATTGCCGCATCGTGCATGAAAGCCTTGTGAGTAAAAACAGCTGTGTAACAGCTGAAAAAAGATCGGATTGGATCAATAACACTCAATATAGCGGATACAATTCCTTAAAAAATGCCTTGTTTGGTGCCAATACAGATGGTTGAGACTGGATCAGAACATCCCTAACTAAACAATTATCCAAATTGTTGCTAAATTAATATTGAGTTGATTAACTAATCATTTCATCAATCATTTTGTTCCCCTCTAGGCCCTGCAGTAAGTTGTTTAAGTGTTTTTTTAAGGGGTAGGGTTACCTTGCGCTTGGCGGAGGCCTTGCAGCGCAGTGTGACCTTCTGCAGGTGGTTAAGATGACGGAGGTGTTTGGGTGGGGAGAGTAGGGCTGGGATGTTGCTGTTGGTGGAAGAGACGGAGGTCCAGGGCTGTTGCTTCCCCTCCTCCCTGCCAGCAGGTGTCTGTGGCTGGGAGGGGGCAGCAGTGACGAGGGTGTGGTCCCTGGAAGACTCGGCATCAGAGGTGATGATCCCTGGAATGTTCCAGAAATACTTTAATACTTATGTACATGTACTGAATATTTTCAAGTAAATAAACATACATCAGTGCAGCAGAACCAGACATATCAGATATTTTATTCCACACATTCTTCTTCCTTGTTAAAACCCACAGTTCAACTTGATTGAGTTTTGTGTATGTTACGCTAGTAGCGGCTAATGTAGCCTCAAGCAGCAGTAAGGAACAGGCTACAGAGGACTGGTAACTTCACACTCCTCCAGAGCTACAAAAGGCTTCATACCACTTTTGTTACATATGCACTTCAAGTAGAATCTGACCAGTGGCAGGCACTAAGAATAACTATATAGAAACAAAGAAGACCATCAAGCACGAAGACTGGCAATGTAGGTCATATAGTATAGAGGCATCAGAATTAAACTGAGACAGTTTCATAACTCGTGTGTTTAACATACCCAGTGTGCAGGGGGGGAGTGTGGGGTCCTGCTGCAGGGGTTGGTAGATGTAGACAGTGTTGGGAGGCAGGGAAGCTCTCAGTGTGGACAGACTACGAGCCACCAGCTCTCGACTCCGAATCAACTCGGAGCTGTCGATCTGAGAGAGAGGGAAGAGGAGGAAAGAAGAACTGAATGATTTTTGTCCATATCAAAAAGCAGGTCTAGAAGAGGTTTCTGTGTGTTTTTGCTCTCACCCAATGCACCTGTTCAGTGACCAGATATTCTAATTTCAAGTCCTGTTTTTATTCTGTTTGATCCATTTTGAGGAACTAAATGAAACAGGAGTTTCCTCTTTGCTCAGAAGTTCAGCGTGTGCTTTCTGCTGCTTCACCATCAACACTTCTGTTTATTTGCTTTGGTCATGTGACTGAATATTTAGAACTTCTTATTGGCCACAAGTTATCCCTAATAAATGAAAGAGTGTGAGTCTGGTACCTGTGCCTTCCTCAGCAGGTCGATGGTTAGAGCCAGCCAGTCAGGACAGCAGGTCTCCAGCTCCAGGGTGATGAGGGCCAAGGCCAGCATGGATCCTCTGAGCTACAGGAACACATGAGGGACAAACTTCAGGCAGGCACCAGATGTATGAAAACCTGAACCTCAGAGCTTGATTAGCCTCAGTGATGTGTTCGAAAACAGAACATGCTTTAAATCGTCCACTGAGGAGCAGAGCTATTTACCGTGCAGAGTAAAGTGAGGATATGTGTGTGTGTACCTGTAAGAGTGTGTGGTCGGCCAGGCAGTGGTAGAGCCGGCGTGTGAGCAGGGTGAGGTGCTGAGAGCGGTTCAGTCCCAACATGGCGTCCAAAAACCCAGAGCGACACGACAACACCATCGCATGGAACTGTGGGTAAGGTAGTAGAGTTGGAGAAAAATAATCAATGAGTCTTTTTAAAAATTAACGTACATTTTTTAAAAAAGTATTATGTTTTGTTCCAATAATTAGCCAATTGTAAAATAAACGATAAAATCAGGTTGAAAGCAGCTGAAAGTTGTGAAGCTCCAAAGGGTTTCTTCTGACCTTTTTACTATTTGTATTTGTAAGTGTTTCTGTTTGTAATACAGTACTTTATGTTGTTACTCATGATGCCATTGTTGGTGTTTAAAACAAGGATGGAAAAATCTGAAGGTCGCCCGTCTTTTTGACAGATGAACACTGAGGGTGATCTACGGTAATGTTAAGTGATTCACACCACAACACCGTCAATAACCATGAGTAGACCACCTTTCTTGAAAATTATATGCCATTAAATGTCTCATCTTTCAAAAATGAAAATGATAAGAATAGATTTAGGAATTTTTACAACCCTGACGAGAATGTCAACTTCTGATTGGTTCCATGGCAGATAGCGATAAAGGTAGAAATGTTGAGTGCTATGTAACATCTACAGATGGTAGGGATTAAAAACAGACTCCATTAAATTACCTACAGAGTGTAGATTTTACTACAGAACCTGATTTAATTCCCTGAAACATCACAGATAGAGAAACTCCTCTAGTTAAACTTGTTAAAGTAAAGTAAACTTCAGGGGCTGAAACAAAGAATAAAAATGTTATCCAGCAGGATGATCTGTAGGAAGGAGAGCAGCAACATCCTTTTGCCACCAGACGTCACTAGTACACTGATTAGAATCTACAAACATTCTACTGAATGAATGTTCAACGAGTAACAAATAAGCCAACTGACACGCACGCACACACACGCGCACACACACGCACGCACACACACACACGCACGCACACGCACGCACACACACACACACACACACACGTTTAACTTTGAAGTCCACTAAATGTAGTTCTGATCATGTCATACACGGCGAGGAGTGTGTGGGGGTGTGACTGACGTACGATGTGCAGGAAGTCCAGTGCTGTGGCGGTGTGCAGATCCCAGTTCAGTTTATCCAGGATGATTCTCTCCATCCTCAGGATCTCTGATGGAGAACAGCCACAGCTGCTGGAGGCAGCCAGCTCCTTCAGAGAGGGCACACACTGAGACACACACACACACAATTACCTAAACTGTCCTCATACAGTCAACTGCACGTATCTATTGTCTGCTTGTGCGTGCATATATGTGTGTTGTGTTTGTGTTTACCTCATCCTCCTCACAGGTCTTAGCAGCGAGGAAGAAGCAGGCGATGGCGATGCAGCGCAGGTACTTTGGACGAGCCTGGAGACAAACAAGCCCATTAATCCATAAAGTGTTTACAGTTTTACAGCAGTGTGCTGGGGACAACCTGACATCTGCTGACAAGTCTGTTGGAATACTGTGGCCATGTACAAAGTGGGATCAACAGACCAGGCACATGTGTTACTAATAACATTAACAACAACTGCATTTAGGTTATCTGTTTCCAGGTTCCTTGTATTGTGCACGCTCACAGTTATGGCATAGTGGGACACTTAATGGAACTCGTTAAGGTTCTCAGCTACACCTTTCCTGCTATGACGATTAAAAATGGCTGCTGTGAAAAAGTAAGAATTTTGATTAGTAAATCAGCCGTGATATATTTTTCCCTTTTTCCACCAAGCAGTTCACATTAGAACGGTTATTTTTTCGTCTCCATTGTCAAAAGTTGTGGATGGTACCAATAGCACCACTCTATTCTGTCTGGTTTTTCATTTCCCTTCTGTTGAAGCTAGCACACTCAACCGGGGCAGTGAGGTGGAGTTAGAAACCCTTCAAACCGCTGACTGGTCAGAGAGAATTTGTGCAACCAGTGGTTTGTGCGCCAATGTACGGTTAAACTACCAACTGTGTGTGGTTAAACTACCTACTGTGTGTGCGTAATGATGAATATGAGAGAGAGAGAGAGAGAGAGAGAGAGAGAGAGAGAGAGAGAGAGAGATAAGTAGACAGTGAACACAGTGATGTTGTCAATCTGGCAGTAAATGTACAGTGTATGTTACAGTGGGTCAGTTATTAAATAGTGCAGCTTCAACCGTGCCTACATTTAAGGATACTGGTGGAAATGTAACAGATCTAAGGTTTATGTACGGGTTTTAAGGGTACTATAGCAAAAGTGTTATACGTCAGAAACGTGGCTACTGTAAACTACATTTGCGAGAACAGAAACAGTGATAGGGTAAGGGGTAAGGGATTAACAAACAGTCAAAGTCAACCGTCACCACCACGTTATGCTCTTATGAAGCAGGCAGCAGGATGCAGTGCTTGTGCTTGGAGTTGTTTTAGACAAGAACAGTGCTAGATGTGTTCTGAATACAAAACCTTTAAATATTATTAAATATTAAATGAAATATTACTCATTATTATTCAATTAAAGTCATAAAAGTAATTCTAATTAGTTCTTCAATCTCTGTTTGTAGCAAAGCAGTTTGTGTTAGTATTACAGCTGCACTGATCAATACCCACTTGAAGTGCACTGGATAATGCCTACAACGCCATTTCTTTCAGACGATTTAAAACATGAATCAGCATTTTTGTGGTTGACTGATGGGGGAAAAAAGCAGAAAGCACGAGTGAGCAGTCTTTAGTGATGAGGTAGCGGAGATCAAAAAAACGTCCTGATCTGACAGTGCATTCTGGACTGACACAATTCCTGTTCCTGTGTGAACGCAGACTCTCAGCTGTAAGGCAGCTGGAAGAGTCATCATAGTTGGATGCGGCAGTGGGCATCAAAGACCGCCCACCCCTAGTAAACTAAGGACAACCTGAGGGGCCCTGTCTTCCTTTTTGGGTTAAAAGCAGATCATTAATAAAAGCAGCTCTGTTCTGTTAGTAGTACTGGTGTTTTTTTTTTACCTTGATGGGAGTGAGGAAGCGGTCCAGGATACTAACAGCTAACACCAGGGTCTCTGGGTATAGCTGCAGTCTGCCGTGGAGCTCCGTCAACCATCGCACAGCCTCATCCCGCTGGCCCGGGGAGATGTCTGTATCCTACAACAAACAACAAGGTTAACAACATCGTCAACGGCCTCATCTCACTAAGCCTCAGGGATGTTTGTACTGAGCATTTGTTCTTGTTCAGGTTTCCTCAAGGGGACAATAACATGTCATCATAGTTGCTGAATTTATCCTCCTCCTCAAGACAAATTATATTTCAGCTCCAGTCTAGAAACAGGTAATAAATAAATAAATATTTAGCTTTTTAAGTAGTAACTACTTAAACCTTAAGTCTACTATGATATATGATGAAGAAAAGCAGCAAGTCCTCTCCCTTCAGAAGCTGAAATCATTTTCTGCACTATTTGTGCTTGAGAAAGGACTAAAATGATAGATCAATGATCCCCTCGATCAACTGACTAATTGTTTCACTTCTATTATTACATTGTCTAAGTCAATCCATTCTTTATGTCATTAAAAATAAAAGCTGAAATAAATAAATGTAAAATATTTGTCTACAACTCCCTTTCAGCCATTTCTGTGGATACATAATGATCCAAAAGCCATTTCTACAGCTAACTCAGTTTCACAATGAACATAAGGGAACCTATTTCTGGACAAACACAAGGGGAAACAAACAAAGAGGCCTCGAGTCCTGAGGAGCTTTCCTTTCTCTGAGACAGCAATGCTATTTCAAGGCAACACTTGGCCTGGTTTAAACTGCAGGGCCAAACATTGGCAGACAGGACTTAACTGAGTCACCTAGTTTCAGATGAGGACAAACAGTACCTTCCTAAACCAGCTCGACAACCAGACCAACCCGATCCAAAAACATTCCAGGAATTCCATTTGTTAACCATCTGACAGCTGAAACAACTCAGCTGATGATTCCTTGTCACAGGTTTCTATCCAATGAAAACACTGTATGAAGGGTGTTGTATGACATGTACAGCCTTTTAATTTGCATACTCAGTACGTATTTTTAAACTGAAGCTGGGAGGAGGGAACTCCTGTATCTGATGTTGGTTGGAAAGGGTGAAGGTGTTAACAGGCTGCAGATACAACAGAGTTTTGTTAGGAAAGTTTGAACACAACAGATGCAGACATACTATACAGTTACTGTAGAATTGTAGCTAATTAACTTTACGGTAGATATTGCTGCAACTTCTCAGTCATAAACTGTGGTCTCAATTCCACACACACTGGAACAGATTGTAGACTGTTAGTTGTTTCATAAACCTTTGATAAGGAGAGCGATAAAGAAAAACTCTGAGGTTACACCAGTCCATCTGTATGAGGGCTGGATGACGCAACCAACATAAATGTCTTGATAATTGTATTTCTTATTTGCCTCACTAATAATAATAATAATAATAATAATAATAATAATAATAAACTGTAAAAAATAAATATTATATTATCTATTAAAAAGGTATGTTACACCAAACACCAAAATTGTTAGCATTAGCACTAATGTTGCAAGCTTAATGGCTGTTGCTCACGCAGATAGTAAAGACTGCCATCACTCCCAATACAACTGAGGTGAGTGGGATTTTCAACTGTGGTGCTTAAAGCACTAAAAACTCAACAGCAGCAGTCTTTCTAGAAACACTGTCCCTCAGTTACTCAGGATAATCCCCACACACCACTGCCAACAGATCTCAGTACAGCACTCTGGTATGAATAGGTCAACTGTGGCTTGAATACATGTTCATTTGTGGGTGAAAGTGGTTTAGGATTGATGATAATAGCTGCTGTGAACACCAAATTATAACACCAAATTACAAGATGCTTTCACTATTCTACCAACCAGCTATAGCTTTACAAAACCACACGTAATATAAATATGATAGTTGTCAAGAGTTTATGCTGAGGCAGAAAAACCTACAACAAGTACTGGTAAAAGTGACCAGTATTTGGCTGCTCATGATGGTGTCATTGTCGGCCATACGGCAACACCATGTTGAACCTAGGCTAAAGGTGCTACTTTTTCCCCCTTTTTTTTGTTTCTTTCACATAAACATACAAATTATATAATTTAAAAAGCATCTTTGTAATTCAATAGAAATGTTTGTATGTGTAGTCAGAAATTTCCTGAAAAGGATGCCTATAATTCATTTTCCTGATTTGTCTCAGGCCTGAAATCACTGGTTCAGTGAGTGGAATGTGTAACGCTGGACTGGCAGCAGGGGCAACAGGCCCTGTTGGCCAACTAGTCTGCAACTTGACACCGTACAACCTCTCGGCTCTTAGCTGTCCAACCTAAAAAAAAACGGCCTACTTCCAGCATGTTTCCACTGCTGGACATAAAAGACAAAGTCTGTCAAGGTGACATCAATTTTCTACTGCTTGTCCAGAGCGCAGGGGCAGCTGCAAGGTAGTCCACACATTATTTCTCCTGAGCCACTTCTGTCAGCTCTTTCTGGGGGATCCTGAAGGGACATGCAGTCCTTGTGTGTTTTACAAGTTCAGGGCAACTGGAGCATACCCAACATTTGGCTTTTGTCTTCGACCTCCACATGACACTGAAGAGGTGTATCAGCTGACTACATCAAAATCCTGTTTCAAGGACATCTCTCCCTGGTTCCTTGTCACTGCAGAGCTTCCTCAGTGCCCTCATCCAGGAAGATGGGCAAAGCTTCTTCTTCCACAGTGGTTACTGCTGGTCAGGTTCAGAAGTTCCAGCCTAGGAAACATTCTGCCTCCTGAGTCAGCTGAGGGTTTGCAAGAAATAGGTTTGTATGACAAGGTTTATCTGTGGAAAAAGGGTGTTTTTCTGTGTTCTAGTCTATCAGAATTACTCCCATCTATCTGGCCTTTCAAAAGCCCTTGGACTTGTTGCTCGCCGACAGACAAGGTTGTACACAGAGCGAAGCTCCCTCCTAAAATGAGCTACTTCCCAGCAGCCATTTTTTTTTACCCTAGGAGAGCGAAGTGATAACCTACACTACTCTGGCCTACCTGGATATTCTCACCCTAACCAATCTCAGTCCTCATGCTTAAACCCAACCAACCCAAACCATCGAAGGCAACGAGTCAGACGGGTCATGTGCGCTGCGCTAACACTGGCAAATACTGTTTTAGAGTAGCGAATGCCAGCTCAGCTTTCTAACTCTCACTTGCAAGAGTGTATTTTACCCAGCAACACTGCGGCTGTATATGTGTCTCTGAGGTGGCCGACTGCCTCACTAGTTTACATGCTGCTAACTTGGCTGAAGCCACTGTTATCTGTCATATCTGTCTCAATGGCAACATTTACTGCCTTTTATTGGTCTCTTCGTTATCAACATCAAGTATAAATATTCAGGTCTAGGGCCTAGACAAAGAGGTGTTTGTTATTCTTCAAATAAAGTTGGATTTATTTGTATTAACTCAATATCATATCCAAAGTCTCATTAGGCTTCACTTTAAGCTGTTTAATGTCTTGGTCTTTGTTTAGGTTATTCCTGTGTTCACACAGATTAACCCTCTGCTAATTTCATAACCAAAGGTCATGCTGAGGAAAACATTTTCTGTTTGGTCATTGTTTTACATATCCAGACCCAGTGAATTTATTAACACTGGAAAATGACAAAAGTAGTGCCTGGATGGAGAACAAAGCTTTTCCCTGATTAGCCAACCTGGATCCAAAACCAGACAACAACAGATCAACAGGAGGTCGACTGTATTGCAGATTTAACTAGCAGAGACATGAACGTGCTGCAGTGACTCAGCAGCAGCAAATCTGGATTAACAGTCAGAGATTACCCCACTGCTAATTCCATTTCATTTGAACAGCACACTTTCAGATCAACTGTGAATAAACAAAGTGCAGGCAGCTACCATAGTGTCACAAGGGAAAAATAAAAATCCCACACACGCATGAGTGAAGAAAGGAAAGTAAACTAACTCAAGCATTAACCACCATCGTCAATACCTCATTTCTTGGTCACATCAGCCTTGTGATGATAAACTTTTACAGTTTATACATGCAGCAAATATTACCTTTATTTTCTATGTACATTGCCCTTTTTACATTAGTGTAGCACTGCAGGTTTCTCATATCCAGATTAGTGACGAGGGATACCCTCCTGCCAACCCTGTTACCTCAATTAGCATCAGATGAGGTTGCAATCACTACTACACGGGATGTTGAGGGCGAGCAGAATAGGTTCTACAGTACCGATGTAGGGTAGATGATGCAGGATAAAAACATGGAGGACAACTTCCTTATTGTCAGCCACTGTAGACGTGCCATTTATTGGAAGATAGTAGATAAAACTGTATTTCTTCTGCCGGGTTTCTGCAGATTTCAACAGGTTAAATTTCCGGCTTTTTAAGACCATTATCAATGCACTGACATGTACTGGCCAACAAACAGTAAGAACAATATGAAGGAATCAGTATTGATTCCATGTCAGTTTTGTTTTGTAGTTGTTACAGCGTGATCAACAAAACCTTTTCCCAAAACCACATTTAAAAGTGACACTAAAAAAATCTAACTTTATACAAGTAATGTTACCTTCATTAATCTAATACATTTTAAGTAGTGCTGTCAGTTAAACGCGTTATTAACGGCGTTAACGCAAACCCATTTTAACGGCGTCAATTTCTTTATCGCGAGATTAACGTTTGTTTAATTTTGTAGTTTTTTTCACATGCTGTTGCAACAACTAGTAACATTAGAAAAACTACAACACCACACCGGATCTAGCTAGACCGGAAACAAAACAACAGGCACGCTGCACACACAGAGTAGTAGACGTTACGTTTTGAGTGGATGGCGAGCGCGAGACGCCGAAATGGATGCCAATAATATTCTGAATGGAAAGTTTCCTTTTAAAAAGTTGCAAAATGGTTGATAAGAGCATTAAAATAAGAAAAAAAATAATGGGACAAAAAGAAATCAAGGGACATTTAGAATAGATAAAAATGTGTGATTAATTGAGATTAATTGCGAGTTAACTATGACATTAATGCGATTAATCGCGATTAAATATTTTAATCGTTTGACAGCACTAATTTTAAGATCTGTCAAACTCACATTTAAGACATTTTAAGGTCTAAAATTCTGATTATTGGATTTTAGACTTTTTATGACTATATTTGTTCCACGACAAAAAATAAAATCAATGCTCTGTGCATGCCAGTCCAGTTCTTCAACACCCAATTGGGAAAATCTTTTCTTTAGGAACCTAGCTCTGTGGACAGGGACGTTGTCATGTTGAAACAGGAAAGGGACAAACAACGTTGGGAGGACAACTATTGTCTAAAATATAATGGATGCTATGGCATTTACATTACCCTTCGCTGGAACGTAGGAACCTAGACCAATCCATGTAAAACAGACCCAGATCACAAGCTCACAAACGTATATGATTGGGCTATCCAAATACCTACCTATCATACATGTAAACATGAACCACAAAAAGATCAAATCTATGTGACGTGTTGTGACTACTGCAGGGCATCTTAGGTGCATTTGGACACCAGTATCAGCATTCAGCAGACAATGGACTCTATTTCTTATTTGTTTACCACTGGAGAACGGGGGAGGTAAGGGTGAAACAATGAAACCAGGGAGAACAACACCTCCACCAGCAGGCAAAAAGAAATCCTGTGTCATGTCACAGGAAGACTGCCATTCTGTAAAATATGTGACTGTGGAAACAAAATACCACGTCACAGTTACACAGAGAGGGCTGAAAACTGAACCTGGTAACCAAGCTAATGACCTTAAATGAAGTAACATACTGCTGAGTGGATTTCTAGAATATATAAAACTATATTTTATTATACATTATAGGCCTATTGCAATAATTATGGTGAATAAGATTGTCATCAAACATTTAAGCCAACATGATGCCAGAATAAACAGCAGGGTTTCCCCTACCATTACTATATTATCTGTTAAGGAATTAATGACTGACCAACAGCACTGAAAATGTAACTTAAACTAAAATCTTGAGAGGGCAAAAACAATGGGATTAAAATAAGATTATTATTATTATGAATAAACAGGAAGGTATGAAATCATTTCACAGGTATCACGAGAGGACACGCCCGTAAACCGGGTGAGACCAGTTGAGGGTGTGATGACTCTAACCAATCTGTTTCAGAATGTTTCGGAATGTGTCTTGAGACATGCAAACCGGGTGAGACCAGCTGTGTGGTGCTGTAATGAAACTAAACGTTTGTGTAAGAGGAGTCTTTGTTCATTGACTCACTGTGTTTCTGGTACATCATTGCTTTATGATTACATGTTATCTAGTGCTGAGTCTTGGATGCACCAGAGCTGGGAACACAATACTAACTTAATCCATCTCAGCAAGTCGATTCATGTATTCAGAGTTACAGCAAACATCTGCCAGTTTGGTGGAACTGTGTCACCAGTTTCCACCCACAAATCAATGTGTGTCATCTATTTTCTCAAATTTCTATCAATTCCAAATACAAGGCAAACAGGAATTTGCTTTTGAAAGGATTTGTTGTTGACCCTAGCAGTTCCACTGTTTATGATGCTTACAGTTTCAATAAACTGTTGCTAAAACATTTATGATCAGTTATACCTTTTGTGGTGTTAGACTGTTCAAATACCTGTGTAAGGTATTTGCTGTTAAAGTTATCATCTTGGGAAAACTATGACTATGTATGGATGCATCTATTTAAAGGAAGAATCAGTGTCCCAAACTGAAGCACCAGAATCATTTTCTCTCTGTGTCAAGATGTATTTTGTCCATGAAATGTTTTAGTTATTGAATGGCAGCACCCAGAGGTGAATCCTCACCTGAGAGGAGGGCTTCTTTGGCACGTAGATCCTCCACATCTTGGCTTCCCTAGAGGCGGCCTTTTCCAGAAGAAAAGACAGCCTCTGGCGTCCCCAGGGTTCGAAGAACTTCATTCTTTCCTCCCCTGGTTGAGCCTACCTCCCCACTGGATACAGCTACCTGCACAGGGACACATCAGAACATCACATACTGTAATCCATCCAAAACTGGTGAGCTTGAATTATACTACACAAACAATGCTGTTGACATAACTTTATGACACAAGTTTTGCATCAATATTCCCACTGTTTTTCTGCTAATACAACATTGGGGGTTGAGAGCAGACAGAGGTGTGAATGACAGTAAAATGTTATCATGGGCCCCTCATCAAAGGTTGCATATATATATATATATATATATATATATATATATATATATATATGCCACTAGTAGCTTTTCCCTGTCAGACCGACTTTGTTTTATACTTTTAGAAGACTGAGGAAGTAAATAGAAATTCACAATCAAGAAACTCAAACAGAGAAAGGTTAGGGTGGGAAATATGACAATACCAGTATACTGTAAACCATGCACAGTATAAATTTGTCAACTACCAGAGACTGTGTTTCCATTGTGGATACTATCCCTTTAATATCTCTGGGTGTATTGTGGATAGTGATAAACTGATTAATCAGTCTGCTATTAACTGGGTCAATTATCTGACATTTTAAGATAAACGACATCGGCCGATGTCTGTGCTTATGAGGCCAGTAAACAAAACATATGTTCAGACAGATCTGCTGGCAGCATTGTCAGTGTGGCTGCTGTGGAACCATGTTAGAGCTCCCCCTTTGTGTGTTCTGGGAAGCTGGTGAAAAAGCTGGTTTCAAGCCCTGCACTATAACTCTGCTGTAAACATACAAATTATAGATTATAATTATTATTATACAAACCTTTTCTTTGTTTTGATATCTGCATAATATACCAGCCACCGGAAGCCATGCTCTCTAAATACTGGCATTTGCCATTACAAAACCCATATAGGTCGACCTGTAATTGTGGATGATGTTGAATTTTAATAAGCTTTTCGCACCAATGGGAAGTTCTTTGATCTGCCAGGTATTTCATTGGGGCTAACCAAAGCCAGACATCCCTGTTGGGTCTCAGCAGAAAATGTATTATATAACAATATATATGGATACTGGGATATAAAATGACATGCATTGGGATATAGAAAGTGAATAATTACCCCCCACCCAGATGCATGAAAATACAAAGAAATCATTTGTGTTGGGTAAATATATTTTTCTTCTATCCTATCCTGTTAATAACGTAATAATGTGTGCATGCTGATGTTTGTGCTAAATGTTGCATCAGTCCACTGTTCCTGTTCTAGCAGACCCCAATCACACTGTGGTAACGTTACCTATTTCTTTAAAGAAACTCCATAAGAACAACCTTTGTTTCTGCTATTGCATATTCAGCATAAAGTTACATAATATCCAGCTACGGTTAGCTTTGAATCAAGCTCACTGCAATGAATTCAGTCACCGTCTAAACAGTGAAATCCAACATCTTCTGTTTTCATTGGGAACTACCTTTAACCTCCTCCCAAAAGTCCCATTGTGCTGGAAACCACCGGGCCTCCCCCCGCAGGTGCATTACAAAGCGTTTCCTTCCATTATTACCCGGAATGCAGCTATTGCTTGGAGCTAATTTGACAGCCTGGCGTCGCTAGCAACTAACGTTAGCTAGCGACGCGACGTCGAGCACAAACCAGTATGTAGCTGACATATTTTCAACTTAATGTTGAAAACGTTGGTCACCACCCTCGCTTTGTCTCATGTAAAAGAAGTTGGGGTGCGTTTACGGCAAAGACTGCGCCAACCTACAAAGTAGGGACATTTAAATGGCTGACTCACATCCAGCAAGTAGCCGTAGCCCCGAGCCTTACCTCCCCTGCGAAGCGGAGAAAACCACAGTTGGATTTCATCCGGTCCACTCAATTCCAGGATAAGTAAAGGGGTGAAATCGGGGACCCGTTGTTGAGTTTAATCGTCCATCCCGGCATCCATGGTGCTAAGTATAGGGGAAAAGGGGTTGTTATAAAAAATATATAAAAATAAATGAACGGAATATAGACAGGCGTCTACTTCCGAGGAGGGGACTGGGGGGAGAGACTGGAAGCAGGCTCCGCCCACCTCCAGGCCGGACCAGAACAGTATGTAGTCAGTGGTTGAGCCAATGTCTTCGTTTTTATGTCCCAAACATTACACATGAGATTTACCCAGCTACAACAACAGCTGTTTAGTTCCCACTTCCCCAATTGACTCAATTAAAGTTTAAGCAGCATTACTGGCTTCATATTCACTTCAATTGCTTTGATAAAAAAATGAGAATCAAAGCCATACTTCTTAACAATAAACAGAGCCACACCAGATATCCATTTCCCTCCATGTACTGTCGCCTAAATTCCAGCTCCTTTGCTTACATTATTGTGCCACTGACATGTAGCTCAGTGTTGCATTGTGTTACAGGTAGAAGGGGCATTCAGAGGCTGGGGAATGACTGAGGATGCAGTGATGTGGGCAGCAGAGAAACCCCAGGATGAAGCCAACTGTTCCGTACCTGGGGCTGTATTACAGACACTTTAGAACTTAACTGTTTGGTAACCATGGTAATTAGAGTTAAGATCTGATATAGGAAAAAAGCCATGGCAGATGAACAGTTCCTAAGTCATCTATCTTATACCTCTCTGTCTTTATTTTATGTTTATGCTGCAGTATGTTTTAATTAAAAAAAAACAAAGTTGTTTAGGCCGGTGAGATGAAAATAAAAGTTGATAGGTGATGTTGGTTTGAGTATTATGATTTCCTAACCTGATTTAAGATATGATGAAGTAAGATATGATTCCTAAAGTTAGTCAGGATCTTAGACTCTTCCTGTCTTAACTGAATTCTTGCAAGTTTCTGTAATACAACCCCAGAACTATTCACACAGTCCAAATAACAAACAACATGTCCAGAGCCTTTAAATACAGTCAGTAATAAAAGCATTCATTGCTTGTTTGTGTTTGGATGTACATGAAGAGTACTAGCCATTTCTTTATTGTGACTACAACCTTTAAATGTATGTCAGAATTAAACATTTTTAAGGAAATCTTGTTGCACATAAGAGTGGAGGGGCGAAGAGCATAGGGTCACATGCACAGACTCGGCTGTCTGGGCCTAAAATATGCACAAATAAAAACACAGAATATTGTTGTATTAGTATCAGTATTATAAGGTTGCAATAAAGAAAAAGAAATAAATTATTTTGGAAAGAAGAGGGAAACTGTGACTGAACAGTTAATACTGAAGACACCACTGGCAGTGTTGTGGTAAACAGGAAGTGAAGACAAATGTGCAATTTGTAACATCAGTTTAAAATAAACTGAAGTGGGGTGACTCTCTTTTTACCAGCATATCCCATCATTTTCTTTAACAGTTGCAGATGGCAGAGCTGATCATTGAAAACTGAGAGTTTATTAGAGGAACAAAACATTAGCACAGTCAGAACTACTATTCAGATTCCTTCAATATAAATTCTAGTTTTGCTCATTTAAAACGGATTTCCTTGCTTATATCATTTAGTTCCTCCCAATTACTAGCATTTCTAATTCCCTGGACACTACGGTAAGATCTAGAGCTGACTCTACTCCATTGCTGAAATCAACCCTGGTGCCTTTCCCATTGATTATACTTGCTAATAATAACTATCTCTCTTATATTCCCCCAAATCTCAGGAACTACTATCAGTATTGTGCTTAATCGATACCCTCCCATAAGATAACAAAGGTTGCCCATCCCCCTCCCTGACCACCGTCTTTGTCTTGTAAAGTCCAGATATTTCAGTAAGGTCTCTTGAATGCAGATAACTTCTGGTTTATCGTTTAACTGTTATATATATTTCTCAAACTATTGACCTTTCACAATAAGGCTTCCACAAAGACCATAAAGTTAAATTTGTCCACTATCAAGGTGTTATCTGTTACTGCTTCATGGGACTCAGATTATGCTCCTGTGGTAATCTAGGTTAATGGACAATCCTGCCTCAGTTTATATGAGAATATTTAGGTACTTTCAATGGGACTTATGAGTTTAAAATGAGCCTGGTAAGCTTTATGACATTTTCTGTGATATATTATTTACATTAATAAAGAGTTTAAAATGAATTCTTCTATTTTTCTTTACTTTGCTAACACATTATACAGCATGTAAAAGGTGACAAGAGTTAGGCAATTTTTTATATATAAAACCTACAGTACAGTAAACTCAACCCTGCTTTACATCAAAAATGCATTTGCGAACCCACCCACGCAAAGGAACTCACATACTGTATAGACAAACAGTGATCATAAACCTGAGAAAAAAAGGTCTCTGTGTACATTTGAATGAACACAATGTAACACCAAATATTCTTTTGCAAAATATAGAGTTTATGGTGGGTTTTTTCTGTAACTTTGATTATGATGTAACCCAGAGATCTGTGTTTTTGGTTGCGTGGGCCTACGTTTGGGGATGTAGTGGTTCCTCAATAAAGCAGAACTCCAACATAAAGACGTATTTGCTGACTCCAACTATGACAGTTACTGCTTGGAGAATTCCCTTCGAGGGATGACTTGACGACTACATGAATGGTTTTCTGTTCTTCCTATATTTGTTAATTTCCTCTTAACAACTACTGAATGCAGATTGTTGTCTACCCACTACAAGTTATTTTACTGTATCTGTTTCCCTATGTTGTTAACACTGGAACAGGCTGAGAACCATTTTCACAGACGTTATTTATGACATTTATCATAGAGCTTGCTGAAGACAATAAAAGACACAGTCAAAAGACACTACGTAATGCTAAGATTGCGTCAGGGATCTGTATAACCACGAGCCAATCAAAGCCTTCTATTTTGGGCGGACTATTTGAACGCACCAAATTGCAGCTCGCCGATTGGCTATTGGAAACATCACTCAGATGGGGATCGTCTCATGCGATAGATACGCTGTATTTCGATTTCAGTGGCATTTATCAGTTGACTGAAGATTGATTATCGATCTCAAGCACAAACTTGTGGTCGATAATGTTAGAAAATAAGTTAAAATGATACCAAAACATTAGGGTGCAAGCTGAATTCCTATCGTTGAGCACGAAAGGGGCTGATTTCTTCTTCTCGAACCCAAGCCTTTGATTGGTTGCCACATGTGACGTCGCCATGTGGGCGTGAACGTTGTGAACATCAACAAAAGAGAGAAAAAGGAGAAAGGAGAAAGACGAGAAGGACTCTACGATACAGCAGGACAGAAACAGATATGTGGATTTAACCTGCACTAACAGGTAGAGTAAACCTTTATACATATATTAAAACACTATAATGTACTGACTGAACGTATTTGCTGAACCAACGTTACATTTTGCCTTACACTTATCTCGAAAGAGGAGAGAAGGGAAAAAAAGAGCTGATGAAAGTGAGCGGTCGACAATGGGACGTTATTTTACCCATAATCCTAATTAACAGGAGCTAATGACTCTCCAAAATGAAGAACTTGTCTCTTTTTCTTCTGCATTTAATTTTCTATCAGGCCATTTCGACAGAACTCGTACAGGGAAGATGTTATTAAAGGGTATTTTCTAGTTTCACTATCTGTAAGGAAATAGTGTCATTTATGGCGAGTGCTTCCCTTTTCTTGTCGTAATTTAAAGATCAAAAACAACAGTTTGACGTTAGTTTGCACGTAACGGTATCCTTCCTACAGCTGAAGATGTTTTTCTTCTCGTCTGTAATTGTGTTATTGGTATCCGCTCTACCCGTCTCCTGTTTGTAACACGGTTATATCCATAAGGAGAAACCAACACAAGCTAATTTTGGTAGGTTTAGTGCACCAACAGTCCACTATACCGTCTAAAGCATTAGTTTGGCGTTGATAACCGTTTTGACAGTATCATTTGATAGACCTTTAACGTTTGAGGAATGAGACATATCAGCCCCTCCCCCGCTCTTACAGAGAGGATTTAAAACCATAGCTAGCTGCAGCTAACGCTAGCTTTCTTACTTGTCATCAACTATCTAAAACGGTAAAGAAAGGAGGATTTCCAAACGTGGGGATTATGTTTTTGTGTATTTTAGGTTGGTTATTAACCGGCAGAGCCTTGGAGGAGAAAAAAGCAGTTGTTTTTCGGTCAATAGGACAGAAGGCGTCTACCAGAGGAAATCTGACACCGGAGCCCAGCTGAGGGAAGTGGGCTGGGCTCCGAGCTGTGACCCCCGTTAGGGCTGAGAGCCAATGTAGGCCACTGCTGTACAGTAATAACACACACACATAGCCCGGAGGACAGACTCACCGTGTCTACCAAACATGGATATATATATAATGGCATTTTAAAATATGGCTCGGTATTCTTCTTAATTATTTATAGATATATCCTAAGATTTGTTTTACATAAATTCCTAATATCTGTGAAACCACAGGGGTATGGCATTGTGTCTTCCATGGTTTCTTATTACTCGTGTTACATAAAACAGAAAAATAAATATTCTTGGTACTAAAAAGTAATTTAGGTCTGCCCTTTTTGATGAAATACACTGTTATAATGTCAGAAACTGGGGGAAATGTCGTCCATGGTTTCCCCAAGCTGACATCCTCCACTGTCTTGTTTTGTCCACAACCCAAAGATATTCAGTTTGCTGTCAGAGAGGACTAAAGAAAGCAGGAAACATGAACATTTGAGAGGATTTCTTTCTCTTTTCTAAAAGTGACTCAAAATGATTAGTCAAATGTCAAAACTATTTGAAAGCATGAAACTACAGTTGTGATTTTTGTGGATTGCTCACTGATGTGAACACCTGCTCTCTCCCCTTTTGCAGTGAAAATATTGTGCTGAAAACAAAGACATCCCTTGCTCCAGTGCCAGAGACATGGACGCCTTCAAGCTGATGAAGGAGCTGAGGGTGAATTATGAGCAGGAGGCTCATTATCTCCCTAAAGAGACGGGGTTGAACCTCATCGAATCCACAATGCAGGTGAGCACATTTGACAAAAATGGATCCACAGTAGATTCAGTACGCTGGGAACATTCTCAACATAACCCACATTTAGGGGTATAGATATGTTATTAAAGCTCCCCTTCAGACATGTATTAAGACATAAATAGTTCAAGCTGCAGCTGTAGGAACAGGAACTTATTTTTGAGCTTTTCTGCCAAAATGGGATGAACTGGATTAATCAACTTTGTATCGATGTCTTTGTATTCCAGGATGACCGTCGGATCTCGGCTAAGTGCAGAAATGCCAAAGTGGAGGACCTTTGGAGTCTGACCAGCTTCTTCGGTTACAGCACGCAGACCTTCGTCCTGGCTGTCAACCTGCTGGACAGATTCCTGGCCATGATGAGGGTACGAGACATTCACACGTGATACAACCAGACATACATTCAAACAGGCACTGTAGCTTTTGGTTTTCCTTCATTTAAACAGCAGACGTAGAAGCAAACAAAAAGCAGCCTGAAGTGGGTATTAATACACGGTTGATGTAACCGGGTTCAGCTCAGTGATGTGAAATTGTCGCTCTACCAGTCGTTTACTCACGTGTCGTCCCCCTCAGATCCAGCCAAAGCACTTGTCTTGCGTCTGCCTCAGCTGCCTCAACATGGCGGCCAAAGTGACGGAGGAGGAGTGCAACCTGGCGCCCACCGACGAGCTCATCCGCATCGGCCAGTGCAGGTTCAGCGTGTCCGACCTCGAGCGCATGGAGAAGGTCGTCGCCGACAAACTCAACTTCAAGTCCAAAGCCGTCACTGCCTTAACCTTTCTGCACTTGTACCACCAGATCGTACTTTCACACTCCACAGACAGGTGAGGCCATCACACACAGGGAGTGATCTGTAACTTCATATCCTGTGAAGTCCAGTCCAAAGCACCAGTTTTTAGATTGGTTAGCTTTAGTTCATTGTCATGAAAATCGACAGAATTCCTTTTGCATCAGCTACAAACAACCTTTATTTCTGAATGTGGAAAGCTGGAATTCCTTATTGAGGCTTTCAGGATTTGTTTCACATCTCTGAATGTCAGCATAAAATACCAGAGTTCAGGTCAACAAAGATTTCCCCATGATCTGATTGGTAGAATCTCTCCACACCACTGCTGGTTTGTCACAGCACTTGAAGTAGGGCATCAGTCGACTATCAGCCAACTTTAACGTCTGACTGAAGTGCACTGATAAGATTTGTTGTCTGCTGCCTCTGGCACCAACACCTCACACTTGCATAACCCCGGCACAATGTATTGTTATTAATATGTCCGGCTTTGGTTCCAAACCCAACACACACACACTTAACATTAGATTTGGTTTTTAAAGTGTTTCTGAGTTATTATACTTTTGTCTTTTTCATTAGTTTTTAGTTTAATTTAACTATAATAAACTCGGTTTCCACATACAGATTTTGCATCTTTGGAGGCGACAGTTACACAGGGCTTATTCTCTATATAAACATATGAACGTTTTGATTCTGTCTCGGAAACAGCTCTGACCTGACTCTGTGTGTGTGTGCGTGTTTGAACAGGAAGGAGACTCTGAGCCTGGAGAAGCTAGAGGCTCAGCTCAAAGCCTGTCTTTGCCGGATCTCCTTCTCTAAAGCAAAGGTAAGAATTCACTGCAGGGGTCAACTGTCAGACAGGATTACAGCAGCTCAACAGCCTAATGACACAGTCCCAAATGAGTTTTGTTATGTTGCTGTTAGTTTGACGACAACACTGAAACTCTGCTAACATGTTTCTGTCTGTTCTTCCCTGTCTTTTTCTGTCCTTCCAGCCGTCCGTGCTGGCCTTGTCTCTCCTGAGGCAGGAGATAGAAGCTGTTCGGTCCAAGGACATGTTGGAGATAGCCTATCACATCCAGAGACACTTGAAGGTAAACACAACATAACTTTATTACACAACAACTCGTCCAGGGAGGGAAAGTAACACCTGTGAGAACCCCATGGAATGGAAAAGCACAAGGAAAGGTGTGCTTTTCCAAAACAGAGGCACCAACACTCACAACAGCAGCTCGGGGCCAATTCATTTCAGAGGAGCTGAGGGTCTAAAAGTTTACTTTGATGGAGTCGAGTTGGTATGGGCTCATAATTTCCTGGATCAGATACAAACAGGAAAGGTTTCCTGTTTGTATCTGATCAGAGAAGCCGTAACTCCACAGACATCTACATGACAACTGTATTAACCAGCCATACAGCCTGCAGGCTAACTACTTAGAGTTTACACTCCAGTTTGTGGCTGGGCAGAAGGGAAGTGAACACAACACAGAATCATGGGAAACTGTGTTGGGGGGGCGGGGGGCTGTCTGTTTATTCTTAGCTCGGCTCTGGTCCAAAATTTTTTTCTATTGACGGCTGTGGTTTCGTAAGCTGGTGTCCTGTGTTGTGACGGCAGAAAAGAGACCTTTAAATGCCCCCAGTCACTATGGGATTTCTGTCAACTGTCGAGTGTTTGTGCTTAAACTGGTGATATTTTCGGGCTTTTCCACCCTTCTTTACCCAATTGCCTGAAATCTGAGAAGAGACTAGTGTTTTCCCCCTAAATTGAGTTTTGGATTATTTATTTTTTATCTGCTACAGTGACACTTTCACTTTCCTGCATGTTTGTCGTTCCAACCCTCCCAGCTACAGTATGTACACTCAGGTATTACGTGACCGATAAGGTTTCAGCACAAACCTACAGACGCGGTTTTAACCTGGTTTCTCTTAACCCCGTGACCTGGAAAAAGAAACCAGGGATCCATTTACAGGAACCCTTTTCAAAGTGATTACATGATCTTAAACCCACTGATGTTAGTCAGTTAGTGAACAGGGCTGATGTCCAAACAGCTAAATCAAACTGCTGTGTGGTTTGGTTTCAGATTGTGGATGACGAGCTGCGGCTATGGAGTGAGCGTGTGGCGCTGTGCCTGTCGGACTACGCCTCCCCCGAATGCAGCAAACCCAACCACAGGAAGTTGCAGTGGATAGTGTCGCGGCGGACCGCCCAGAACCTGCACAGCCACCGCAGCGTCCCCGAGCTGCCCACCATCCCCGAGGGCGGCTGGGATGAGAGCGAGAGGTCAGAGCCCCAAATATACCTGATCAAAATACTAACTCTGTCAGGACCCCAAAAATGCCTGTGTGAGATACTCGGTCAGATAGAAAAACAAACCTGAATAGGATACCAAAATAAACAAATTAATAGTAAAATAATTACTATAAATAAATACTAAAAGTAAAATAAGTGATCACATCCTTCACATAAGATTTAGTGCAAATATAGACAAGTGCAAATATTGATCCAAGGATTTTAAGAGTTAACATTTAGTCCTTCAACTAACCACAACTAGAAGTACTCAGCCCAAATAAAATAAGGGATGAAAATACCAGTCTCACATTAAATGAGTAGATAAAAGATGTAAGAACAATAATTTGGCAAGACTAACATTCACTGTTAATGTTGAACATGAGTTAATGGTTTCTGATACTTGGTGCAACAAACACACTTCAGACCAAACTTCAACAGTCAGACTCTGAGTTGCTTCATTGACAGTGGATCATGTTAGTTTCACTTTTGATCCTGATGCAGATGGCAGACGGCAGACAGACATCATGAATTAGCTCACAGCAAACACTCCTGAAAACACCAGAGGCATTTAAAATTAAAAGGAAACTGACACACCCTGTGTGTCACCACACACACCTGGAATGTTTACATTTGTATAGCAACAGTGCAGTGACAAACACTGTAAAAAGTCTGTCTGAGGTTGACTTGGATCAGCTGGACGTGTCTTAGGGGCCGCCACACGAATACGTTTTTTTAGAATCCGGATAAATACTGTATCGTATCGGCCTCGCGTCCAGATGGATACGCCGTTTTTGGGGTGTGAAAACGGTATTTTTTGGAAACGGGTACCAGAGTGGGAAAACGCCGGATTGCCAGGAGTTGTCTGGACGGCGATAACGGATAAGCCCCGCCTCTCTCTAGCCTTTAATCTCCGCCGCTGCTAGACACGTCATAACAACAACAACAACAACAATGGCAGACTACTACTACTTGTTTGTAAACAGCGCATGCTCCATGGCTTCTCTTCCGGCTTTAGTGGCATATGTACTACAGCGCTTTGGGTCGTTTCAGTGAATCAGTGTGAACGCAGATATTTCGGGAAACGACGCCGTGTTTAATTTTTCTCGAAACAACATCGTATTGGGTCAGGCCGCGTATTCGTGTGGACAGGCCCTTAACTTCACTTGTAAAAACTAGGACTGGAGTAAAGCTCACTAGCATATTAAATGATAGCTTTTGAGTATGGGCATTTTTTATAGTGTGCAGTAACACTCCTGTTGCGGCAACCAGCTGTGCAGAAACACACAAGTTCCTGATATGTTGTAACAACATGACACACACACACACCCTCTGACTGTCTGAGCTTGTCAGGGCCTCTCATATCTTGCAGCACCGTGCGATCGGGATCTGTGCGAGGCACCGCTCACGTCCCACTGACAGACGTTTCCATGACGTCACATGAGGCCCCAGTGCCCTACCTTTATTGTAACATGGAACTTTTTTTTCCTGGGTGTGTGAAAAGATGGAAGTAAACACGAAGACGTTACCCAGCTGACTCCTGTAAACATTAACCCACAGACAGCTGCTCATCATCACGCCTGTTTAAATCCTTCTTTTATAACGTTTCATTTTACACCTTAACTTTCTGCCCAGACTCAGCAGATGTTAACACACCCACAGCTGAGTCACACTTTAACTGTCGAGTCAGAAGATGTGATCAGCTGATGATAGATGGTCTGTTTTTTTTCTTCTTGCTGAATTGTGTAAACTCCCTGCCTTTTGTCCTAGTGTGACGTAAATGCTAACAAGTTCAGGAATCATAAAGAGGGCAAAGTGATGCTTATTGTATCGTTGTACTTTGGTTCATCCATATTTCTTACTCATATTTTTTTTAGTCCTTCAAACATCAGAAATCATGACCAATATCTGCCACAACTTAAATCTTCAGTTTTGCCTCTGTCTGATCAACACTCAGAAACTCAATGTAAACGTAGTCGATTTAAATGTATTTATTTAAACCTGTTCATGCCTTTTTTAAAAAACATAAAAATAAATAAAAATATTGACGACTGTCAGAAAAAAAGACAATTTTGGCTGAATAAATGACAAATTGTTCATTTTCTGTTTGTCGACTAATCGTTTGTCAGCACTTTTCAGTATTGATATAAAGAACTCAAACGACGAGTTGATTAATCAATTAGTTGTTAATTATTAAATGAATTGCCAACTTTTTCATAAACAAGATGTTCACATTTTCTGATTTCCGCTTGTCCCGTGAATATTCTCTGGTTTCTTTGGTCCTCTATCACAGTAAACTGAGTATCTGGGTTGTGGACGAAACAGAATCAGCTGTGTGTGTAAAGCTCTATACGGCTGTGTATAGTGACAGTATGTCCCTGTTTGTGTCTCTACAGCGAGGACGCCATGAGTTCAGGTGAAGAGTCTCTCAGCAGTTCTCTGGGCAGTGATGCCGAAGGGCGCTTCTTCCCTATGTACCTCCGCCGCCCAAAATACCACCAAAACCTCCACGCCTGACGCCTCTGCCGCCACGTGCCTTGCCGTCTCCACCCCCAACCTCTTTGCTTTATCCTATGTTTTTAATTTATTGTTGTCATAAGCTCCGGTGCTGGTGGAGAATTGCACAAAAACAGGCAGCTGAGCAGTCCGGACTCTTCCTGGTAGACTTGGTAGATTTTAGTTTGTAGATGTAGTGTGTTGGTGCATGAGATGTCACATTCCAGGACGCAAGATTTTATGGGTGTACAAGTGATGTTATATGAAATTTAGACTCGTGCAGTCTGGTCTTTATGATGCTGAGCTAGCAGTCAGATAAATAACATCTCAGTGCTGAGGCGTCAGTTCAGACCAGAAATGGTTCAGGTTATCGGCAAGAAGGAAATGAGCTTAAACATGTGGTGTTTAATAGACTGTTATTAATCTAAGACTGTTTTTATTAAGGGTGAGGATGAGTTTTCCTGATGTACAGAAGCTGAGTGGCTGCAGGCTCGCTGATCTTACTATCTTGATGACAAATTATGCCATTTTTGGTGCTCATATTTATAGTATAGGATAGTTGCTCAAAGAAAAGCACATTGATAACAAGATGTCCTTCAATCTGCTACCTTGAGATCAGAATTTTCTCATGTTGCAAATTCGGTGAAACGGGTCGAGTTCTCAACTGAAGCTCACAGCCTCATTATTAACATTAGCTCCAAATGTTAGGGGATCAAGCTAAACGGATTCAAAAAGGTACAATGACATTCTATCAGTGCTCAAGCCTGCTCATGTGTTGGCCTTTGTGGCCTGTTGGTCTGGAGATAAATGACTTCAACGTGAACTAGAGGTCTTCACAAGTTTGCCTGGGACCTGACCTGAGGCCTGGCCCAGTTCCAAACTATATTCAGTCTAATCAGGCCTCTTATTATCTTGCCTTATTATCCTCGAGTGCATCTTAGATCTTTGTGTCCCACGTATCGGTTTCAGTTATAAAGACTTCTGAAGTAAAGTACCGAAGGGATATTGAAGTCTTTATCTGGATCACAGGGTTGAAAACTAAATTTGAGCATAGTTTGTCGTTTAAGATAACTGCGTTGTGATGTTGATATGACAAACTGTTGGCGAGCTCAGCCACTCTCATCTTCTGTAGTCAAGTTCATTTGCACAGTTTTCTTTTCTCTCATTTCAAGTGTTAAATGGACAGACTGGAGGTCTGGGTTTGAATCTGAAGGGAAACATGTTAGAAACTGTCCGGCGAATCCTTCGTTGTCGGGGCAATGGGGTGAAGTGCCTTGCTCAAAGGCAGCAGGGAGAGAGATCTGAATCAGCCTGACTTTCCCCTTCAGATTCCAACCCCGCTGACACCACAGGGTGCTCAGAAACAAATATTTAACGAGTGTGTGTTTGTGGATGTGTGTATGTACGACCCTGGTTAAAAGTCAAAGTTGCCAATTTTAGTATGTAGCTTCAAAAAAAAAAAGAATGGTGTTTTGAAACTGTTTAGAGAGAATGTTGTATGAACCAATAATGCTGACAGTGTCAAAAAAGTCTAAAAAATGTCAAAAATGTAAGAAAATGTCAATACAAAAACATGTAAAACTGTAAATGATGTACAAAAAAAAACTGTTAATAGTTCTTTGTAGATATTAAGTTATTTATTCTCTTTTTGTCACCTGTACTGAAAAAAAGAAAATCTTATAAAAATCTTATTTTTTAATCTGTTGTCTCTGTTTTTCTTCCATCATGTCTGAAAACAACAGCCAGCCTCTTGGTTTCATTTTCTAAATCAAACTGAAACTGAAACTGAATGACGCAGATACATAACCTGGTTTATTTAGAGACTGATGTTGCTCTAATTGGATGATATTTGTTTTATTGTGACAGAGTACTAGGGCCATTGTTAGGATTTCCAGAAGACTGGTAATATTCTGAGAAAAATTACTAGTAAATATGAGAAATAGTTTTCTAAAAGTCAATGATTTTGCTGTTGCTTTGGACAACAGAAAGTAATGATATAAGGGATTAATTTAAACTGATGTAATGACATCTGTGCTAATAAGGTGTGTATTGGTCAAATATACACTTCAGTATTTACAAAGTGCCTTATTTCACCACTAGGGGTCAGAGCTGCTGGGACACTTCCTGTATACTAAACAACTGAGCTAAGAGAAGGGGGGTGGGGGTGACCGCCCCTTACTACATATGACATATCTTCTGGATTAAGTATCAAATAGCTGAACTTTCTCAAGAGATTTTTTCCTTCACGTGCTCCTTTTTCTCTTTGAGAACTGACTGTAGAGCTACACCATGTTCCTGATGTTAATCAATGAGAACCCAAGTCTTCTTTGAGTGGTGGTTTTATTGAGAAAATCTCTTTTGTGTTTAGAAAAGCAAATGTAGAAAAGTTTCATAAATAGAATTTATCACAGTGAGCGAGGTGCACTTTCATTTATCAGTAAAAAAAAAAAACTGAGTAATGTCTGAGAAACTGTATTGATGGAGAAATACAAAACAAAAATAAGATTTCACTTTCAGAATGAATCATCAGCTCAGTTATCTGCAGCCTGACCGACTGCTCAGATCACCAGACACTGCTTGTTCCTTACAGTACTGATACACACAGACAGACAGACAGACACACACACACACACACCAAAGACAATAAATTCGGCTCAGTCCTACCAAATGAAACGTGGTCCGTGTTCTTCTCCAGAGCTCTTTCTGTGATGGATCCTTTTCCAACATGCATTCAGTTTATCCTCCTCCATTAGATCCAGTTTGCATGTTCAATTTCTGTAAGTACGATCCCAGCGTATAATACTTTTATAGATCCAAAGGATTTACTAATCCTGACCCAACTTAAGAAGCCAAGCCTTTTTTTCCAAACGATACGCCTCTCTGCGTGACGGACAGACCGACCAACCAGTCAAAATCCCATTCGAGATTTCTTCTTCTTGGGTTGCGAGGCCTGCGACAGCCCCAGTCGACCCTGTGAACTTTGGGACTGGGACAGGGACTGAGAGAAGCCGGACCAAACCAAGGTGTCCTGGGAGAGGTTCACCCTATGGCTTCTCTGAGGGACAGCCTGGGAGCTGCGGAGCTGAGAGGAGAAGGCCACAGGTGGAGGTGAGGGGTGCACGGTGCTGCCCTCTTCCAGGTAGTAACTATCATGCTGCAAGGGCTCATCCTGGAAACAGAGTAAACAATTGTTGTGAGTGTAAAACCAAACTGTATTTCTGTGTTTTGCTTCTGGTCTAAGAACCATGTAGTAGCAAAGTCTGACTCTTGTTGCTCATCATTCCTCCCATCCCTATTGTCAAACCAAAAGACAAAAATGCCCCAAAAAGGGCTTTTTATAAAGGCCAATGCTGCTGGTTTCATGTTTGAGCTGTTAACAGGCAGCTGTGGCTCAGAGGAAGAGCGGGTTGTTCCTTAATCGGGAGGTTGTGGGTTTGATCCCCGGCTCCTGGTGCCACATGCCACACGAAGTATCCTTGAGCAAGATACTGAACCCCAAATTGCTCCCGATGCCGTGCATCGGTGTGTGAATGTGTATGATTGTTAGTTTCTGTTCGATGGACTTTGCCATCACTGAGTGAATGTGTGTGAAAGTGCTTTGAGTGGTTGGAAGACTAGAAAGGCGCTATACAAGTACAGGTCCATTTACCATTTAACCAAAAAGAATTTTTAAAAAAAAGGACCAGTGTGTAGATTCAGATTGCAACCAACTGAATACAGCTCAGCCTTCCAAGCATGTAAGAGAAACTCCAGTGGCTGTAAAACTGTAGAAACATGGTGGCTCAACAACGAGCCCCGTAGAAGAGGAGCCGCTCCCTCTGTAGATAAAAACTCACTGGTGTGCTCTCTATGGCAGGACAGTGTTTCAGTAACTTGGCTTGGACAATAGCAATACTGGGTTATTACATTGATGACTCACCGATAACTATACAAAACACGCAACTTTATTCACTGACTTTGGTGAAACTGGATCATAATTTATAGAGTAATTATTTCTGTCTTCCCTCTGATGTCCTCCACCTGCTCTGCTTCAACTTTCATTTTCACTTTGATCTATGGAATTTCTAGATGGAAATATAGCCCTTGTTGTTCAGCTGCTTTGTTTTTGGTTTCTCCAGTTGAAGAAACAATTGGACAATCAGAGCTTTGGAATGGTGCCATCATCTCCCAGTTACCTAACAGTAATAACTGTTAAAGCGACATATTTCTGTCATGGTGATAGAAGTTAACTGCTCCAAGCAACCACCACCACAGCTTTTGTGTCAACTGGACTGTTGTTAGGTGCACAAATATTACAGTACTGAACACATCACCTGTCTCTTACCTGTTGTGCAAACAGAGAGCTGAGGTAGCGCTCGCCTGGATGTTTGTTCCTCCTCTGACTGGCCGGTGTGGAGTCGGGTCTTGGAGTCTGGGACAGGGAAAGGGTGCGGGAGCTGCTTGGGGTCTCCTGCTCACCTTTTTTACCTTTAACAGTTTGAGGTGTGGCCGCCGGCGTGGCAAATGGAGAGTCTGTTTGCACGGTGCTGGCTGTCGCGCCTCTTGGCGTCCCATGCTCCAAAAAGCTCTCCAACTGGGACGCCGGACCTTCCGAGTCTGACTGCGCCCCCCGGCTTACCTCAGAGGACCAGTCTGAGAAGTCGTCAAGCTCTGACTGGTAGCTGGATGAGGAGAAGCTCGCAGACAGCTCCAGGAGTGCACCAGCGGCTCTCTTCGCCGCCTTCTCCTTCCTCCTCTTCCTCCTCAGAGCCTGCATCTTCTCCTCCCTGTTCAGCCCCAGCTGGTCGTTCCACCATGCCCGCCACGCCTCCACCCCCTGCCAGGACAAAGTCAGACGGTGGCTGAGCTGATCTGTCCAGACTGCTGTGTCCACAGGATCTGGCACTGGTACTGCATCCGGAGCCTCGAGCGACGCAGAGACTGCGCTGTGGACCAGCAGTGAGCGTTTGGACATGCACGCTCTCAGATCCCGCCTGAGGCTTTGTACACGCTCCTCTTCTGTCGAGTCTCTCGCTTCATCGACAGACGGGTTGAGGAGGCTGTCGGTTGGGATCGTGAAGTGCTGCAGGCGGTGTGGGCGGGGCTTCTTTTCACGACTCTTTTGCATCAGTTTTTGGAGCCAATGTTTCCACGTGACAAGAGTGCTGACGCTGAGCTGTGCTGGAGTCTGGAACCTAGAGGGACCAACGTGACTCCCGCTGCTGATTGCTTCCTTCACGCTACTAGGTTCTACGTTGCCGTTATTTTTACCCACCTTTCCATCTTTCACACCTGCGTCCAATTCGTCCTCCTGATCCTCTGAATCATTGTTGACGACGACCCCCAGGAACAACTGCTTCAGGTATTTACGTTTCCCTACTGCCTCTGACTCCTCAGAGGAAGAGTCAGAGTAAATGTTCACGCCTCGCTGCTGCCTCTCTGGTGTTTCAGCAACAACTCTCTGCGCAGTCGGACCCTGAGTTGGTCCGATTAGATCCTCGTCGCTCGAAGTGGCATTTATAACCAGCTGAGCATCTGGTTGACGCTGCTCTGCAGTTTTCCTTCCTGATGTTGTGGCTTGTGACGACGGTTCGTTCTCTGCTGCTGGAGGTCGAGAGTTGTCCGGCTGCTTGGGCTCGAGGATCTGGTAGAAAATATCTCCCGCCTCCGTCAGCTGTAGGATACAGACACACTCCTCGCCACCTGCTTCTCTTCCTCCTTTATTCTGGATACAAGTCAGACCTGAAACCAAAAAATAATAAACAAATAAACAAAAAAGGTTCAGCCACCTCACATATGTTAGTTTCAAAATAAAAAGCAGACAAATCTGGCAACTATGACTATGTCGGCAGGACTTTTGACACCTTCTTGAATATTACAACGTTCTGAGTGGATCACTGTCTGTGTCCCCTCGTCTATCCATACCTCCGGCAGGTGAGGACAATCTGTTGGTTGCAGTGTCCAGGCGGTGAGGGATCTGGACTGGAAGGTGTTTCAGACTGTCTTTGGGTCTGAGCAGAGCCTGAGGAGGACCTCTACTGAAACAGGCCTCTGCTCTGCCTCCTGAACACAAACCCACAAAAAAGGAGTTTTATACAGATGGTTAGTATGAAGCCTGAATGCTTGAGATTATTCGATAAATTTGATTTGCTCTCGTCACACTGCCCCTATAGACTGACCTGAGTACTGCAGCAGTGTGATTTCCTGAGAACTCTGGGAGCCCAACAGGACCTTTGTGGTCCTAGCCCTGTCCACTGCTGAGCCAGAGGACGCGGAGCCTGGAATCACGTGACAAAACATAGGGGGGGACTGCATCATGTGATCCCACTTGAGCATGGGCACGCTGGGGAATCGCTCGTCCATGATGTAGGCTGAGTACTGACAGACACACAGAGAGAGAGAGAGAGACAGAGAGAGATCAACTTAATTAGTTCCAAATTGTTAGAGTATTGAGTTTCAGTATTAGGAGGAAGTAGCTTGAAAATGTTTAAATGTGAAGTCAGTAGTTGTTTTAATGTGTATTTAAATCAACATTTCATATCTTCCCTTCCTATTCAGTTTCAAGTTGAATCTACAGGTTGTGAACATGAATTAGGCAACCCTCAAAACAGAGTCTTCAAAGGGTTAGCCTAGGGTAACAGTTACCCTAACCCTGTCTTGACACATTTAGTATTTTTGGAAACTTTGGGGTCGGTACTAGAATTTTAAATGAAGTTCTGTGTGTTTGCTTGCAATAGTGCGTGAATATGAATGTACCTGAGTGGTGATGAGGTGGTGGAAGGAGTGGACGTCTGCCAGATATCTGGACAGGATGAGTCTCTCCCCACTGCGACAGTCTGAGGCGTTGCTAATACGAAACAGAGTGTGACCACTGACAGGACTCTCCTGCAGGGGCGGGGGGGAGAGGATGGGTCCGAGGTGTGAGGGAATGAGGCAGGGAGGAGATAAAACATGGATCAGGGAGGTGAAAGAAAAAGGGATGTTGAGATAGAGAATGAGGAAGGCTTCTTGAACACTTGGTAACAATTTGCACTTTAGCTTATGAAACCATGCTAGAATCACACACTATCAAGAAATCCTGTGGCTAGTCGTTGTTTTCAGATCATACACAAACCACACAATCAAACAGAGACCCTCACTGCTTCTTTAAAAAGGCATCAACCATCATTTATACGTCCAAACTAAACTCAGTCTTGTGCACACTGAAATGGTTCTCTCTCTCTCTCTATATATATATATTTTTTAGACAACCACCCCATTACCCACATCCCCTTGTCTCACCCTGATATCTGTGAGCTCCACCCCTGTCCGGTCGGCGTACAGCATCACTCTTGGGTGGGCGGAGAACTCGCACCAACGCCATGACGAGTTGGTGTTGAAGTACAGGTTGCTGTCTTCCTCCCGAACCTTCTGCATCCTGATGGGGCAGAGTGTCACGCAATGTTAGTTTGACATCTGACTGGACTTGAGACAGAAAACATCTCTTTTCATCATCTATCTGTTAGAGGAATCAGTAAAAACCTTCTTGGATAAAAACAAACTTCCTCACCCTCTCCCGACAGTCCACAGCTTTGCCACTCCACTCTCACTCGCGACCAGAACTTCACCTAAAACATGAGGACTGACGATACACGGCAGAGAGGACAGTTCTTCAGTTGCACCATTTTCAAGCACAGGAAAAACTGCAGAGGGAATTCTCCCACCCCACAGCAGAAATGATCCTTCCTAATGATCTCTCACCTGACACTGATGCAGGTCGCGACCTCTTTGGTGTTGATGACTTGTAGCAGACGTGGCTCATTTGTTTCGCTGAACCTCCAAACTCCGCACAGGCGATCCGACCGCACAGCAACACAACCTAAAAACAACAAACACACAATATCAGACTGCATAGCCTGGAGGAAATTATAAAACCACAGTACACTGCTGATGACATTTCTAAATATTTGCTTGCTCTTACAATCGTTGAACAGGGAAGCAGAGCTGATCTGTCTGACGGGGCCTTTCAGTTGGAAGCTGAACGGGTCTCTGCTGCTGGCGTCGACGCAGGAAGAATTTCCTCTGTGGTGCTGCAGCTCCACTCTGTGGAAGTCTGAAGGACTGCATTAAGGAACAGAACCAATGGAAACACACATCATGGTGTCCTTCTCCTCTACCTCACATTTTATTGTTTGATATCAGAAAAGCATATTGTATCTCAACCCTGAGCCACTTTTCTATTCCTTAATCCAAAGATAATAACTGATAAATTAGCTGTTGGTTGCATAAAACAACAATATGGTCAGGTAGCGGGTCCTCTTCTATGGAGACCACAATGTTGAACCACCAATGTTTCTACAGTAGCCCAGAATGGACAAACTGAACAGTGGCTCTAGACAGGACCTGTCACGTTTCACAGCCCCTGTAGTCTCTCCCACCCATTTGGAAGAGGGGCGGTGTTCAGTTGGTTGCCAACTGCGACTTCACCATTGGATGCCATTAAATCCTACACACTCGTACTTTAAAAAGGGAAAGCTTTAAAATTCCAGTATTTCATCTGATCTGCAGGATACTGAGGCAGTCGAGTCCCTGGTTGCTGGGATAGAGGAGACAGCCATGCTGAGAGCCGCTACTGCTCTGTGAGAAAGGGACAAAGGCCAGAGCGCCCCCTGTGGCTCCTTCAGAGAACACCAGGCGGTCTCTCTGCTCTGTCAGCTCCTCGTACAGCAGAGCACCCAGCAGCTGAGGAGGGATGGCGTGCACCACGTCCGACAGCAGGGCGCTGTACCCAGCCACTGCTTTGGAGGAGTACGACTGCTGACATCTGCAAAGAAGATGTAAAATGACGTAATAAAACACCGATCAGACCGCAGGAGATATTGATTGATTACACCAATCAGTCAGGTCCACTCACATTTTAATATTCAGCATGTCCAGGAAGTTTTTCACCTTCCACATGTTGACTGAATCCCTCCGCCGTTTCTGCAAAACACACATTCTGATGATACACACAAACAATAAAAAATAAAGATAAACGCTGTCTCCAGCTCAGAGAAGGTTTATTTCTCTGTTTCTACCTTTTGTACTTTAATAATGTCAATGATTGATTAATCACCACTTAAATAACAACATATACTACTAGCAATTTGGGGTTCTTTTATTTTTGTCAACTTGTGATTGGCTGCTAAAATGTCCATCTCCGTATTTTATGGAGGCCTTTAATGATTGTTGATCAATAACGCTGGATGCTGATGAGGGAACAACAGAGCGGACGAGTAAGATATGGCAACAGAACCACTGGAGATGTAAGAACTCTTAAGGACCTTAATAGTATTTTTATCTTTTCATACAGAGCCAAAACTGACATCTGTAAATTGTTTACTGCATCCAAAAAACAACAAACAAAGTTAACAAATGAAAATAAAGTCTCTGTTAAACTCACCCCTCTCGTTCGTTGTTTAAAGTTGAAGTTTTCACCCAGAATTTCACCCATGCAGCCAAAGGCATCTTCGCAGTGATCCACGAAAAAGTTCTGCATCTAAACGCAAAACCTGTTTATAGACCCCAACATGCAGAACAAAAGGCAAAAAACAAACAAACAGATCTGAGGCTGCAGAGCTTGGTTGTGTTCACACCAATTCTGTTCATTATGAATCTGATCTGACTGGTTTGGGTGTTCATTCTGTTTATTACATTATGAAGGACACTGTGTGAGAATCGTCACATTGCATTGTTTTTCTAATGGGTTCTCTCTATGGATGCTCTTAAAGTCTTAAGAAACAGAAACACTCCAGCTTATCGAAGCAATGTGCACTGTGCTGACTAATTTTGGTAGGTGCCAGTTTATGAGAAGTTACAGTAGCTTATATGTAAGATAGTACGGTATAAACATGAAATATAACTAGGGCTGGGTATTGTTAAGAAGCTCACGCTTCGGATTTGATTCTTTAGGTCACAATTCGATATCGATTTAAATGCTTCGATATCGATTCAGTGCCGACTTCAACAACTCCAAAACCGCTGTCTTTACCTCTGTGTACAGCTTCGGGACGGCGATTTCTGTCACTTGTTTGCGTGTTGGTATGGTGTATCATGGTTACAGTGTGGATATCATCTTCTTAAAACCCCCCGTTTTCCACGACACTGTACGTTCGTAGGTCCTTACATATGAAGACGGCCACAGACTCAGCAGTTTGCAAAGGAAGGATCTGTCGAGTTGCGTCTCTTTTGAATCCACAGGTTTAGCCGTGGGTTGCTGCAGAGCATCTGCATGGTGTCAACTTAAGTGGTTGCGCAAATTAGTTGTGTTATTGCAGTATTTTAGTACTGCCTGGCACAGCTTACACAATACCTTACTTTTGTCTATTTCCTGTGTTCGGGGTTTACACTGGAATATAAAATGACTCCAAACATCTGCTTTTAAAGTTGAAGGCGCTGGTTTAACACTGCTGCTACCTGCTTCGGTTGCCATGTTGTTGTTGTGTGGTCGAGTGCGGCCCCCGTCCGTACAACGCAAATCACACAAAAGGTGTTGCTCACCTTGCCCGCACTGGCCAGGGGCTTGAATCGATTCAGAGGATGTAATGAATCAATACTGAATTGGGAAAAAATATATTGCAATGCATTGATGAATCGATATTCTTACCCACCCCTAAATATAACAGCGTACTGCAATACCCATTTACGGGTTAAAGCAGTACAGAGCACAAATGTCTTCCATTTCAGACTATCTAAGGGTTTGTTATGTGCTAAACTGTTGCACTCACATGTTCTGTGAAGTCCAGTGGATCTGGAGGCGTTGAAGGCCAAAGCACAGCTGGAAAAAAATATAGTGTAAAAAATATAACTTAAACTTAAATAAACAGGCAGAATGTTTACAGTTCCTCCAAGATGATTTAATAAATATAGGAAAAAAAACTGAAGGAGAATTTTGTGTTATCTCACTGTTTAATTTGTCATTTGTTCTTACACTATATTCCCCTATGCTGCTGTGTCTAAATTGAATTTCTCCTACGGGGGATCAATAAAAAGGTACATCTGATCTTATAATATTATATTATTATATTCTTATCTATAACCATCTATTCTCAAGATTTGCCCTGCACCAGTGCTCCAGATCTGAACTGAAGGGTGGAACAGGCACTGCTGTCTGAGACCTTAACGACCTCCAGTAAGGTAAAACCAGCTGTCAGGGACTCACAGTTTTTTGGGGGCAGGAGGGGAACCGGTACTGGTTCAGTGTGACACCACGTCTCCCCTCTGACCTGATGTCTGGATGTAAATGTCGAGCTGGAGAGAGGACCAGAGCTGCCCTGAAATCATAAACACAAAGAATAAAGAAGTGTGACAGTACAGATTCAGCACAGATGACACGTTCACACTGCTGATCCGGTCCAATAACCTAAAGCTAGAGCTGCAACAATTGGCTGATTACCGGTCGGCTATTAAAGTAACCGCCAACTATTTTGATAATCAATTAATCGTTTTAAGTAATTTCTCAAGGAAAAAGAAAATTCTTTATCCTTCTTTAGTCCTCGATGACAGTAAACTGAATATCTCTGCGTTGTAGACAAAACAAGACATTTGGAGACGTCAGTTTGGGTTTTGGGAAACGGTGATTTGAGATTTTAGACAATTTAGATATTTTATAGAGCTAAGAAAAGAAATTGATATGAATTTGAACTCATGTTTTATTGCAACTGGTGTGTCCATCTTGGCTATTGACAGTGATGACTACTGAATAAAGACAGTTTGGGATAAATATTGTTAAATAGTTATAAACAAATAGTTACAGTATCTGTTTACCCGATGAAATATGGTACTATTAAATAATATTCTTCTCTGGATCAAAGTAAAAATAGTTCCTTTCTTATAATCCAAACCAAATCTAATAGTCAATTTAGGATTTTACAGCAAGAAGCAAGAAGTAACAAACCCTTAAATGTTGAGACCTATATAAACTTTAATGCTGCAGTTGGTAATTTTTATGAAAATATGTTTAGACATATTGGCTGAAACTTTCACTACAGTCAGAGCCCAGAAAGACAGCTGACTGCTGAGGCTCATTCCCAGGGGGCCAAATACCGATGCTTTGGGACTCTATGAATGAAACTCAACAATCAGCTATCTTTCTCGGCTCTGATTGGTTGTTTTTGTTCAGGCCCGGTGGATTCTTGTGAAAATACCACCAGGAGCAGTAGGAGGAGCCAGAGGAACCTGATTTATACACAGGTTATCGGTCTCATGTACTACTGTCAGCAATATTGACAAAAAGTTAGTTTTTAGAAGTGACCTACTGCAGCTTCGTCACAATCTAAGGTAGCTTCTCCATATATCATATACAGTCATTTATTAACATTAGTCAGTAGTGTCACGCTGACAGCTGACCCACCTGCGGTCTGACTCGGTCGTAGCAGCCCCAGTTCCCAGCCGAGTGTTTCAGGACCGAGTCCGGCGGTCCGCACTTGTAAAACGACGGAAAGAGCTGCTGTGGAAATTGGTAATCCATTTTATTTGTCATAAACGAATTCAAATAACCGGCGGGGTTTCTCATGGTATATGCGTCGCTGTCCCTTCACTCTCACTGCGTCTGGGAACAAGTCTGAACATGTTGTTCTCCGGCTCGGCTAACGCTAGCTCCCCCCAGCCCCTGCTGCTAGCTAGCGCCAATAAACACCCCCCCTCTTCTAACCGCCATGACACGCGCTCAGCAGCACAAACTACAAGCTGCACGCGTCCAAGCAGACAGAGTAGTCCGAAAACAAACCAAATTGTGGTAAAATGATCCAAAATGATCCAAAATGATCCTCAGTGCATCGGCCAACACGTGCAGACTGGCGACCAGAAAACCATACTCAAGCTCGCGCTTGTGAGCGTGGGGTAACGACAACTTCCGGCGGGTGGGATTTTAGTATTTTCGTCCCCCGGAAGTAACTTAAGTGGCAGTGATTGGAGAGAAAGAGGAAGGTTGTTCTTGCCAAACCGACAACATATCGAGACATCATGTAAGAAAACAGTAGTTAAATAAAGAATAAACATGTGACAGGGTCTTCAATTCTTTCCACTTCAGTATCATGTAGGGATAACAATGACATGCCGTTAAATGCTCCAAAATGTTTACATTTTTCTGCTGTTTCCAACAAGGATTCATTCCCTCATGTGTTTACATTTCTTTGTTGATTACCCCTATCAACAACTATATGTATTTATATTTGTATGTATTATTTTATTTGATCACATGTTAATTTGTTTGTGTCTGTATAACAATAACAATAAACATGCCTTCTATATGATTCCCAAATAACGAGGATGTTGCCGTGAGCTCAAGAAAACCCGAAAACGAATACCGCATGATTTTACTTTGAAAATATGGAACCGGATGCGGATCTCAGTTGTTGCGTGATCAGCTGACCGAGCAGCTCGGTTGGTCAGTGGGACGAGCAGCTACAAACAAGCCGACAAGGAGGATAGTTTCTGTTTTTATTTGCCCCGGAGGGAAACATTCGTCGATAAGCCTTCCACAAGAAGGACATGTTCCAGTAGGACTCATTGTTTCTGGTCGGTATATAAACATTTCAGTTGTGTGTTTTGGTTCCGTTAGCCGTTTTGCTAACCCGGTAGTCGCGTCATTGCAGGTGTAGTTTAGCGTTAGCTAGCTCTTCACGGATCACTGCACAGCTAATCTGTCCTTAAGCATGTCATAATAATTGTCAGGTAAAATTAAATTAAAAAAATAATGAAATGAAGATATCTGTAGAGTTGTCCGTCGCTGGCTTCCTCAGTGAGGAGTCAGTGACGGTCCTAGCAGCAGCCTGTAAACCTGAATGTAACATTCACGCCAAGGTTAATTATTCAAATGAAGCATGAAAACACAAACCGCTGATGTGTTCACGGTACAGTGTGTAATATGTGATCATTACTGTCAGAGCGAGGCTCGCTGCTGTTTCTATGCCTGTCTAAGTGACTGGACGGCCATTCGTGACTGACAGACGGATGGACTGATGGACTGTTTATTTGTGTCTACGACATGACTAATGCTTTACGTCTGACAGGTTGATTATGAGTACTGTTAATTCTAATGTCAGCATGTTCCTACACACTCTTGTGAATCTATAGTCTGTACACATGATCATGAGCCAACATGCTAAACGTTAGCATATCAGCACACTGACGTGCTCTTTGTTAAGCATCTTTAGCATGCCATGGCTATATAGTGCTAGTGTTGGCGGAAGAATATCAACATATAAAACATATTAATGTAATATTAATGTGCAGAGTCTAGAAATGCCCCAAGAGCCTGTCTGCACACCGAACGACATTATGCTAATCGAACTATCAATCGATCAAGCTGTCATAGATTATTTGTAAAGGCCATATCGTGCAGATTGGTGCAGTATCTGTGGTAGGGTGGGTAATATTTAAAGGTATCCTTACTTTTAGCTCCTCTCAGATGCGTGCTCATACAATTTGAAATGTGCGTCACCAAATGTCTTTTTTGTCCATAACACTTTGAAAGGCTTCCCAAACATCCTGGAAAAGCTGGAAAAGCTGGAAAAGCTGGGAATTTAGAAACTAGTTTTCCAGTCACTGAAACAACTGGAAATGGTTTAAAATGACCAAATATCTCAGGAATAATCTATTTTATTTTATTTCTTTTGTATTTTAGCTCCTCACTCATATCGCCTATTCAAACCTAGTTGTGTGTATTTAGTTTGGAACTCGACTGTTGGTCGGATAAACTTGATGACACTTGAAAGCAGGTTAGATGCAAAGGAGAACTGACTTCAGCGATATTTTGGCATCAAGTCTATCTTTCTAGAGCTGCAAGCTATATTCACCGCATTGATGGTAATTGTTTGTTTAAGGAACACTTTAACTTTCTAGAAGATTAATTTTCTGCAAAATGAAATAAATTCTAACTGATTTGAATTGATACTTATGGGCTGTTGCCAAATAAATGTCAAGCTTATATGACCCTTTGTAAGCAAGTCCTGTTCTGTATTGTCAGATCCTGGAAAATGACTTGTTTGAAAAAAAGCGAAAGAGTGTCAGACTTCCTGAGACACCTCCTTGATTTATACAGTACAAACATGACAGATACTGCATGTAGGATCATGCCAGACCTAACGTAGTTTTTTTAAAATAATAAAATAACTTGAAAATCAATAGACATGATGGGGTCCCAAATGCTCAGAAACCTTAGTCTCTACTGTATGGTTGGCTGATGTGATGATGCATGCAGTGAGAAAATAGTTAATTCTCATACTGTTAACACCAAGGTATCTATGCTTTTTAATAGATCTGCTTGCTCATGGTGGTAGTGTTGGGTCTCTGTAATTAATGTTTTAAAGAGTTCGGTCTAGACCTGCTTCATTTGAAAAGTGTCCTGAGATAACTTCTGTTATGAATTGGCACTATACAAATAAAATTGAATTGAATTGAATTGCTTGTATTAGACTGCTGTTGGCAATGTTGCAAATCAATGAACAGGAACTACTTTATGGCTGCATAGAATTTGCAGGATTTTTGCCTCACAGTGATGAAGGTATTTCATCCACTGGATCAGCCAAACGCAGACATTTCCATCAGGTTATACTATCTAAAAATGTTTTCAGAAAATGTACGACATCATAATATATTCTGACATCATGGTATCAAGTGTATTTTCAAACATAAAACAACAAATAAAAACATTTGTTGAGCCATTTTTTACAGTGGCATCTGTTCTGCTGGTCTGTTGTCTCTCTCACTTTGTCCCTCTGTCTCTCTTTCTGTCACTCTCTCCTTCCAGACACATCAGCATAATGTCGGGGAACAGCCTGGTTCTACCCATAGTGCTGTGGGGCCGCATGGCTCCCACCCACTGCATCAGCAGTCTGCTGGTGATGGACGACTTCAGCACCATCATCACCGGCTGCCATGACGGCCAGATCTGCCTCTGGGACATGACACCTGAGCTGGAGGTACTGATGAGGGTGAAGGTGGTGGTGGTGATGTTAGTGGTTGTGTGTGCGTTGGTCACCTGTTTGTCATCATCTTATTATAACCCCTGTGTTCCTCTTTGGCTTTCTTGTGTTTCTGCTCAGATTTGTCCTAGGGCCATGTTGTTTGGTCATACAGCCTCCATCACCTGCCTGTCAAAAGCAAGCGCGTGCACTGACAAACAGTACATTGTCAGTGCATCAGAGAGTGGGTGAGTACATTTTTATCACACACACTTTTTAAAAACTCGTCTAGAATCTTCCATGTTTGCTTTTTTATATTGTACGGCAGTTGTCCAGATGTCTCCTACATTGTTTCTTTTTTATTTTGTGTTTTCACATTGATCTGTTTGTCAGCTTCTGTCCTTATTTATGTTGCAAAATAGACTAATTTCTACACCCAACAGAACCTAAGAATGGGTACGAGAATCGGTATTAAACCGGTACCGGTTCCTGACTGGCATATCAGTATATCGGTATCGATAAGCTCCTGGAAAAACAGTACTGCTATTGGTATTTATGTAATGTTACATAAACAAATGGCAGGCCAAAAGGTGTTGGCTCACTTTACTGAGTTTAATGAAAATGCAGCTAAAAGCAATAACTCAGCAAACAATTAAACTTTTTATTTTATTTTCATGTCATCTCTTTATTTTTTGGACCAAATTATGGTGAGTAGTATCAATTAGAGTATCAATCAGTATCATTAGCAATAAGCAGTATCAGTATCGATACAAGTATCAATAAAATCCTAAAAATACCCACCCCCACCAGCAGACCACAGGTGGCTTAACGTTTTCACTATTTTCAGGATTGTTTGATCCCATTAATTCAGATATTGGACTGGAGGAAGTTGGCCAGGCTACCAAAGCCTCAGAACACTGACTCATGTGAGGAGCTGTGACCAGCTCATCTTTTCCATGTTTGGCAGTTTAGTTTGACTTGAAAATGACAAAGAAACTTGAGGCATTATCTAAATTGCAATTCAGTGTGAACCAATCATGACGTCACCCACTGATTTGTGGAGGTCCATTTTAAAGCCTTCTTTTGGCATTATGGCTGTCACCATGACGGTTTTTCAGAGACAGTGGAGGTAACGTACTGCGAGTTGAGCGGCTCTCATTGGCTGCGGAGTTTCAACTTGTCTGTAGCAGGAAATAATGGTGGCTCACCTGGTCACACACCATCTCATATTACAGATAAACAGTACACTAATGTAAAATATGTTTGAGAACTACTACTACTACTCTAAATGGGACCATCATTTACTGAATGAACATCAGGCTGTATGGAAGAAGACTGAAACTAGCGACTGAGACCATAAACTCATCAAGAAACTGTTTACTGAGCAACTAAATCAAGTGACAAGTCAGATCATTTCTCCATAAGACTGTATGCCATCAGACTTTTTTTGTGTAAGCCTGCGGGCTGTTACATTGAATGCAGGTTAAAGACACTTACGTGTTAGCTTCACTTCACAGACATGGAAGTTCTGTCCACTAATTATATACTGTCAGTGGTTGCAATCAGTTAATCTCATTTTAGTTGACTCTTTAGTTTATCAGTGGTTGCAGCACTACTGAGGTCAACATGGGGTTGGATTAACATAGAAGGATAGAGTGTTTTATGTATTCCTATGGAAGTAGTCTGTGACCAACATTTGTTCTGTTTAAATATCCTCTATAAATAAACTGACTTAGACTGTTACCACTGTCATTTCTGTCTAACTTCAGTTTGTTGATGTTTCCAGAGAGATGTGTCTGTGGGATGTGAATGATGGACGCTGTATTGAGTTCACCAAGCTGGCCTGCGCTCACACTGGCATACAGGTAAGACTCACTCACATACCTGGATTCTCAAATAGTGTCTTAGGCTCACATAAGCATGAACAAATAAAGGCCCGTCTCCAATAAAGGATGGATGAAGAACACTGTGCAGTTACTGTCATACTAGAGCCAGTCCACCAGTACAAGTCACGTCATACTCACCACTCTCTCTTTTCAACACAAATGCTCCTTTCAGCCCCTAGTTATTTCCAGTTGCTTCTATATTGCTGTTTTTTTGACACATCTGGCAAATTTTCATATTAAAAGCACACCAGGAAAAGGAAATGTTATTGCCCTTTGAGCTGCTGGAAGGCTAATAAGTGCTATTCTTTCTCCTGCCCCTCTGTGCTTCTCCAGTTCTATCAGTTCACCATCGGCACACAGAGGGAGGGACGTCTGCTTTGTAATGGCCACTACCCAGAAATCCTTGTGGTGGATGCCACCAGCCTTGAGGTCCTGTACTCGCTGGTGTCCAAGATCTCTCCTGACTGGATCAGCTCCATGAGCATCATCCGATCCCACCGAACCCAAGGTGAGACACACAGCTGGAAAAGATGGGGAGATTAAACGGATGGGATTTGTTTCTCGAGGGGAAGTCGGGTTGAAATGCGCTGGTCAGTGACTTTAATCGGGTGCAGACCACATATGTCTACATCTCTATCACATTTACCATTACGAGCAACAAGAGCTCAAAAGTGTTGGAATTATATCTAGCCTGCTGCAACAGCTCCCATGGTCGCGTCTCACCACCTGATCCTGATCGACTCTGTAGACATTTTAGTCATATTTTTGCAAATAGATTATGTGTTTTACGTCCGGTTGGTCTGTCTCAGATTGATGACACAGTTTGATGACCATCCGCACTGTTCTTGGCATTGATTGCTTCAGTATATAATAATACCACTGAAGTAAAAATACTTCAGTGGTATAACTGTGTCCTCCTGGTATTGTACCGGGGCGGCTGAGGATGTAGAGCGCATCGTCCACTAATCAGAAGGTTGGTGGTTCGATCTTGTTATGAATCTACTCCACTGAAAAGAGCTTCCTCCTCTTCTTTGTTTAATTCTGGAAGAAAGAAGTGATCTTACTTGTGTTTTTTTATTTTTTTATTCACTCAGATTCGTCGAGAGAAAATCTCTAAAGATAGCATCTATAACATTATGATCCTTCATGATGGTACCGTTTGTTAAAGTACTGATTTCAGTGCTCCCGTTCAGATTATTTCAGTTGACATGCAGGTGTTTTACCTGCCATTTCACCATTTCCTCAATTTGTGTAATCCAAAAGCATTATGTATCACTGCTTGTGCATTTGCCTTTGTCAAACGTTATTCTGGTTTCAGACTTTTTTTTTAGGTCATTCACATGTTTGACCTCAATTCATCTTTCCTTCCTAACTTATTTCTGAATTGAAGCTTATGATCTTACCCCTGCAAGCTGCCTTAAAGCTGCAGTCAGCGATTCTAATCCAATACACGTTTTGTTAAATTCAGCGAATATCTCCTCACAGTCACCAAAAGAAATCTGGTGTTTGTGCACAGCCCTGGCTCTGTTAATTGGGAAACAAACACAAAGGCTTGGACCGATCCACACAGCACTCCAGCCAACCAGCAACGGGGGGAATTTGTATGTTGTGTTAAGGGATTAAATGTGTCATCTTTCAGTTGTGAGTTGTTAAAGCACCATTGTTTTGAGATTATTTTTCGTAAATGGGGAGAATGCTTAATGAAACTGGAGCACGATCCAGAATAATGAAGCTATGAATAGTTTCTACTTCTAACTCTACTTTTCGATTTGTTATGTTAACTGTAACCATGAGACGCTAACTGTGACTCTGTCTCTATATAGAGGACACAGTGGTGGCAGTGTCAGTGACGGGGATTTTGAAAGTCTGGATCATCACAGCTGAGGTCAGCAGGATGCAGGTACACCGCCGTACAGATGTTTCTTCACTAACATCTGTCTTGTGTCAGACCTGTTTATACCATTGGAAAAATGAGTAAACGCAAGTTGAAGTGAACACAGGCCTTTACAGTACTTCTGTGACTATTATGGAACATTTTATTCATAATATTCAGTTTAGAATCATATGTGAAAATATACTAAGAATAAATACACCTCAAACATATTTTCCCCAATAAAATCAAGTACATCATTACACGTTGTATTTTTTTTTTTTTTTTCTGTCACGGCTCTAATTTGTTTGTGTGTGTGTTTTCAGGACCTGGACCCTGTGTTTGAGGAAGAGTCCAAACCCATCTACTGTCAGGGCTGTCAGAGTATTTCCTTCTGTACCTTCACTCAGAGCAGCCTGCTGGTTGTCTGCTCCAAGTACTGGAGGGTAAGAACCTGTGTTACCACAAAGTAATATTACACACCAAGTACTGAAGTAGAATACTGCATGGACCTGGATTTTCTTATCTCTGTGTGTGTCTGTGTGTGTCTGTGTGTGTCTGTGTGTGTCTGTGTGTGTCTGTGTGTGTGTCAGGTGTTTGATGCAGGTGACTACTCGCTGCTCTGCTCAGTGCCCAGTGACAGCGACCAGGCCTGGACCGGAGGAGAGTTCATCGCCGCAGACAAAGTCATCATCTGGACCGAAGACGGCCGCAGTTACATCTACAAGCTGCCCGCCAGGTAAATCGTGCTGCTCCTCCAGCTCTCGCACCACCACTCAGTAGACATGTTAATGGCGTCCATGGGGTTTTGGCAACGTTTGTAAAATGTGCTACACAAATTCAGTAAAATTAAACTTGGTGTGTGTGTGTGTGTGTGTGTGTATTTCTCAGCTGTCTGCCAGCTAGCGAACATTTTCGCAGTGATGTTGGGAAAACCAAAGAAGGCTCAATCCCTCCGCTGATCTACAGCATTGCAGAGCGCTCAGACAAACAGGTCAGTCCACCGTCCTTCACTCTGCCCAGTTTAACATACACACATTACACAATAAATCTCAGCTGAGAGATTGGAAGCTCAAATATGCCACATGACAGATGTTTATAAAAAAGGGAGCTACATAAAGACGGTTCATTAGACTTTATATGAAGATTGACAACACGTCTTCACTTCCTAACTCTTTGCAAAAATGAAGCCAAAATATTCCAGATACGCCAGCTGCCATCTTGCGCTCATGACGTAATTTGGAGCTAGAGTGTCCTCCCATAAACCTGGCCTACTCAATGATGAGCATGGCTCAGCTGTCAATCATGACATGAAATGCCCTTTTATAGCTTCAAAACACTAATTAAAATCTAACTAAAAAATGAACCCTTGAACATATAAATTTGGGGAAAAATTGACGTGTACTTTTTCAAAAGATTTTTTTATTTTGGCCCATTTGCTACCATAAAGGGGGCGGGCGGTTTATGACCTATACTGCTGCCAGCCACAAGGGGGTGTTTGGTTTCACATTTGGAGAGCTGTCATGTCGTCAATCATTATACACAGTCAATGGACACATTTTTGCGATATTCAGCAAAAATATTGTTAACTAAGCATTTGAATTGAATATTATTCAAAAATATTTCAAACAGAATGTTTCACAGACCTAGAAATCATGGAACAGATCAGAAAAGTGTTTTCGCTCCTGCTGCATACCAGACAAAATGTTTCATGCCACACAGTTGTAGCTTTTTTTATACATTTCTTGTTAAGGATATTGTGGTGTTTGCTTATTTTGGACTTCAGTCTGTTTAAACCCCCTTTTCCTTCCTATAATAGACAAATGCCGTTGCTAATGATTGAGCTGTTTGAGGTACCTGTTTCCAGACATATACCAATACTTGATCAGGACCCTGTTGCTCAAACATGTAATTCAATTAACATGATGCTAGCTGTAAACTGCTGCACTGCAGTAAGAAGTAAATGTGGGACATAAAGGGCTACATCTGTACAGGTAGCTGTGTGTAGTGCTCCTGTGGTAGTGTGTCGGCAGTCTAACTGTTTTGTTTGTATTGATGGTGTTTAAGTTGATTTAGGATCATCAGGGCTCAGGTCAGGCACATGGATTACACATAGTCATTGTTGTAAAGGTGTGAAGGAAAGAGTAGTGAAGTCAAGTGTGTCTGCATTTTCTATCCTCTCCGAAGAACTTTATTGTCATACTTTCTATAGATGGTGTAGAGTGTAAAACATTCACAGTTAAAGTACAGCTCCAGTAACACAAGTTAAGATGTCACTGAGCTAATTCAGAACAGCCCTGATGTAAAAATCAGAGGATAAGATATTGAAACAGACAGTAAATGAACAATAATTTGTAGAACAAGTTGATGAATCAGTGTGGTTTGGTCATAATTTGGTCAGAAAGCTTTGCGAGAATCTAGACATGGACCACAAATTTGATGCGTTTGCTGTTAATGCAACTCAACCCTTCCTCCACAGCACTAATTCCATCAGTACAACAACAGAGTCATATCATACTCATCACTCTGCTGCTCTGAGTTTATCTTTTTAACCCAGATTCTGTTCTCAATCACTGATTAATTGCAGTGAGTTCTACTTTGTTGGCTTATCTGTCATTGTTAAACTTCCATCAGAACAACTCAGCACAGATGTTTTACATTCAAAGCCTGCCAGCAGCTCAAAGGGCATGACCCCTTCCATTCCCAGCAGGCTTTTCATTTGAAACATCTGTAGGAAATGTTCAGTTTCATTGATGGTAACTTAAAGGCCATCGAAAAAACTGCAATGTAGATGCTTTAGTAACACTAATTCTGTTTTCATTTACTAATTATATCAAAGAAAATGGCGAGTATGGTATGACTGCAATCAGAGTCATTGTTGGAATGATCAATGTGGAAATGTACATTATACTAAATTTACCATGTGGGCCATTAAAGAACTGGTAATAAATTAGTGAGCAGGCTAAATTTGAATGTGTTGGCAAATATTTGAGACTCTGCCATTATTTAAACAAAAGCTTTTGTTTGAGATTTTAATCATACAAATTAAATCTACAAACTTAACATTTGTACTACTACTAGTTGCTAAGCAAATAATCAGTACCTTTTGGTCTAAAATAGTCAGATTTCTCTGCCTTAATCCATGTGTGTGAGCCTGACCCTTGGTGTTTTGTTTGTTATGTTTAGTTATAATTTCATTTTGGACCTTCAGTATGTTGTTGTTCTATGTGAATTTATAATTTACTGTCTTGTAGGTATTTATTTGTTGTCTGTGCCTTTTTTGCTATTTTTGTTGTTCCTTTTTGTTGTTCTGTCCTCTGATGCTGCCATGCCCTCTCCCTCCTTTGACCTCCTCACTCCTCTGAGAAGGAAGGAGGTGAGGAGGAGGAGATGGTTGTGGAGGTGATGTGCCTCCCTGCCAGCGGGTGCGACTTGGAGCTCTACACCGCAGAGCTGCTATACCGCCACCGGCCTATAGAGGCGCCAGTAAGCCCCAGAAAATGCACACTGAAAACCAAAGGCAGGAAGAAGAAGGTTCACCTTCTTGGCTGAGCTGCAAAAGCTAAAATGGACGTAGTTACAGTATTCACACCACTACCATTTTAGGAAGGATAAAATCTTATAATATCCATCGTGCCATTTTGCACATTCTAATAAAATCAACAAAATTGTTGGTGTGCAAAATGGTTAAAGATTCTCTGCACCATCAGATGACAGTAAAGCATACTTTTAAAGGACCATACCAGTGGTTTAGTATGTTTTAGCTCATTGGCTACAAATTGTTCCACCTTGATATTACTGCTTAATATCCAGTATTTGATTATGTCCAGTACTGGTACTTGAAAATGAAGCCTAGAAGACAAACCATAAGCAAACATAGACGTTGTGACGTTTGGTTGGTTGTTTCTTCAGAATTTGCCCCTGCAAACATTGCTGTATGATAACAACAATTTTAAATAATTAGGGCCTGTAAATAAGTTTTTCATAATCAATGAATGTCAATTTTATTGTTTTATCTCTAAAATGTCAGACAATGTGAAAGATGCCCCTGACCTTTCTAATGCCCAATGTCTTCAAATGTCTAGTTTTGTTCGACCACCAGTCTAAAATAAAGATATTTAGTTAACAATGATGGAACCAATAAAAGCAGCAAATCCTCTCATAGGAGAAGCTGTAACCAGAGAAACTTCAATGACTTAATGATTAGTTAATTAGCAGAACTGATGGTGATAAGAGTTCTGCCAGTCAAGTGATTGATTAATCATCTAATCACTTTTAATAATTTCAATCATCTTCTCATTTTATTCAAAAAATAAAAAATGTTGACTGTGATAATTATTTTCTATCTGCAGCAAGATTCAAGCTCTGATTTTTACAGAAATGAACTTAAACCAATAGCAATGTTAAGGTCAAATATGTGAATAAACAGTGGTGTGGTCCTTTTTAAGTGAGGTTGGTGCTGGGTTGTTGTAGTTTGGTTTAAGAGTTGGGATCAGTGTGAGTTTAAAAATTCTTTTGAGATGATGAGGCGGGAATTTTTTTATTTCAAGAGAGGTTTGTAACGTTGCAGCTCAGCCAGAAAGTAATGACCTGAGATGAGATGAGCAAACTGTGTGAACAGCAGTGAAAAGAGAGACATCCCCTCAGTGGCTCACATTCACCCCCCACTGTGGTAGTAAACAGGGAGCGGAGGTCAGTCTCATGTCTCATATATTTTTATCCTCTCTAAACCTCCAAACTAACTAGGTGCATTTCAGAAATAAAATCAGTGGTTGAATTCTGAATGAAAGAGCAGCTTGTTTGCACAATTAACAATATTCAAATCCAGATTGATTAACTAATGTCTGCAGGGCTTATATTTGAAAACACGTTAAATCCTTGTGTTTAAATCAACCCTGCAATTAATTGAACTAAGAACTAAGTAGCAAGAAGTGCATAGATGAATTCGATTCTATTAATATATATAAAACAAGTAATCAAGTTGTGCCCTTTTTAAAGGTGTGTCCCCATCTTTTTTACTTAAAAAAATCATGAGAGAGCCAAAAGAAATTAATGTTGAACAAATAAATAAGATTAGTCAGAAGTTGCCAGATTTCACATCAGATCTAGCTTTACACAAAATCTATAACACAAATGACAAAAATAATGGCATTAATGATATTGGTTATCGTTAGCTGCTCAGTAGGAACTTTAAACTTACTTCAAGCTGATGTATATAACTCTATTGTCTCAAATGAGTGTCAAATTAATTAAAAATTCCAGTATTGCAAAATGCTACTCTGATTTAAGTGCTACGAACATTGTGATCCAATAATCAATCACTTGTTGAGCTGAATCAGACAGATCCTGACGCATCTTGTTATCTGTGTAGTTACTTGTCGATAGCTCAAACAACAATACTCATCAAATACGTGGTTTGTGCTTCGTGACACTGCTCATTTTCTCTGAATCTTGATAAAAACCTAATGGTATATTTCATGAGATGATTTTAATGTCTAAAGTTAGAAGAGGTGCTCTTTCTTTCAGATGAGGTAGAGTACTTCCTCTATATCCCTGATATAAAGAGGACATATTGTTGCTATATAAGTTGACTGAGCATGCATGTATAGCAAGTATATTGAAAACAACAGTGGGCCAAGAATTGACCCTTGGGGAACACCGTAATTATTGTAAACATTTTTGCACTGTAGCCATCAGACTTATTTTCAAAGTGTTTGAATAGAACCGTAAGCCACTGAGTTGATGGCATTGAAAGTGAACTGTCTGTTTTGTTTGCTCCTCTCTTTGGTTTCCCTCTTGCCTGACTTAGAGACTGAACTCATTCTGGTTCACCTGATTTCATGCTCTCTTCCCACTAAAATAAAACTCCTCTTCCAAAAGCACCATCAACCTCCTCATCTATCTTCATACTGATGAAGATGCATGCAAAGTCCCCAAGCTGCTTTTTAACTAAATAATGATCTGCTCAATCCCTGAGTTTATCACAAACCAAAGATACACAACAGGAAGGGATAGAAATAATACCACTTGGATTGAATTTGGTTGCTTATCTTCACCAGGCACTTTAGACTTCAAAGTTTAACCGTTTGTGTGTAAACTAAAACACAAAGGATAAGCACTGATGATGCATCCTGGACATATTAGGGACATAAAAGAGTTGAAATGTAGAAATGTTCGTGCCATGACAAGAATCAAGGATGCAACTTTTATAGATTTTGATATTTGTGTTGAAATATATTATCAGATACAGATAGGACAAGAGGAAATGGTGTTTCTGCCTGTGGTCATCAGACCTCATTCAACAACTGATGGCAAAAAGTTTTTTGTGTTTTCATCCCTCTGTGAATACTAGGTGGGTGAGGTTTTCCTGTACTACCACAAACCTTATTTAAAGTTTATTCACCTTAATCGAATAATAGAGAGACGCCATCATATTTGATCATAATTTAGTAAATAGCCTCCAAGATTTAAACTCAACACTCCATGTTTATTTGTTATCTTGATACATTTAGGATAATTTCCACAGACCAGAATTCCATCAGTACAACAGTCATTTCAGACTCACCAGTCTGCTTCTCTACATTTTTTTTCTTTTCCAAAAATAGTTTCCAGTTGGTTCTACTTTGTTCTTTGTTCTACTGTTCTACTGTTTTTTTTAATCGCCACTAAGATGCTGTCAGGAAGTGCACCGATGTTTCACATTAAAAGCCTTCCAGGGGCTGAAAAGACAATCCGTCCCGCTCCTGGTAGGCTTTTAATTTGAAACATCTGCATGAATTGATGGTAGTTTTACACTGATAAAAAATGGCAAAGTAGAAGAGCCTGGAGTTACTTAGTGAATGAAAACTGAAATTCTTTAGAAATGTACATGGTGGACATTTTCCTTGTAGTTTTATACCCATTTTAAGTTTAGAATTTTGGCTAAATAATCTGAATGAATGGGTTGAAACCCCACCCATCTGCAGCACAGTTGAAACAAACACAAAAAGTTCTTGCCAGTCACTGCAGGTTGATATTCTGTCTTTCTCTCTTTGCTTAAAAAAACAACACTCGCTGATGTTGGATTTATTTATTCACATCTTATATGTAGATGTGGCTTAGTTTGTGTGTGTATGTGATTGTGTGTGTGTGTTTTTTAAAAAAAACATCTGGTGGCACTTTGCATACCCTCTCTGATCGCCCACTGCGTTCAGATGAGCTGAACTAACCGATTGTGGCACACACCGGACACCTCAGCCATTCCCTGCTTCTGTAACTCTTTAAATGCTGTAGTTGCCATGGTGACGGCAGCCCATCCTTCTTACACACTCACAGGTTCACTAGCTTTCATCCTGTCCATCATTATCACTGCGATGGATCATCACAACCTCCTACCTGCCAGCAGCTCCTGGAAATGACATTATGATGACCCCCTTGTCAAAGATTCGCTTAAAGAACCTTCACTGAATATTTAGGGAATTGGATCTTATCTTTTATGTGTTCTGAACATTAGCATTATCCAAGTTTACAGGCTAGATTTGTTAAGCAATAATTTTTTTTACAGTGAGGCTCCAAGTCAGGGAATTTGTTGTCCATACTTTACCATAGTCACAGTTCCTACGTGTCATAACATGGTCAGGTGTGAAGCCATGGAGCTTTCAGGGCGTGACTCCAGATTATCAGTCCCTGCCACAGCATGATACCTCAAACTAACTGATTGCCTCTGCTGAGTTCCAACTGCTGTTTGATATCAGCAAAAATATGGAGAGGAAAATCTACCCTGAAGCAGAACTGCAATGTTGACTGATTGGCATTAAGTGTTGAACATGTCTCAGCTAATTCAATTCAATTTCAACTACTTGCTAAGTGGCCACTTTTGGTCAAACACACTTTTAGGCCTTTTTCACTGCAGGAATTAACAACCTGAAACCTGGGCGATTGTAGAGTAGACAACAATTTAGGAAGTGGCACTGATATTGTTATTGATTTTCTGTCACGTTTTATGTGATCATGAGCTGATGGAGGAGAATCTAGGGCACTGCTCGGGCTGGCACAAGCTAACAATAATAATAATAATAATACATTTTATTTAAAGGCGCCTCTCTGGGCACTCGAGGTCACCTTACAACACATAAAAAATAGAAACAGTAAGAAATAAGAAACAGATAAGAAAAGACAAGCTAGTGGGTGGCCCAAAGCAGCGTCCAGTCTTTCAGGTGGATTTTTAGCTGCCTACTCAAGCTCCCTCTATGTGGCCGTTTAGAGCAGGTATCAACTGCTTTAAAGTTGTAGTATTTTGTAAAGCAAACAATTTGAGCAATGCCCAAATTAGGTTCCGGGAACAGCATGCTTTACAAATGCTTTTTACTTATGATCTATAAAGCAAAGACACATCTCAGCCTTCCCTTCTGTTGAGGAGCCACTGTTGGAAATTCTAGTAACCACTGTGCAAAATGTACAGTTTGGGAACAACACAACTTAGTTCTGTTTTGAGGTGGATTGACCCTTTTTGTAGACAAAAAAAGTTATGCTGCCCTCCTCATCTCCACCATTTTTCCACAATAACCTCTGGACTGATTGTGGTGCAGTTTAAAATGTGAACAAAAATGAAGAAATGATGACTGCAACTGTTGTTATTTTTAGGTAAAGGTCAGTTTTATCAAGAAGTCGTAAAATCTTCAGCACGTCAGGTTTTTGATTGCCCACAGAAGGGCACCAGGACACAGCTGAAGCCAACACCCCCCGCTGTGCAGGAAACCTTGTGAGCCTAGCTGGCTTGTAAAAGAGTTACAGCGACACGCAAAGTCATCCTCACGTTTTGTTATGGCTAGCAAGGAGAAACAAAACTCAGCCCAGGTTTTGGTGATTCTTAACAAAACTGACCTCATTTCACTTGGTCCTACTTTCAGAGCCCTGGCTACCTCATGTTTTAACCTGTCAGGCTCTCATGTATCCAGAGTGATAGATTTGACACAAGTGTCCATGTCTATGGCTCTTGATTTTGTCCATGATTTCCTTCAGTGGACAGACGTTCCACCGCACAGTGCTGCTGAACCGAGCAAAGGCAAACTCACCTGTTAATGGACTGTGGTAGCCACTGTAAAAGACCCCTGATCCACTGCTCCTCATGACATCGGAAGGACAGATATGAAGATGGTCATGTGACTCATTGAGGCTATAAATGGTTAAGAAAACGGGTCATGTTTAGGCTCTGATTTGGGTGAGATAAGTCATAACTTAGTCAAACCAGAGTTAACAGGGATGGTAAACATGCTACTGGAACAGTAAACTGTGATGGCAGTTTTCATATTATGAGACACCAGATATTCTATTAAATAATATTATATTTTATTATATAAAAGCGTCAGAAATCTAAATCTAAATCAAAATCTACAATGTATTTTTTAGCAGAACTAAGGCCCATCAACATGGTTTTTATAGAGAGGCTAAGAGAAACTGGAACTTCTGGGTTCTGTTTTAGAGGTAATGCAGCCTTGTTCAACCACTTTGGACCACAGAAATATCTCAAACTGTTCTTATAGGAAATTCTGTTCAGGCACTCTTATCTCCCAGTAGTGACTGTGGTGATCCCCTGACTTTTCCTTTAGCGCCACCATGAGGTTGAGATTTTAAAATGTCTCAACAACAACTGGATGGATTAGCATGAAATTAGACAGAGACATTCAGGATGTATTGTAAGAACTTTCCCCCAGCACCACCATCAGGTTAAACCTTTAATTTGTCCAGTACTTGGGTTTTTCAGCAAATACCAGCAAAACTATCAGCCTCAGCTGTATTTAATGTTAGGATTCCAACAGAGTAAACTAATGGTGAACATTATACCTGCCAATCCTCAGCATGCTAGCATTTAGCTCAAAGCACTGCTGTACCTAAGCGCACACTCACAGAGTAGACTCTTGTGATCTAAAACATGTATAGTCCCACATACCCATTGATGGCATTTTATTAGTCTGGAAATAACAATATGTGGCATGCCCAGCTAAACAAAAACTGCTGAGGGTTCAAAGGTTGAAAATGCCATGGTTATGTGAAGGTATTAGTTTGGTTGAGACGACAGTTAGAGGCCACGTCAGTCACATGACCTTCATCCTCTCTGTACCTGTAGTTTTGACCCTGCCAGTCCTTCGTCTGTGCTGCATTAGCACACAATGTGATGGGTGAGTGTGATCATTGGACTTGTTCAGCGGCTACATTTGGTTTTATTTCACTGCTACACTTCATGTTACCTGAATGAAAGCCCCAGTAAAACCTAAACAGCATGTTAGAGTCAGTCGGTATTTCACTATCAGACGGTTTTTACGTGTGTCTCAGCCTGTAGAGGAGTGCTGGTGATTCGGAGATGTGTGGTTCTGTTTTCAGGCAGTTTGCTGTTGCTGTTTGTATGAAGGCAACCAGAGAACAAAACCAAACGTTTCAGCTTCACGTGGCCCTCACACAGAAAAATACTCAAACTGTTAAGAAGAATGTGAGTGCTCTGATGAACTTTGGGCTAAAATTTAGGTTTTCAGATTTTGACATGTCTTTTGTTTAATCCCCCCACCGCCCCCCAGCTCCTGATCTGTCCTCCTGTGACCCGGTTCTTCTTCGGCCGACGGGAGCCCTTCCATAAGCTGCTGATCCAGGGTGACTCAGCGGGCAGACTGTCCCTGTGGAGCATCCCAGACTCCTCGCCTTTGCAGCCAGCGTCGACCGCCGCAGGTAAGAAAGGCGTGACATGACACAATCAGTTCTCCAGAGAAAAGTCACCACTCTTGGTCTTGATAAACTATATTAACCCACAGTCCAGATGTGGCAGATTTACGCTCCGATTCCATTTTTTCCTTCCTTATACAGATTCTGATAAAGACTGCATGTCAGGCAGAATCAGAGGAATTTGCGATACATTCCGACAAAATATTTTAATTACTGTCATTTCTGCATTGTCATTATTTGCAAATACACTATTCATACAGTGACATCACAGTGATCTTTTCTTTCCCTCACAAATTAGTTAGAAGCTGGTTTTACTCATAGTTTTCTATTTATACAAGAGTCAAACAAAAAAAGTCAACACTGATAACAACAAACCTCTTGCCTTCAGTAACCAATACATATTGGTAACAAAGGGTATATTTAATATGTATATCTGTCTATAAAATATCAAAAAGCAAAAAAACATTGGTAATTATATACACCATATACTAATATCAATTAAACATAAAAAATCCATTATGATTCAAATAGTTAATAACCACAAATCTAATCTTTCTTTGTTTTACTTTTTATTTAATTACTTTTGTCATTTTTATAAAAAAAAGGATTTCATATTCCACAAATCTTTTTTACATTGACTTTTTAGTGTGTAGATTGTTGTGAAGTAAATTCTCCAAGACAGTAGTTGTGGTGAAACATGGAGGCAGAGTGACATCCAGTGGCCAAAATGTGTCATGGTGCCGTTAACTAAGTCAATATTGTTGATATATATTTTTTGTGCTCAGGGATGGGGGGAATATCAATTTAAGATCCTTCCTCCTGTGTAAATAAACAAAACTTCAGTCAATGTTTTATTTAAATGTATTAATAAATAATAAATTAATAAAAACAACTAATTACCTGAAACATTTCAATTTCAGAGGCTCCCAGTGTGCAATATGTGATTATAATATGTAAAACTGTGTTTTTAAGAAATAAGAAATCATTTAGTTGAGGTGATAAGCCCCCCCGATCTTCTGTATGTCACATTATTGGGATGTTGGCCTCAGTAATACTCACACATGGGATTTGCTGTGTGAAATTGTTTCTCTGCATCAAGTTTAGAGTTTTATTTCATCAGTCTTTTATTTAAGTGTTTAGTTAGGCTGGCCTCTAAACTAAAACCTTGCTTCCCTCTGGGGTTGACTGTATGTCTGTGTCTGTCTGTCTGTCTCTGTGCAGAGCTGCAGGTGTCGTCCACCATCAGTCTCCAGGAGGCGTTTGATAAGTTGACCCCTGTGTCTGCAGGGATCATCGACCAGCTCAGTGTCCTGCCTGGAAAAGAAGAACCCATTAAGGTTTGAACCCTGACAGTAAATGAAATGTTGCTTTCAAATGATTTCAAGTTTGTAAAAGTGTTCCCATGTATACAGTGGACTCCAGGCTCTCCTGACTTTTAACTTAGTGCTTAGTTTAGGGTTGAAATTGTACTTCTGGAAACAGATTTACATTGTAATATATTTGCCTTCTTATTGCAACCTACTAAAGTTTATCTAATTGGTCGGCTGCCGTTCGAGTTTGGTTGTTAGGTTGCTGACTCTGTGTTTGTGTTCCCTCAGGTGACAGCCAGCGTGTACATCCCCTCTCAGGGTCGTCTGGTGTGCGGTAGAGAAGACGGCAGCATCATCCTGGTTCCTGCCACTCAGACCGCCATCGTCCAGCTGCTGCAGGGGGAGCACATGCTCAGGAGAGGTGAGGGAGGGACACAGTGAGGGGACCAATGTTCAAGGTTGAGAAAATAGAAGTGGGGAAAACACTGACCATCTGATTTCTACATCACTACAATTTTTATAAACAAGTAACACTAAAAGTCAGCACTGAGCTAGCTCTAGGAAAGAAATGATAAGTTAGTTCCTTTTAGTTCTGGTCCATTTCATCAGGTCGTCTGTGGAACGTGAAATGGACCCAGGTGTCTGGTGACTTTGATGCTTGTGATGTGTTTATTTAGTGTCTCTGGTGTCATGGAGAGCTCACCATTACATTTGACTTTTTTTTTAGACTTTCGTGATATTGAGGTACAAAAAATGAAAATGGTAGCACACCAACTCTGTTTTTTCTCCTTTTTTACTCCTGCACTCATGTGGTGATGTGCATACATGTTACCAAGTCATCTTATGTAAATTCATACACTTTGTCATCAACTTTTTATTAGTTAATGTTGATAACAAACAACCCAACAATTATGCACCACCCCAACTCAATCCACATTATTCCATTCTGAATGTCGTGTCCGTCTGTCCTGCAGGCTGGCCTCCCCATCGTACCTTGCGAGGTCACCGGAACAAGGTGACGTGCGTCCTGTATCCGTACCAGATCTCTCCCCGCTACGACCAGCGCTCGCTGGTGTCCGGAGGAGTGGACTTCTCCGTCATCGTCTGGGACATTTTCACCGGAGAGATGAAGCACATTTTCTGTGTCCATGGAGGAGAGATCACGCAGCTCATCGTCCCGCCTGAAAACTGCAGCGTAAGACCTCTGACATACAGCTCTGTGTTTGTTTCTTCTCATCCTTTTATTCCTTCTGTCTCATTTTCTTTTCTCTGTTTGTGTTTTGTTGTGTCTTTGTGTGATGAATGTACTGAAAGACAGCAGTGTGTTATATTGCTGACATTAGATTTGAATGTTACGGGGGTGATGTCATTGTAGTTACTATGGAAATAACTTTAATGACATTAGCCGTTGTGGTCGGATGTTGAATGCACAGACGCACACACAGCCGCCCATTCAACCAAATGAAAACATTACATTGTTTAACTGACATTAAGAACTGGTCAGAACTGTGTTGTTGCCATGGAAATCAGATGTCAGATGCTGTTGCTGGAGCTGGACTACAATGACCCATCACACATATGCTTTAATTAATGTTTTTCATCTGCTCACTTTTGGACAATCAGTGAAACCTTAAACAGCAAACTGCCAGCCTACTGAGCATCAGCAGTGAGTTAATGTGTCTAAATGTGCCACTAACAGCAATGGTGTAGATCAGGGGTTTCAATCTCAGATTACCTCAGGGCCACTGCTGTATTGTCATCTCATAGGAGGACCACTTCAGCGTTTGAGTACAACAATAAAAGCACAATATCCTGAAAATATCTCCATTACAGATCCCTGGTATAGATTTTTTTGTGTAGCGACATATGGCCCTTGTACAAAACCACAAAAATACAACCTGGAGGAGATCCAGCAGGTTCCAGGTTGGAGTTTGATTAAAACTATGATTCTTATTTTTGGGAAGTGTCCATTTTTTGGCTAATTTGGAATTTAGTTTAAGGAAAATTTACAACTTCCCTACATTTCTTTATTCATTTATGTTCTTTTTTTTTTTTTTGCATTTTCAGCATTATTTTACAGATTAGAGTGAAGAGACAGACAGGAAACTGGGGTGAGAGAAGAGGGCATGACATGCCACCAAGGTCGCCAGCGAAATAGGCCTGCTTTTATGTAACTACTGGCTTTTGTTTGAGGAAATATGGTAGTGCCGAATAGTGGTTTTGGTAGTTTATTAATTAACAGGATGATAAAACTAGAAGGCACCAAAGTCAGAAACTGTCCGAGACACATGGATTGTTTTCTTGACTGCTAAACCTAACAAATATATTATTAGGATTCAGATTCAATAAGATTGAACTCAGTCTAGTCAGTGACCCTCCATGGTGTCCTCAGGTACAGTTCTTTGAGTCATCATTGTTTCCCGCTGTGTTTCCTCTGCAGACTCGGGTTCAGCACTGCGTCTGCTCGGTGGCCAGCGACCACTCCGTCGGCCTGCTCAGTCTCAGGGAGAGGAAGTGCATCATGCTGGCGTCGCGACACCTCTTCCCCATTCAGGTCATCAAGTGGCGTCCAGCAGACGACTACCTGGTGGTGGGATGCTCTGATGGCTCCGTCTACGTCTGGCAGATGGACACAGGTGAGAACTGGGCGACTGGAGCTCATTGGAGTTGTGTAAATGCTGATCCACTGGCAGGAGTTAAAACTTGTGATCGAGGGCAGCTGCTATTACAACTTTTCATTAATAAATGACAAGGTGGGCTGGAAAGCTCCAAAACAATCCAATCCCACAAATTCTTTGTCTAGATTGCAGGCATGTAAAATAGCCTCAAACATCCAGTTTCACTTTATCAGAAATTAGTTTTGACCCACGGCACAAAAAGCTCTGGGTTGTATCTGGGAAAACATGTTGCTACATTAAAGTTTGATGACCATGAAGCTATCCATGAACCTTTCTAAACTAATCACAGAGCAGAAAACTGTGTTTTTCATCAAATTTAATGGTGATAAATACACATTTTTATCACCATTAAAATCAGTATAAACCCATTAGGTTCACTACTTCTACCTACACCCAACAGACCCCCCTGTCAATGCTGCAGTGACTCTCTAATGCTACTTTAATGCTCCAAACATACCAAGTCTACTAAATATAGTCTCCATAAAGTGAATTAAAGTAACAGAAAAATTATATTTTAGAACTATCCAGAACAAACTCTGAAATCTAATGAGAGGTTGTGAGGTTTGGTACCATTGTGACTGTTCAGAAACCAAATCCAAGATCTGCGCTTGTATTAGTCAACCCACACTATAAACTAATCCAGGTTGTAGGTGAAGGTAAAATGAGCTGTCATTACAGTGGTGGCATCTGACTTGTGAACCTGCACAATAACACTGTAATGTTTCTAAGGAATTTTACTTTTTCACCAAATAACACTGCTGTATACCACTGCTAAAAATCTCTTACAGCCTGCTACATATTGGTAATGTAGACCTTGACATGCTTTTAAAATAGAGGTTAAAAACATATAACTTTTTAATGAAATTGCAGTTGTATTAGTTCACCAAACCACAACTTGCTGTACTGAGCTGTTATCAGCTGCTCCAACATTAAAGCAAAATCCACAATCCTCTCCTCCATAAAATCAATGTCACTTTCATTTTTCATGTTTCATCTCCACGCTTTCTACATTCTGAGCTTCTAAAGACGGATATCTTGGCTGAAACTCCACGTTTTACGTTTTAGTTTGATGATGTATTTCATCTGATTGCAAAGCAAGAGTTTATGAATTGCAACTTTGTTGACTTGCTGTATAATCATAAGCTAGTAAGTAATGCCACCTAGGGCTACACTGCATTTTCTGACTGTGGAGGTCGGGCAGAGGCAGTTATTTTTCCTAAAGCTTTGTCGAAATTAATTTCACAGTTTCACATTTACACAGTCTACCCAAATATCCAAGCTTTCAGCGTTAGTGAAGAAAAAAGTGTTGAATATGTTGAACTATTCCTTTAAACCTCATCCCCCTCCTCAGAGTCCTCTGCACCCTCTATCCTGTTTAGGCGTTACTATGACAACACAATCTGCAGTAAACATGTATGTGCATAGCACAGAGGTAAAATCAGCTTGAATGATGACTAGCCACTGGAAGACCAGGTAAGTGTGTGTGTGTGTGTGTGTGTGTGTGTGTGTGCGTGTGCGTGTGATGGCGACCTGAATGAGCTGTAGTGCTGGGAGATTGCAGGGTAGCTAAGTGTGAAATTAAGGAAGGTGTGTGTGTGCTCAGGCGTTGGACATGTAATAGGGCCATGGCTCACAGGCCCCTTCATCACACACACACACACACACACACACACACACACACACAGGTACAATGGTACCACTTCTCCTCTCACTCAATAACAGAGCCAATACTGATGTCAGCTCAGTCTGCAGCTAATGATGTCTCCCTAAACCCCCCTCTCTTTCTGTAAAGGTAGAGAATTGTTGCAGTTAGATGGAGAAGACTCTATCTGTGACCTGAATCAAATTCATGGGACAATAGATGATGATACTGAGTATGGAGACAAACTGAGTGGGAAACTGTGTAAAAGACAGAGAGAGAGATTAGAAGATTGATATAAATAGAAGGAGAGTGCAAGGACAGGAAGAGAAAGATTGATAGGAATAGAGCACGCACAGTGGGAGGCTGAGATAAAACTAGTCTGATTACACTCTGCTTACCCTGGTTCTCTACAGGGCCAAAAGTATGTAGACACACAACATTATAGCCAAAACCATGGGCATTAACACTAATGAACAGTCTCCATTATTCTGCTGTCAGGATTTCAACCAGAAGCCTTAATTGTTTAGTTTTGGTTTTATGCTGTAAGTGAAGCCAAAGACGAGCCTAGCACATTGCACATCTAAGAACAGGAAAGAAGAAAGTTCACAGAGGTTCTGGCCGAGGCTTGCTCAACTGCTTTTTTGGTCACAGAGCAAAAAGGGGCGGGATTTAGGAATAAGATTCCAACCGACCAACAGTCCTGTCCAGTCCAGAATCTTTAGCTGCTCTTATTTTATTTAATCACAACAGCCAGACATATCAGAAGTGAACCAACCAAGAAAGGCCACATCATGAAGTTGTGTTTGTTACATTTATTTTGATTATACGTAGATTTTAGGTGATACCGTCCTACCATAATCAGGGTAGTAGTTGATGAGATATGTGATATTAATGTCACAAGTTGACATTCTAGCCTGAGGGTGGTGTTTGCTGAAAGGTCATGGAGTGTCCAAAATTAAAATAAAGATTTCATCTGGGGAGCAGGAATGTGATCAATAAACTTAATCTGAAGCTGCCCGATAGATTTTTCTTGTGCCTAAGTGAAAATATGTCCTGATGGTGGCACCAGCGAAAAAGGTCAGGAGGTCTTCAATATCATTAAGATTTATTCTTTTGGGACCAAGAGTATCTTGGGAAATACTATGTGTATATGGACAGTAGTTGTTTACTTTCTCTTGACCAAATAGTTGATTCCTTGTATAGAGGGTTTGATAAAGGTTTGTTCACTTGTTTGTGTTTTCAGGAGCCTTGGACCGCTGTGTGATGGGTATAACGGCAGTAGAGATCCTGAACGCCTGTGACGAGCTGGCTCCGGCCACTGTGGACGCTCTGAGCCACTCAGCTGTGAACCTGAAGCAGGCGATGACTCGCCGCAGCCTGGCAGCACTGAAGAACATGGCCCAGCACAAACTGCAGACACTCGCCACCAACCTGCTGGCTGCAGACAACGCTGACAAGGTACAAACGGCTAACAGTCACACTAAGAGGAAGGGAAGCTTTGTTTGGGAAATGACTTCAGCTATGTGCACTACTGCTGGAGCATTAATGGAGTAGTCAATCAACAGAAAATGAATCACCAATCATTTTGCTGGCCTAAAGGCTCTGTAAGGCTGTTACAGCAGTACTTTGAGCTGGATGCAGACATCAGCATCTTGACACACTCACAGTCATCACTACATTAGATTAGTGTGTTAGTACACTTAACCTGTGCTTTCACACCTAACCTTTTTGCTTCAACAAACTGAGCTCTGTTTATGTTGGCTGGTTTGAAAGCTGTCAGCTTAAAGCTGCATTAGGTAACTTTTACAAAACGGACTTTTTTCACTTTGTTCTGACAGAGTGACCGTGAGACAGCTGAGAAAGGCGCTTTGGGTCAGAAGCTTGAAGATAGCTGATTGTTGAGTCTCATTCCCAGGGACCCAAAGCGTCATTGATGCCCTGGGACTGAGACTCAACAATCAGCTATCTTTCTTGGCTCTGATTGGTTGTTTTCATTCAGGCCCGTGAATTCTTGCAAATACCATTAGGAGCACTAGGAGGAGCCAGAGACGAACCTAATCAGTTCACAGATTATCAGTCTCATGTACTACTGTCAGGATATAGTTAAGGTTTCAGCAAATGTGACAAAAGATTGTTTTTTATAAAAATGACCTACTGCAGCTTTAACTCTGGTGTAGACTAAACTAAGCTGCAACAGGAACACCTGAAAAGGTGGCTCTTTGTCTGATCTGGTTTATTTGTGGTGTGAATGCAAAGCAGTGTGTGTGATGGTAGATATTGTGTTTGATTTTGCAACAATATTACAGAACAAGATGCCTCTTTTTCATCCTGTTTCTACCAGTTTGTCATTATTAATTATAGCTGTCACGACTAATAATAATCATAATGAAGTATTTCTTTGTGAGCTCTATAGATAGATAAAGATAGCTGAATAAACTCATAAGGAGTGCTTTATGACCTGCTGTCTGATTTCTTTTGTGGGTCCATGTAGCACTGATGATGCCAAATGACATCACCAAAACTGGCCAATGAATGTGTTACCTCAGTCTGTGAATTCATGTTTGCAGCTCTTGGTTTGTTTGCAATGAATCAGTTTGAACATGAACTAGAAAAGAAGTAAAAGGCAGAATTTATTAAATTTTGCTCTGAAAGAGACCAAAGAAGTTTTCATCATAGTTTTCCAGCCTCAGTCCAGTGTGGTGCTGCTCATTCCTGACGATAATTATCAAATAATATAAAGGCATGTGAAAAAGAATGATATCATATTTTTTTTGCCATAACTTTTTTGCTGCTGTAAAATCTGACTTATGATATCTTTTTGATCAACCTTGAATAAAACAAAACAAAAAAATAGACGTCAGCAGTCCCTAAGGCTGCAGGCTGAAGAATTTTTTGTCAGATGTCTGCTGACTTCTAATGTTGAGCTTGAATTGATTCAGATCTGATCTCTGTGAAGTTCAGATGTCTCTTCCTCCTCATGTTCTTTCTTTTCTCTTTTTCTCGCTCTTGGTGGCATTCATCAAAAAACAGACACGCAATACTTTTTAATCACACACACACACACACACACACACAGACCGGTCATCTCGGTCAGATAGCTGGCTAAAGTCACACACCAATTAAAACTCTGCTGGAGACGAACCAAAGGTCAACACTACAGCCTCTGTGAGAGAGAGAGAAGGAGAGAAAGAGAGAGAGAAAAAGAGAAAGAGAAAGACCACTGGTGTCTCCCAGGGAAGGATGAACTATCTTAAATGTCAAAATGGTAGAAAAAAACAGAAGTGCAGTGTTTCTTTTCTCTGAGCTGGACTTTCCAGAGAGCAGATGTAGTGGTTTAAAGGAGAAATCCACACAAATGGAAAGATAGGTGAGCCACTGTTGCAGAATGGGCTCCATTACTCAGTTTTTTTTCTCCCCCCTCATTAAATACTTCTAGAAAATCCCCAAAAATTATTGCTCAAAATTCATTGTAGTTATTATTATACTGCAGTTTAATGTGAACTTTTTAAACAGATTAATTTATTATTTTTTCTCGGTTTGTGTTTGACCTGTGTACTTACTTGGTCAAAATTATAATGATCAAAAAGACAGATGTACGTTTTATTTTTTTTCTCCAGTGAGAGCGCCCCCTACATTATTGTTCTCCAGCACGTTCTGAAATGACGTGAGCAAAGGAAATCAATGCTAATGTTACTAGTTAGTGACATTCTCCAGTCAGATGTCAGTTCACCTTCGTCCTGAGAAAACCCCTCTCGGAGGCTCGAAGGCTTTCTCCATACATTATACATAGTATGTCCAAGGACAGTTTAAAACTCTTGGAAAATGGAAAACTATGCTCAATCATTGAATTTCAGTTTGACTTTAGTAACAGATGGAATGACTCTGTAATGTGAAAGGTTCTGCTCAGCTGCAGCGTGCACAGTGTTGTCACTGGTGGTGGGAAGCTACACAAATCTGGGGTAAAAGAAAAATATCAAACAATATGGTAATATTTTATTTTGTGATATTGTATCGATTCCTAAGAGATTTTTGTGGTGAAACCCCCAACTGCTAGCTAGCAGTGTTGTAAACTGAGGGCTGTGATAAATACAAATGCAGATCCCACTGTCCTGTTTATATGAAAATAAAAGCTCCACAACAGTGGGATCTGCATTTGTTTTTGTCACAGTCACTGTAATATCCAACATCACATTCCTCAGTTTACATTTACACTGCTATCGGGCATTTGGGGGGTTCAAACCCAATTGATACAATATCACTAAACAAAAACTGTGATATTTTAAATATTTTCTTACACCCCTAGAATGAATTATTTTTCACAGACCTTTTTAGAATTGCAGTAATAATCTGTAAAAAAACACTTTTTTGAACAAGACCATTCATAATCCTAATGTAGAAGGAATGACTCAAATCAGTTGCTTCAGTATTCACACAGGTTTGACAGTTTCACAGTTGTCATAAATCCGCCTTCAGATTGCTGCTCAGACTGCAGTATGTGGAGCGGTTTGTCTGTGCTGACCCCTCAGAGGATCAGAGGTTCACTTGTCAGACTCAGATGATCTGATCTGCCCTGACCGAGTAAACCCCACCCACCTGGGCCTCCCAGCACAGAAAACAAACGCCATGAATTATTTAGTGCCTGAACAGCGTTTAGTTGAGCTGCTGGTACAGTTTGACTTTTACAGTTTTGACTCTGAAGCCATTTAGCTCGGCATCCCCTCTCCTCCTTTGTTTGTCCTTTTTCTTCTCTTCCCTTCCAGCAGATAACCTTTGTGTTGTTTCTTTTCCCCCCTCCGTGTGTCGGTTTTATTGTAGGTGTCTCCCGGGTTTTTCCTGCCATAACTGTCCATAATCACAGCTCTTTTTCTGAAAAGGCCAACACACAACAGCTGCAATCTTCTCTCCCCGTTCTATCAGAAATACATCACTGTTGTTCTCTGTTCTGCCTCCCACCTCCGTGTCATTTCTCTCTCATATCCACTCAAATCATGGGTCAAAACCACCCACTCTCCCGGTGTGTGTGAGAGTGTGTACTCCCCTGATGTGTGTAATGACAGATAATGACCATGAAATGTCAGACTATCAACCCAAACATTACACCCAGCCGGCTCCGAGCCTTCATCTGTCTGTGTGTTTGTGTGTGTTGACAGCTGATGTTTGTTGTTGTTCGGGTTGTCCGTTTGTGTGTGAGGAAGTCGATGCGTGACTTTGGGTTTGTCCTCTGGCAGGTGTGCTGAACCTGCTGATCTGTGAATGTGTTTGTCATATGGAAAAAGCAGAGCTGCCAAAACTGAATCGACTAAAAATGCCAACTATTTCTGCTTTCCTTATGTCAAATGTGAGGATTTACAATTTTTCTGTTGTGTATAACTGTAAACTGAGCATCTTCAGGTTTTGGAATGTTGCTCGGTTAGACATTTGGAAACACTCAGAGGTTTCGTTAGACTCTCCTGTCCATCATTACAACAGGGTTGTAAAATATTTTTGTGTATGTGAAGTGTCCTAGCAAAGCGCTCTATAAATAAAATGTATTAACATTATTATTATTATTATCATAATCTATTTACCTGTCATTGTCATTTTTGAATGATTATGAGATATATAGCCTTTTTCAAAAACAACTCGATCACAAAAACATTGTACATTTTATACAGAAGTAACCCGGTAGTTCCTCCTGCCTTCCTTGCTGCCACTTGCTTCACCCGTAACATCAGCTGCCACTGCGCTCTGTATACAACATGATGATGATTATGATGAAGATCATTAGGCTGTTTTGGTGGTGCACTACATACAGTGTGTAATGCTCGTGTATGTGGTGGCGTTGCTGACGACAATAGGACATATAACATGATTAACAGGTTTAAGGTTGTTTGTTATTTGGCCTTAAAATCACGTCATATTTATTTTAAGTGTAATCATGTTTATCAAAGCTTAGATTTCCTTTTATTTAAAGTATTGATTGCTTCGTACTTTCACATGACTTTATTCCCTTATGTGTCTGTCTACCTGGTGTCCTTTAGACCATATTCTAAAGGTACCATAGGTAAAGTGTGCAGATTTTCTTCTTGTATGTATTCAGTGTTTGTGCATCTGATGTCTCAGAGAGAGAGAGAGAGAGAGAGAGAGAGAGAGAGAGAGAGAGAGAGAGAGAGAGAGAGAGAGAGAGAGAGAGAGAGAGAGAGAGATGTTTTGGACTCCAGTGGTGTTTGCCAGAAGGGCCCTGCAGGACAATGACCTTTAGACCTACTGCCCAGGAGCTATAGGACACTGTGTGTGTGGGGGTGTGTGCATAGATAAGAAATATAAATGAAATGTCAGTTTTTCAAAGGCAGAGTAGAGACAAATCTACTGTCTACTGTCTGAGACCTCTCTCTGTTTGCAACCTACTGCACAAAGGAAATCTCAAGAGAAATTGTTCAAAATCTTAGAATTTATTTAGTCTGAAAATTCACATTGCCATCCAAACCAAACATGGCCTGTTAGGAAACATAGAATATCAGCTCAAGCACAAAACATGTTTATTATTGCCTGTGTGTAATGTGGCTGTTAGCCTTTAGATGGCAGTGTTCATCCACCAAAACAACACACACAGGCATCCAAACACCCCGGCACAGACACTGAAACATGGGGATGAGGCACACATGTCATGCTTTTGCCGGGTAGAATCCACGACATCTAACATAACAGGAACTATACTGTCTGTGATTAGAGGCCAGTTGGATGTGTAACATGTCAGCTCACTAATTGTATTCATCACAGTGCAGACTAGGACTGCAACTAACGACTATTGTCATTATTAATGAATCTGTTGATCATTCAGAAAATATTCACATTTAAGAAGCTGAAATGAAAGAATTTGGACGTTTTTTTCTGTAAAAAATGATTAAAAATGATTAATCAAATCTAAATAGCTGGCAATTAATGTAATAATTAATCAAGTAATGGTTAAAGCTCAAGTGCAGACGCAGTCTTTGTGGGGATGATTTGAGCTGGAATCAAACAGCTCTTGGAATGAAACCATAAATAAAGTCTCAACAGTGCTGTAGCTGCAATTACACACACGTTTACTCTTGGTACACGCATGAATGTACATGCATTTGCTGTCAGCTGACTTTTTTCATCCCTCATTCACACACACGCACACACACACGAACACACACACGAACACAGAGCGACATAGAGGAGCAGCATTACAGCTTTGACAGGAAAGTCTTCCCTGAGGTAGGTAGTGTGTGTGTGTGTGTGTGTGTGTGTGTGTGTGTGTGTGTGTGTGTGTGTGTGTGTGTGTGTGTGTGTGTGTGTGTGTGTGTGTGTGTGTGTGTGTGTCTCCCAGCTGCAGGTGTATTGTGTCTCTCGGTCAGTGAGGAGTCTCCACAGCTAATTATTGTTCTCTCCCACAGAGTCACATCCAATTCAATTCCATGAGCTTTAATGGCATGAAAGGTTAAAAACAGTGATTCCACAACCAGAAAGCCCAGCACAGAGAAATATTCATGATTTGATTAGCAACAATAATAACAATATGGAGAAGACACCTAAATCTGGTGCATTTCCAGACATACAGAAACACACATTAGAACAACTGCAGAAAATGTAACTAATGTCTCAAATATTAACGTGCTTTATTGTTTTGACCAGAGTCTGGTAGTGTAATGCTAAAGCAGCAGGTCTACAGTGTGAACAAATATAGTGCCAAAACAATTGGTCATTTGATTGATTGCCCTGAGTTATTTATCAAACCACAATAGAAAACATCCTCAGGTTCAAGCTTCTCCACTGTGAGTATTTGCTGCTGTTTTCCGTCTTATGGCATTATAAAGTGAATATCTGTTTTGGAGTGTTGGTCAGAAAAAAGCATTTGTCAAATGTCATGTTTTGTTTAATGGTAAAACATAACATGTTGCAACACAACAGGTAAAAACACAGAGGCAAACACAACAGAATGTCCATTTGACAATTAAAACACAGCCATGCTGACGCTGTGCGTTGTAATTGATCTTGTATGTTGTGTTAACTCGCGCTGCATGTTTTAATCAGCCTTTCTGCTCACACTGTACAGATCAATACACCCTTTTCACAGCAGCCATTTTCACATGAAATAGTAGAGTAATCACTGGTGTTATCAGTGACACTTATTATGGTTCCATTCCATTTAGTGTAGCAGGGCCTTTACCAGTGAGCCAACACCCACAATAGCAGCAGCTTGACTGAATGGAACAGAGCCTTAATTATCTGGCAACACTACTATTTCATGTTAAAGTAGCTGCTGTGAAAAAGGTCTGTTGGTCACAGCGTGGAGCTCACCCTGAACGTAGTCATGGAACCACCAGTCAGTTTTGTCTTGTGATGATTCCCATAATGTTTATTCTAGGGCTGTCCCTGACTCAAAATGTTCATAGTCGACTAACAGTCGTTAAATAAAGCCGATAGTTGACAAGTCGCTGCACGTTTATGATATGAATTAATGATTTAAATATATAGATTTTAACAGCTACCTGTTAAATGATAATGGAAAAAGCGGTAATGATTCTGAATGTCTCGGAACAACCAGCAAGGCTGTACATTTAGTTCAATTATTTCAACACAGAATAACAACACACAAGCCTCGTTGTTGAAAACACGGAATGAATAACTTCACTAAAACAAATATTGGCGGACTTATTGATACAATTATCCCACTTAATGATTATCCCAATAATGAACAAATTGTTGTTTTTTCATTGCAAGACACGATTATATCGTATATCGTCCTATCCCTATTCAGATAAGATGCGTCCTCGGCAATGTTGTTAAAAAGGTTACTCTATTCTACTCTGCATCAAAAGTAAGAATATGGAGCCTCTGATGGCTGGAAGATGTAGACAGTATGGTGTCTGCTTTAGTGTCAAGAGTACAGTTTTCGCCACAACATGTAAAATACTAAAATTAGAACAAGCTCAGAGTTTACAGCGGCCCTTTGACAGCAGCCATGAGGGAAATCAGACAGTGGGGCTGTTCACACTGCAGACAGCCGGCCCAGAGTGGCAGAAATTCAACCAGTTCCAAGAACCAGATAATTGATCGTTCAGGCAATTAATCTTGTGTCGTGACCCTTTTCAAACTGCACGTCAAATGACAAATGCTTTGGTAGAAATTAGTTGAGGGTTAAAATAATCTGCCCGGCCTAAGACTTAACTAAACACATCACTCCTCATGCAGAAGTGGGTGGTTTGTAGAGTTAACAAAAAATGGAAAATCCCTCATGAGATTCATGCCCATTAAAATCTGCTTTTGCCATTCTTTCCCTTGATTTCCTCTTGTCATTCTTCCCTTAATGACTCCCCCCTCCCTCAGAGTCAGACTCTAACAGGATCACCGTTGTCTGATTGCAGTCATCAGGTCATTAGCATGTAAACAAACAGCACTGTTCTGCATACGGCTCCACGCAGGTGTCTCTGCTAATACAATTAAAATCGAGCAGTGTGTTAGTATTGGTGGCAATTACAGCTAATGCTGTGTGTGTGTATTTGCTGTGTATCTGTATCTGAATGATAGTTTGTGTTTAAAGGGATCAGTTAATGATTTAAATCATTATTCTATTCATTTTGTTCAGTCCAGGTTGGATTTTTGTTGAAGATCTCTGACGTGGTTATTAAAGCTTCACTAATCATTATTATTGTTAAGCCATGTTATTATAGTTCGTATAATATAATCCACATTATTTTATGACTGTTTCTAAATAAACTATAAATATAAATATACTGTATCGCTGGTAGTCGGACATTTCTTGTTATTTATCGACTGACACATACGTAGATACTGACATAGAGAGGTAGACAAAAAAAAACGATCTTGTTGAATTATGGGAACTGTAGGATTCAGAGCTTGAGCCTTATTAGGGACTAACAGTTAGAATATCTCAGCCTGTGCTGTGTTAGTTTTAACTTTTAATTTTTAAAATGTCTCTAACAAGTCCCTCTTTCATGTCCAGTACTACATCACTGGAGGACCTCCTTATAGTCATGGTACCTGTTTGAGTCCTGCCCATGTGTAGACTTTGCCTTAGGCCTAAATATTCAATTTCAGAATGAGTACAGATGACACTGGCTAACCACTGTGTGTAGGATTTGAAAATTGAATAAAGTGGATCAGTTTTCACTGAGGTTGTTTCTACAAAGAAAAATTTAATGACATCTGAATAGATGCTTAGAAATTCTACACATAGTGACTTTAATATGTTGCTAGTCACAAGGAAGGACATATGGACTGTGACTGTCCGGTCAGGTGACAGATTGAACATGTCCCCAGAGGGAGCTCTGCCATCTGACTCTCATGAATCTTGACATTTTCCTTTCTCTGCAGGAACAAGGCACACTGTGGTTGTTTCTGTGTTGGAAACACCGACTGAGTAACATTCATCGCTGCTTCCTTTAAAGTCTTCTTTAAAATTCTCTCTCCTCCAGGGCAACTTGCCGAAATACTCCCATAATGCCCTGGTGGTCCAGGCAATGAAGACCAACCTGACGGACCCTGACATGCACGTGTTGTTCTTTGACGTGGAGGCGGTGATCATCCAGCTGCTGACAGAGGAAGCCCAGAGACCCAACCCCACGCTGGTGTCTCCAGAGACGCTGCAGAAGAGCCAGGCCGGGGCTGACAAGGGGGGGTCCTTCCTGGCAAACAAGATCTTCAAACAGGTCAGTAGACAGTCCTAAACTATCAAAATCAGTGTGTATTGAATAATGGCGTGTCTTTTATCTCATTCTTGTGCTGTTCATTTACTATTTTATTTGAGCTTTTTAATGAGATGATCTCCTGTCCGAACCAGGTGAAAGAGACAATGAAGGAGACCATCAAGGAGCACCTGTTGGACGAAGACGAGGAGGAGGAGGAGGAGATGAGGAGGCGAGAGGAGAAGTCCAAGTCTCTGAGTCTGCTGGAGTACAACCTGACCATGGACACGGCCAAACTCTTCATGTCCTGCCTGCACGCCTGGGGTCTCAACGAACAGCTGGACGGCATCTGTCTGGAGCGGCTGGGCATGCTCAGACCGCACTGCCCCATCTCCTTCGGCCTGATCTCCAGGGGAGGACACATGTCCCTCATGCTGCCCACCTTCAAGGTACTTGTCTGGTAATGAAATGAGTAGATGGGATCTTATTATCTTCATATACATTTTTATATTCCATCACATTCTCCCACAATATTATTATTATTATTATTTCTAGTGTTTGTGTTAATTTATTCATATAGCACAAAGTTACAAAGTGCTTCACTTCAAATAATGGAATAATAAAACGGTAACACAGGTAGGATGAGAATAAATAAAGCTGCTTCCTTCTCTGAACGATCACAGAGCAACTGCAGACATGTCAGTAACAGCAGTATCAGGAAGTGATTGACGGTTCTGTAGCACCTTTATGGAGCGAGTGTCATAAACTACTTCACCAGTCAATAAAGACAACAGATCGCCAACAGATAACAAACAGACGATACAGAGAGCGTAGGGTGTGTCTGTAGAAAAGATAAAAACTGATATCAGTGAAGTGGGAGCTGGCCTGCAAACACATGATACAGAATATAGTGTCTGAGCTGAGTAAAACGCACAACAAGGCCACTCATGTTGACTCTCTTAAACCATGCACTAGTATTTCCCATGTCCCTTGTTCATTTTCTGCCTCCTTTTCCCAGGAGTCCTTGCTGCGACAGTTGTCCCTTGCGACGGGTCTGAAGCTGACCCTGTCGGACATCGTGGGGAAGGGGACGTACGGGGTGTCGAGGGCCGTCACCACACAGCACCTCCTGTCTGTGATTTCACTGGCCAACACTCTGATGGGCATGACCAACGCCACCTTCGTCGGAGAGCACATGAAGAAAGCACCAGCCAGGTAGCAGACGTGAATGTGTTTTGAATATGCTTTCGTATATTGTTTTTTGTTATCTTGTAGTTTTATTGTGAAGAAGGGAAAAAAAAATGTTTTCCAAGAGTTGGTGGAGACCAAAACACAACCTCAATGGGATGATACTGTGTGCTGGATGTGGAAGTAGGCTGCTGTTTGCTAACACAACAACTTTAAAATGCGATAATTATCAGAGGGTCCTTTTTTTTAATTGTTGTGGAGCAAAAAAAAAAAACACCCTTTCAAAATACAAAACACACTCAACTGACCCTCAGACCTCTGAGCTGATGTGCACTGTGTGAAAACTTTGCATCAGTTTTTGAGACTAGTTGACATCAGTCAATCAATCAATCAATGAAATCAGTCCACATAGCTTCTGAATCTCTGGAGCGCTGCCCACAGAAACAGAACCATGCAATGGGGATGATCATAAATTAACTATTAAATTCAAATATTAGTGGATGTCTTATCCACAGCATCTTTAAGATATCAAAAAGAAAATATAAAGCTGAACACAACATATCTGGATTCTCCAGGCAGAAAAACACAACCCGATCCGTCATCAGTGATTCCAGCTGAAAAACAAAATAACAACCCAAACAAGCTAGAACAGAAGCACAATTCAAAGCACAGACACACAGACGCTGTTCACATACACAATGATACCAGCAGCACCTAAAGTTCAACTACTGTCAAATCTGTGTGTGTGTGTGTGTGTGTGTGTGTGTGTGTGAGAGAAGCTGATTGTTTAGTCTGTCTGAGCTCTCATTGTGCTGTGAAAGATTTAACACGGAGGTCGAGGTCCTGCTGCTGTAACACCAACATAACATTTCATCATTTCCCTGCACAGAATAACCCTGGAGGGAGGGAGAGAGAGAGAGAGAGAGAGACCTCTGATATTTATTTTATTTCACCTGTTTTCAGTCTTTTTCTGTTTATTAACTTCATTGAATAAAATAGTATATATATGCAATAACTGCCGCTGTAGTTTAGCCTCCAACCTTTCAGTAATCAAGTTCATTTTATGCAGTAGCTTAAAAAGCCACTCAAACATCTGGTAAAGTTATGGTGAAATGAGTACAGGTTGGATAGAATTTGTGTTCCTCAGTGGAGTCTTGTCTTACATCAGTGATTAACAGGACCCAAAGACTATAATAAGAGCTGTGCCGTTAGAGCCAGATATGGTCAAAAATATCCTCAACTCAAATCTGATCTTTTTAGTGTCGGATACCAGAGCTGGACTCTTTTTAAAGAGCAACTAAATAATATTTTTGCATAATCACATTCACATTGATAGCATGCTATGTGATATCTTTTTCTGCCCGAAACTATCTTCCGTCTGTATGCTTTTATTTGAATATTATGTTCAGCTGAAAACCTTGATGAAGACTTCTTGAAGACTATATCTTACATCGATTTCTGCGCCAAGTATAAAACACTGGCTCAACTGTAGCTTCAGTTTGTTCCTATAATACATAGCTGCTGTTAACCTTAGTGAAACACTTCCAACGCCGGTGGACAGATGATGTCGTACATGAATGAGATTTATTCATCTTCAGTGGCAGTGAAGACGACACATGGGCCAACCGATAACTGTGCTGTATTTAGAGCATAACCAGATATTTAGGGCCTACGAACAGTAGCTGTGATGAACAGCAGGGCTATGACTATGTATTGACACTCCTTCACAAACACCCAAGAGCTTCTTTTATTAGAGCTGCTAGGTCACCTACAGCACAGTGACTCTTTCAAAGGGCCATAAACGTGCTTCTAGGGACTGTCAAAGCTCCACCGGACTCCCTGTCTTTCCAGCACAGACACGGGGAGTCTGACAGTAGCTGGTCATTAGCTCTGACTGCCAGCTCTACTGTATGTCATTGTCCACGCTACACTGAGCTGGGGTCAGTTGGTCTCCCCCAATTTCCCCTGACCCACCACGTCACTCACTACGTAGCCTCCTACAGTCGCTGCTCCCCCACTCCTCTGTTGCATTTTTTAAATATGCTGGGAGGGACGGTTATAGCAACATTTTAGGGTGTAGTTAGCCTATTGTAATTAGTAATCTTTTGGGGCAAGTTTAAGTCAAGTCTCAAGTTAATTGAGTCCAAGTCCAAAATCAGTCTCAATTCAAATATTAAGTCCCTTGAGTGCAAATCCAACTTACATCTCAACTCAATGGAGACATGTCCAAGTCAAGTTTTAAGTCAAATCTGGAGACTTGACTTGGACTGAAGGCAAGTCTAAATCGAGCCCCAAGTCAAGTCTTAAGTCAGTTGAGTCAAGCCCAAGTCAAGTCTCAACTTAATACAGATGAGTCCAAATCTTGAGTTTTGTCAAAACCAAATCTCAAGTTCTTGAGTGCAAATACATTTTACATCTCAAGTCTTGTCAAAGCCAGTCTCAGTTAAGTCCAAGTCCCAAGTCAACAAATCAACAAGTCTCTCAAGTAAGTAAAATCTCAAGTGCTTGAGGGCCTATGTCAAGTCTCAAGTCAAATATGAGGTCCTTTAAGGCATGTCCTTGAGAATAAGTCCAATTATAATATAAAGTCAAGTTTAAATGAAGTTTTAAGCCTTTCCAAAGCCAGTCTCAAGTCAAGTCCAAAGTCATGATGAACAGGAAATGGCAGTTAAAACATCAGAAACGATGAGCAGGAGTACGAAAACACCGCACAGCCCAAGTTTTTCAAAGCTGTCTATTCCTCTCTTACAAAGAACTCTTCTTCTGTGGTATGTCCAGATCAGAGAGGGTGATTGTGCAGCTACAGACAGAAGCTGAAGACTTCTTTTATGAAACTCAAACAAGGATCTTCACTCTTGCTGTCTCCACTTCCACACCCCAAACCAGCGGTTGTGAATATTTGAACGTGTTTGGGTTTTTGGCTTTTTCATGTTCCCCATCTTACATTTATGACAGCAGAAAAGCTTCCTCACTGTGTGTTGGAGTTTGAAAAGAAGTGCCCCTTAACTCTTAGTGTTTTAGTATTTCATCACAACAATCACAACAGCAGTCCCTTCACCATCTCTGGCTGACGGATTGAGCTTCTCTGTGGGACAAGTCCTGGAAGTCCTCCTTTTGGGAAACTGACCTAGACAAGAATAAACATGAAAAATACAAAAACCCTTTACATTTGCCTGGCCCTTGTTTCCTTTCCTAACCTCGGTCTTTAAAAATAGTTATATCAAGCCCCTTCTTCCCCATAACATATTTAGAATGCAATGCATCTTTTTCTCTCTGTTTCGGGGAGATTTTTTTTTTTTTCTCTTGGTCAAGTGCCTTGTCCATAGAATTATAGTTAGCATTTAGCTGCAAATTTCTGCTTGCAGAGCAAGCAAGGACAGTTTCAGATTGAAGATAGACTGAAAGATAGGACAGGAGGACTCATTTAAAGACCCATAATCTACACACGTCCATATGGGTTGATTTTCACTTTCCAATAAATAAGTACACCACGTGTCTGCGTCCCACAATTCCATGTTAATGTTTAGGTTTGACTCGTGGGTAGAAAAAAACAAGATTTTGTAGCTCTTGCAGCTGAACATCCAATCACACCTGAGGCACACTTATACTCTGTAGAGAATTTCGAAGAGAGATTTGTTTTCCTTTGGTTTGAATTGAATCAACTGAAATGGTTGGATTTATATGGATTTAGATTTTATTTAGATAACAGTCCTAAACCCCATTTTCCAGTTTGTACACACATTACACATGCAGATACAAAAAGCAGCACTCTGATAACATCACAAGCTGTAGTGACAAGCCACATAGTGAATTTATTTAGCCTGATGAAGTGTGATATAAAATATAGTTCACATAAACACATTACAAATTACATTTGGTGACCTGCCATAATTCAAAAGCCAACTGTAGTTTCTTCAATGTAAAAATGGTCTCTAAAAATCCACTGCAGCTCAGCCAGGAATCACTCGCTGTGGACATGACTTTAGAAGATACCCTCTTGACTTCCAACTCAAACTCCTGAAGCCACATATTAGCTTCAGCTGCCATTAGAGTCATATACAGAGGTGTGAAAAAGTATTTGCCCACTTTCTGATTTCTTATTTTTTTGCATATTTGTCACACTTAAATGTTTCACATCATCAAACAAATTTTAATATTAGACAAAGATAACCCGAGTAAATACAAAATGCAGTTTTTAAATGATGATTTTATTTATTAAGGGAAGAAAGATATCCAAACCTACCTGGCCCTATGTGAAAAAGTAATTGCCCCCTAAACCTAAAAACTAGTTGTGCCACCCTTTGGCAGTAACAACTGCAATCAAGCATTTGCGATAACTGGCAATAAGTCTTTCACATTGCTATGGAGGAATTTTGGCCCACTCTTCTTTGCAGAATTGTTTTAATTCAGCCACATTGGAGGGTTTTTGAGCATGAACAGCCTGTTTAAGGTCATGCCACAGCATCTCAATCAGATTTAAGTCCGGACTTTGACTAGGCCACTCCAAAACCTTCATTTTGTTTTTTTTAAGCCATTCAGAGGTGGACCTGCTGGTGTGTTTTGGATCATTGTCTTGCTGCATAACCCAAGTGTGCTTGTTCTGGGTTCTTATGTGACCTCCCGGTTCAGTCGTTGATGCACTCCGGCCACCCCTGTTTTTTCCATATGTGGATAATGGCTAACGTGGTTCGCTGGAGTTCCCAAGCCTTAGAAATGGCTTTGTAACCCTTTCCAGACGGATAGATGTCAATGATTTTGTTTCTCATCTGTTCTTAAATTTCTTTACATCGCGGCATGATGTGTTGCTTTTTGAGATCTTTTAGCCTACTTCACTTTGTCAGACAGGTTCTATTTAAGTGATTTCTTGATTCAACATGTCCGGCAGTAATCAGGCCTGGTTGTGGCTTGTGAAATTGAACTCAGCTTTCCAAAAAATTTGGTTAATCATAGTTAATTCATGATTTAACAAGGGGGGCCAATTACTTTTTCACATGGGGCCAGGTAGGTTTGGATAGCCTTTTTCCCTTAATAAATAAAATCATCTGCATTTAACTAATATTAAAATTGGTTTGACAATCTAAAACATTTAAGTGTGACAAATATACAAACGAATAAGTAATCAGGAAGGGAGCAAATACTTTTTCACAGCACTGTATAGTGCTGCAGGAGTCCTGAAACCTCGGAAATGAGGTCTGTGGTTATCATAAACTTGCACATTTTGTTCTACAACATAAAGTATATCAGTAAATACCCCACATGTGAATTTTGAAGCTTTTACGTGTCTAAGGCGGTTGCTAACAAGTGGCTAAATTAGACTACAGAGGTTATCGGTGACATTAAACGCCAGCACAATGAACACAAGTCATATGACCGTGATGTTTATAGCTTTTTTCCTCTAGCGATTGCATTTACGCTTCAAAAATCATAAAAGTGGTGTTTATTTGTAAGGATTATCTTATCTTTATTTTCTGCAGTAATCCAAAATTCAATGGAAAACTCCCATTGGGTTTTTGTTGAAGGAACCAGGGCGATGCTGACTTCAGAGTTGGCCTACAAACTAACACAATCCCTGCAGCGCTCTATTAAGGACGGATCACTTTAGGGCCAGTGTATATATAAGCTAAATAATTACAGCGGCCAATTACAATTACTGTATGGCATGTGAGTATTGTATTAATATAGACTTGAAAATTAGTGTTTATTCTTTACTGGAATTTCTTTGGCACAGTCTTTGTGCTTGTTAGTGACTGTGTGTGTTTCTTTGTGTTTTTGTGTGCCACATTGACACAAAAGTGTGTGTGTGAGTGAGAGAGACAGAGGGTTGTCAGTGTGTTTTTTGTGTGTGTGTGTGATATAGTGAAAGGCAGTGAGAGCAGGTGTATGAGTCGGGTGGGGGTGCGGGGGGCGTGCAGGTGCACATGTTCTTGTGCTGAATGGTTCTCAGTAGATGTTCTCCATAGAATAAAAGAATTCTGTTTCTGTGTATGTTGTCACATTAAAAAAATCACAGCAGAAGAATAATAATTTTAACTGAAAATATATTTTTTAATTTGTGATGTTCAGTGCATTCCACTTTACCTTGAATTTTAGTTTTTCAAGAATTCGCTTTTTTCCCCCGTACTTCTACAGTGCAAAAAAACAAAAAGCAATAATGCCTATATAACAGTATTTGGAGTACTTCACAGTAAGTTTATCCGAACACTTGCAGCCCTGTCATTTAATTCTTTTTTGCTTTCTTGCTTTCTTGCTTTCTTGCTTTCTTTCTAATTTCTCATTCATATTTCCATGGGAAAAAAAACTTTAAGTAATTTTTTAGGCTTGAAGAGGTAAATGTATCGACTAACAGTCAAGCATGAACAAGTAAATGCCAGTCACTGATACAAGTTGGGTGAAAAACGCATGGCTCACATAGTAAATTGCTAAATGGTAAAATTCACGGCACAGATTCCATCATTTATGGTAATGATCTCACAACTCTTCTGATTTATTTTGCAACCCATTGAGGCCGACCTGACCCCCATGTTGAACTGTTGGTACAGCTTTTGCAAATGTTTCTACCTAGTTTGTAATAACCATTGATTTACCTCCATACTAACACTTTGCAACCAGTGCTGGGCATTACTAGTAATAATATTAGAGTAATGATATTTCTTTGCTGAGCAACTAGTTGTGTAAGTAATTACTAATACCCCCCCAAAAAAAAAAATGAAAATAAAAATATCCAATCACATCCTTGGATTAGTTTTTGTAACTGGGAAGGAAGCTAGTTTGGAAGATGGAAAGACTTACATTGGCTGGAAATGTTATATTTGATTTTAACAAACAAAACTCGATTTGAATCGTCTGGATTTGGGGGAGAAGAGACACAGACACAGAGTATCAGAAAAGTTATATAACTAGTAGTGTAACAAATTATTAGAGCTCCCTGGGCAGTTATTTGTTGCTTGGCAACCGTTATTGATCCTTCCATTGATTGTTGTATTGGAAGTGTTTGTGTGTCTCTGAAAGTTAGAAGCCTCCAGTCTGTTCAGACTCAGGATCGTGTCCTCCACCCAAAATTCAATAGGCTGGAGCCTGAGAACACACACACACACACACACACACACACACACACACCAAAATCTCAAAAAACACAGTCACAGAAACACATACATACATAAAAGAGTTGAATTTCTTTGTCCAGTTTGTGTGTGTGTGTGTGTGTGTGTGTGTGTGTGTGTGTGTGTGTGTGTGTGTGTGTGTTTGCTGGCCCTCCTCTCTCCTTCCTGCTCCTTTAATATTTCATGCCTCCTCTTTGTGATCCTCCTCCAGGCCTCCCAGACCAGGAGGAACCCCGGAGACTCCTCGCAGGATGCTGGCCGCCCCCCCTCAACCCTCCAACCCGGCGCTACAGGCCCAGATCAAACAAGGTAACTACAAAAGGAGGGGGCGCTCGCTTCACACACCCCTCGGGGACCTGAGGGGAGGTTTGGAGGGAGGAGAGGCGGGGATTTGATAATGCAGCCCACCGGCAATAAAACCCACAGAGAGTTATAGAAAAAAAAGAAAATATCACAGGAGTAGGCTGCCGCTGTTTCCTCGGCCAGCAGGTCTTTGACATGAGGGTGGAGTTGTTGGAACGTCAGACCTGACTGCAGCTTTGTATCTGTTGAATTGAATTTGTTAATTTTGGAAAACAAAGAAACAGTTTCACATGTTGGGAACTACACAGTTTGACCTCAGTCTGTACTCTAAATGGGGTCATGGGGTTCTGTGCCCCACTTGGTGGAACTTTAAGGGGACATTTTGGGTGTGAGGCTGACTCGCATTCACTTTGACGACCATGGTTGTTCAGAGATTCATACTGGAGTAGTGCAGCATTGTTTTAGGGCTGCAAAACATTTTGGGGAGGAGATTAGGATGGATAGTCAACAATGTTTGTTACTTTGACACTGTTCATATTCCTTCACCGACCAACAGTCAGTGTTGGTTCAATTATTCTCTGACTTTACCCGAATAGCAAGCAGATGTTAATCATAATGGTGGCAGATAATTTTTGTAACAGTCATTTTGTAATGAGTTTTGGAAGCCAGTGACATGGTGGTTCTTGTGATAGGGCCACCAGATCAGAAAATACTCACTGGAAGGCAGGGACAAACGACCAACCAGTTAGTGAGGGGGAAATTACATATTTCCAGCATGAATCACAGGAAAGAGATTTGATTTTGCATCAAATGCCAATTTTTTACCATGGCCCTTTTGTGTCTCCTTACACCGGCAATAAAAACCCACATATTAAAAAGATGCCTCATACAGACGCTAAAGGGTACCTTGTGCTTCTGGAAGAGATGCTTCGGGCAAATGACAAAGCAGCATCGGTATTTGACATTAATGGATGAGAACATGTTGGGTATCCGTAGCCCCAACTTTATGTACAATTTTGAGGAGGCACATGTCAAGCACAGGCTCTGTAGGTATGGTGTAAGCCCATAACGCACAACCGTAAATAAAACTTTCACTTAGCTTTGAAGTAATACAATTAGAAAGAAAGAAGAATTTCACTTAGTGAAAAAAGTTTTGAGTCTTCCTTTGCAGAGAAGAATCTGCTCTGGTTCACTGTAGGGGATGTTTTAACCAGCCGTCACCATCTGCCTACCACCACACACACACACACACACACACACACACACACAGAGCTACCTACCACACTACAACAAGCTCAATACCTACAAATACACACACCAAAAATCAAGTCACACTCACACATATGCCATGGGTGGCACCCTCGGGTGTTGGGGGAGGCACGGTTTTAGTACTATTGTCACGCCTTAATGGAGGCCAAGCGTGACAAGCGTGTGGACTTATTCACGCCACACGCCTATTCACCACCATTCAGAGGGAACGCTCGGCCCTGACCTATGCTCAGCCAGCTACTCCAACCTAGTGTGTGTGTGTGTGTGTGTGTGTGTGTGTCAGAAGCTTTGTGCAGGAGAGTGCTGTTAACCCTGCTCACCGTCTCTTTTCACATGGAAATAAATGAGGAGGCCCCTCTAATTTACTGCAGCATTTACAATGAAATGAACAGGCAGTGCTGGGTGTGTGCATAAAGTTTAACACACTTAAAAACATCTCACAGTTACTATTGTACAATCATGTCCACAGTGATGCAGAAAAGGTTTAAAAAAACATCTTTATTTTTCTCGTTTCGGCCCTTTGTCCACACACTTCCAGCAGACTTCCATCCAACTATTTTGGTCTTCTCCTCTTCAGTACAACTGGTTAAACAGTACAAATGACATTAACATATTTTCCTGTTGCCATTATGACTGCAGCAGTATAAATTACGGTTGGCCTTGGTTAACAGGTTGCATTTCTATCCTCCAACTAATCACTGTTTTAATGGCACACTATAACAACATAGAATTCTCATGAGAACACAAAACTGGGTCAGTAATAGCTAGATTGTATAATCGGCTCTCCTGAAAAATAACAAATCACAGAGATGATGGTGCTCAGGTCCAAAATCAACACCCCACACACAAATGTGGGTGAATTTTGGGTTTGGCAGAAAAAATTATTTAGTTCAGCAGCCTGTCAATAATTTGGAATAACAGTATACGGCCAGGTTTACATGAAGTTAAAGAAAAAAGTTACGGAGGTCAGTAATTTTCAGGAGGTGGCCTCTGAGATTAGTTAGTTAGAAGTAATGAATTTTATGCCCGGTAAAAATATTTTTACCTGCCATTGGCAGATGAGCTAAAAAGTTGGACCCCAATGGTGCTGTTCTATATTCATGTGATGCTGATGTTTCTCTCCAGTAAACTGTGTTCGAGTGTAATTTCAGTGTGGAAAATAACATTTTATGTGCATAATTTTGGGGACTCAAGAAGTAACAGTTAATAATAACTGATTCCTCATGTTCGATAGGAATATTAAAGTGTCATCTGTATATAGGATTATTTTATATTTTAACTATCATTATCCAAGCATTTTTTTCATTGTCTTAGCAGCTTAACCAGCTAATCAAGCCAATCTCCTGACATGTTTTCTGATCTTACTTAATTAAAGCCCCAGGATTGTCATAATTGTACAAAGTTATACTACTTTTAAAATATTACTTTCATCCTTCGATAAAGCCAGTTTGGCCTCCTTCGGTGATCAAAATCGGTTAAAAAGAGAATATAAAGAGCTACAGACCTAAAGACACACTCAACATTCACTCTCTTAAAGATATTAATTTACTTATTAATAAAAACATCATACATTTCTTTACATTTAACAAATTGTACACATTGATGATTTGTTTCAGGCGCAATGTTTTTTTTTTTCAGGGTTAAAAGCTTTGAGCTTGAACCTGCACCTCGGAGTAAACTTTACATGGTCAAAAACAGCATGCTTGGACCCAGGCCCAGAAAAAAAAAAGTATAATCATTTATGGAAGAGAAGCATTAGATGGGAAAGAATGAGTGTGCTCTACATACATGTTGGTGGTTTTGGATAGTTTGGGAAAATATTCAATATAATAAGGAATTTTAAAGCTCCCTAAGTTTGTCATGGTTTAATATTTAATTGCAATAGTTAAAACTAAACTGAATCTCGTAACGAGTTTTCCATCTGCTATTCCTAAGGTAACATGATTACCTTTTTTATAATTCCTTAATTTTACTACTTGTCAGGCACTAAATTATCAAGTTAGAATAGGTATCAAAGTATCATCTGCATATATGATTATTTTATAAGGTAACAAAGCCTTTTCTAAAGGGATTTAGAGTAGATGATGCAAAACGTAAAATGATCAATTACATTTAACCTCCTCATACAGCAAAATTTCATTCGAAATATTTGGTTTTTCCACACCAAAGCTGACAAAGTGCTGTTGACTGCCCTCAGCCATCTTCTCTGTCTATCTTTCAAGTTCTTTCTCTCCCCCCTCTGTTTCTCTCCTTTTCTTCCTCTTTTTGTCTCTCTTTTCATCTTCACACTGTTGTTCACTGCATGGCTTCAGCCTGCTGCCTGTTCTCTAGAAAAAACCCGTTCCACAAACAATCTCCCTCTTTAGTATTTCTTTATAACTTTCATTCAGTCTCTTGTTTGTATTTGTGCATGTTTCTTTCACTATTTCTCTCCTTTTCTAGTTTACTTCTCTTCTTTACCACCAACTAATGTAATGTTGCTGTACCTGTTTTCTCTGTTGTGTGTGTGCTCTATGTTTTCTCTGTGGTATTTGGACTATTTTATAGTAAGGTGGTTTTTAAATTTGTACCTGTTGCATTCAGCTGCCTAGCTACTTTTGTGTGAACGATAAGGGTGCTGTCCATGACTGTATTCAAATATAAAATATATTTTAAAACATTTTTAAAGTTATTGTATATTATATGTGTAAGATGTGATTTTACTTTTGTGTGAAAAGCTGGGTTTTTTTCTCAAAAATACTCAAATCTCAAATGGGTTCAAATCAGAAACATAATCATTTGATCTTCACAGTGTAAAGGTTTCGGGTTTCTGACTCTAGCACAAAGAAACACAAAATCGATATTGTTATTACAATTTGAATCCGCACATATTTTTACTTGCAGATAGATTGTTTTTGCAGACATGTTGGTCATCCTTTTTTGAGACAAGGTTCATGCTCTTTTTAAAATTGTTTCTCATGAAAACAGGTTGATAAAATGATAATGCCACCGTCTGAGTCCTTCATGTCCCGGTCTAGGACTTTTCTTCAGCTTTGTTTTTTTTTTTTGTTGGTTGTAGTTGGTCTTCATCTCCAAACTAACAGCTGATTTTTCATCTCTTCACAAAGCGCTTGCTGGGAAATGAAGTGTCATCTTTGTTTTGATTTTACATTTATGTGCCTTTTATAATTATATCATTATCAACCCCAACTTACACTATTACTCCTAGGTAGTTTGAACAGTAATAATCGACTGCTAATAAATACTTATACTTACTGTCCTAATAGCACTTAGTGTTGTACTTGTGTATGTTTAGGGGGAAATCTGACAATCAGAGGAAACCAGCTAATTCCTAACATTAGTTGATTAAATGGATTAACATACATCCGTTTGTTGTAATCCTTTGATTTGGACTTTTCAGCACCTCATGAAATTTGTCCAGTGCTAACATTTAGTGCTAATGCAGTGTGTAAAATGAGGGTGTGGAAGTCAGGATGGATGTTATCTTAACGTGTCTGACTTTCATCTAGGAGACTGCAGCTCACATCCTGTCACAGACCTGCAATTATTTTCTGTTATTTTTTTTTTTTAACTATGATGTTTCCCTAACCTTAACCAGATCTTAACCATGGTTTATTCACCATAACCACTATTTTCCCCTAACTTTAAGCACATCATGGTTGCCTTGTGCAGATATTGAAGGAATTTTAAAAGCTTCGGTGCGGAACATTAAACAACTGTGCCACTGAATGTAATGCAGGTTTTTACAGAATCGTCTAATGGTAATGTTCTTGTTTTGGGTTGAGTCCAGGGCTTGTTTTGCCGTAGTTTCTTATTCATTTTTAAGACTATTTATTCCATATGGTATCCATGTTATACCTGCTTTTTTTCGAATAGGGCTTATTGAGTTTGACACAACCCATGAGTGCATTTGTGTTAAGCAAACTTTTGTGTATTTTTAATTTGTTTTTTAATACTTCTTTCCCTGTGATGGCTTCCTTTTTTCTTTGGTTTTGTATTTGTCTTTTCATTTTGTGTGTTGTAAATACATTTTCTTCTTCCCTGCTTCCTGACTACTTGTATTCTCTCGGTTGTTATTGTATATATTTATATCTTCCTAACCTATTCTTTTCTTCTTGACTATTTCTCTCCTTCTCTTCCTTTACAAGCTGCTGTAGCTGCCACAGCCAGTGCTGTTACTACTGCTACTGCTGGGGCTCCGGGGGCCCCCGGGGGCCTTCCTCAAGGGGCCCCTGGCTCCCCCAGCCCCGGCCCTGCTTCTCATAACATCCCCTCAGTCAACGAAGGTACAGACTGAACTGACGGGTACCACTTAGGGAAAGTCTTGCAGCCATACTCTTTGTTTTCAATTTCTTATCTTTGTCTTTGGAGATCTGCTTCCTAGATCTCCTTTCCTATCTTCCTTCCTTTTGTCTTTCCCTTTGTTCCTTCTCTCCTTCCCATCTGTATTTTCATATTTTTTCCCTCTCCTCCTCCCTCTTTACACCTCTCTCTTAATGCCATCACAATTCTTCACCTTCCCTGTCTTCACTCCATCAGTTATTCATCTCCCCACCCTGTTTCTCTCCTTTGCTTTCATCACCTCATTTCTCCTTTCTAGCATCAGTCTTGTTTTTTCCCGCAGCCAATGTTAGGTTTTCATCTCAGGTGTCTAGCTCCAGATTTTTTTTATCTTTGTCCTTGTTTTGGTCTACAGCTCTGTCTGTTTACCTGCCTGTCCGTCATAGCTGTGTTCAGTCCACTTTCAAAACAGTCAGCTGAAGAAACTGATAGTTTTGGGTCACCAGATTTAAATGCTGCCAAACACTTGACGTCACTGAAACTGTGATTTGATTTGGTCATTGGAAATTAAATTAACCTTGCAATATTTGCAAGAGGTAGCAGTTTTCCTTGCTCCCCAACAATCTTCTAAAATATGGACAATTGAAAGATGGTGCATAAAATAATCCAGTACAAAACCAAGCACCAGTTTAAAAAAAAAAACCTGACCACAATAATCATAACAAATACGCCACTGGAGGCTGTTGGAATTCTCTAAAATGTAAGCAATTGTTTTTTTTTAAACCCAAGTTAATTAAACTGGCAGGCACCCGGGATGAGTTTTCTAGGGCAGCAAAATTTGATGAGACAAAGAGCTGTGTCATCTGCAAACAAGAGGACTTTTCTGATTTGATGTATTTGAGAGTGCATTGACCACAGTACCAATTCCCTTGTCTTTTGTATTTTTTTTAGTTGTTGGCAGTATTGTGCAAATCCTACCCTGTTTTTTCTGTCTCTAAATTTACTTGTCTGTCTGAATGTGTCCATGTGTCTCGATGCTTTAGTGTCTCTGTGCTCACTGTTTGCATGCTTGCTATTTCCACCTGATGGAATGGGGATTGTGTCACTGGGGGAAAAAAACTATTTGACCAGACTAAATTTAAAACAGTCTAATTGACTGAAATTTTCCCTTGTTTGACATTTAGCCATTTTCACTTCCATCTTATTCTGTACTCATAAACCTTTAAGAGGGATACATTGCAAAAGTTGTGTTTTGAAGTCAAAAAAGAGAAGACTGAAAGTTTTCTGTATCAATCATTTTAAGTTTTACTGTAAATTACCTAAAGTGTAATCATTGTAACTTACAATTGGATTCCTTCCTGGTGTCCCTCACAGAACCGAATGCTGGTTTTTATTTTTAATACATTTTTATTTTAACAGGATGTTGGCTTTTACCATGGAGGCTTGTTGCCCCATTCACCCAATGAATATGCTCTCAATTTATTTAAACTCTTCCACATTTGTGGTTTCTATAGGAAAAATAAAGTGCCTTTCAAAGTTTATAACCTTTAGTTTACAATTTTCACAGACTAAACCAAGTCAGGATTATTTTTCATTTAGTTTTATAGTGGGAAAACAGCAAGCTTGCACACAGATGCTCATCCTTCCCAGTAGGCCACACTAGGCCAAAAATGTAGAACTAAAATTCCTTCTAATTTTCTGTTGGAATAAACAGCAACTGTAAGCAAAATGTAGAGCTTTTGTATTATGTTTATTCCCACAACACTGACCTGCAGAAACCTTATTATCATTGTCAATGATTTAATATTGTCATTATTTTTAGTAGTAGATTCAGGAATGGTTAGTAGAGGTAGTAGCAGCAGCAATGATGGGAAAGAAAGTCTGCATGTTTTCTGCTCCAGCCACTTGGGATAGTCTACAGAAGGAATTCAAAGCAACATGTAAGATTTGGGGTTTACAGTTTCAGTTAAAGTTCCAGAGTGCAGTTCACTTATACACCACTGTTGTGAATATGAACACGTGCATTTGTTATGATTACTTATGATAAAAAACTAGCAAGTCAACTGCTTTGCTAACACAGCCAAACATCAAGTAAGTGCGACAAGACATAGCAAGCCAGCTAATATTACTTACTAGTCCAACAGGAAGAAAGCCAGCTCACCCTCTGTCTACAGCCTTCACCAATCTCTCAACAACGGCTCAAAAGCTAGTCTGAAATTGGTCACTTTATATTTTGCTAATCTTAGCATATTCGCCAATGCCGCAATGTCCGTAAAGGATGCTGAGCCCTGTTTCATTGCCTCTTGCCTGAAAACCTCCTCCTGGTGGTTCAAAGCTCCTGTGCTAGTGGTGTAAACCCCGGTGGTCTAACATTAAGCTCCCAGTCTGGGTAGTAGGGGTAAATAACCTACATAGTAACAGCGTCTACATTTTAAGAAAAGGTTACCTTACTGTCCATCAGGATACTGTAAATCACCGAGAGTTAAGGCGGTGGACAGAAAATATGATCCAATTTCACCAAAATCAGTGACATATCTGGTGCTGTGTGACTAAGTGCTGTAAAGCGTTACGCACCAACAAAGTTACATAATACAGGAAGAGGCATATGGGGTGCTGAATGGGAATGACAGAGGCACAATTCACCCTACTACAAGTCAGTGTAGCATTACAATAATTTGAAGCTGTTATTTTGAGGTAGAAAAGTTACATAATGTTGCTTTAATAAATACAGAATGTGTTTAAATTCTGATATCTCAAAAATAATTTTTAAATGAAAGTTACTTTTAACAGCATTAACAGTAAAAGTAATAGCAGAAGCGGCTGTTAGCAGCAACAGCAGTAGTGGAAACACCAACACGAATAGCTGTTCTTAGCAGCAAAAGTAGTAAATGTAGTTTGCTGTAAAAGTTATACACACCCAAATATACGGTATGGTAAGGAAAGCAGAAATCCAAAAGCGTGGCTCTAAAGAAAGGCTATCATTTAACATCAACTTGATTTCAACACTTACAGCAGTAGCTTGTAGATTCTCGTGAAATGTTGAAGCATGGTCTGCCGTATCATATTGGTATCATGACCCATCTTCCGTTTAGTAGCTCAAGAAAAAATACGAGATAGCAGAGGAGCTTCCTGTGTCAGAAGGTGACCTGAATAGGTTTCCGTTCTTCCTCAGTATGAGTTTGCTTCACTGTTTGAGGCAGAAAATTAGGGACCAGTCTGAACAGAGAATAAGGATTTAATTAAAAGTATTGATAGTGGTGGTGGAAGGAAAAGTTTTGAATTTGATTTTAGGAACTAATGTAATGAAATGATTCCAATTGATGTTTTTTACATTTGAGGTTTCTGCAAGACAGTGTTGCCAATGTAACTAGAGGTTGACTGATTATTCTTTTCTGATAATACTGAGACAGTTTTGCTTATTGGTGGATAAGAAAGATGTCAACTGTTTGTGTGTATGTTTTTTGAGATATTGATTACCACAAATCTGTCAACCTCTACATAGAATATTCCTGAATACACAGTCTGTTTGTAATACACTTAACAGTTTGAGTTTTCCCTGTGTATTTCAATGGCGGAGGTAAGTTTACATGGTGCCCTAGGCAAAGAAATTTGTATGGAATTTCTTTCCTGCTTAAACGCAATTCAGTGTCCATTCAAGTGCATTTCACATACATGCATCTTTCCTGGAAACCATATATTGAACCAATATATGTGAATGAGGACCTTGGTTTATGTTGAGTATCCGCGAATAAACATTTCAGTCCATTCTCCGTCACAGACATGTACAAACTGGTGTACATTTCTCTCGTGTTTGGTGTAAAATATAAATATGTGCCATTGTTTTGGCTCAGACTGATACAGCCGGATTTGAGCCCTGTTAAAGCGATACCAAGACATTTTGAATGTTACTTTTCTTCATCAGTCACTCAGGATAATGCAACTGAGAAAAAGAGTTATGCACCTATGTCATTTATTCTGAAAACCCACAAGGTTTCTTAAAGTTTTTCTCTATTTTTCAAGTAAAATCTCCCACACATTGTACTGTTCCTGAATGAAATGAAACACGCTTTCATCATGCCAAGGTATCGTTGAGGCTTTTGTCGATCCACCTGGCAGTGCTGTATATCTGTTGTTTACCTGTTTAATGCCATCAAACATACTCAGGCTCTGGTTAGCAGAAATAATAACTTTGCTCTAACCAAGACTGCGAATATTAGTCAATAATATTCCCGTTCTGTATTTTACTGTTGGTGTGTGAGGACTGTATAAAGTACAAAGTCAAATTATGTGAAGTGTGTGTGTGTGTGTGTGTGTAAGGATGTGAAAACCTTACTGCTGTTGTATGGAAACACATTTTTTCAGCCTTAAGAGGAACATTTTTTAAATGCGAATAATTTAACTGTATGGGAAATGTGCTAATTTCCTTTTTTGTAACTTGAAAAGAAGTCATACTTGATTGAGATCAGTCTTGGTCTGCAGTGTGTTCAAGTGAAACTTTTAACAAAAGATGTAAAGAGACGCAAAGTGTTTGCCAGCACTTTCCACCATGATTGTGGTATCAGGTGGTTTATCTAAAACCTCGGCCCATTAACAAGCGATCTTTATAAACACTGACCAGAATTCCAGTGAAATTGTTTGTGGATATTGGTCCCCAGAGGAATCGTAGGTATTTTGTCACCACTTAATCTCTGACCTTGAAATGGTGCTCGTTTTTAAAAACAAAATTTCCTCATCAAAAAACACTACTGGCGTTAACACTCAAAAACAAGCGACATCATCAGCATTTTGCATTCAGTTCGTTCTGTCTCAACACTTTCAAATTGTCTGGTTAACAAAACAAAGGTTTTTATGTGACAGCAGTGAGGTTTGTGTGGGAGCACGTGACAGTTTTTGAAATATAGGACCATCCACTGGCCCTCCCTGCAGTCTTTTCTGACTGTGTGTGTGCGTGTGTGTGCGCAGGATGGAGCCAGCTGGCAGCCATGCACTGTGTGATGCTCCCTGACCTCCTGGGCCTGGACAAGTTCAGACCTCCTCTGCTGGAGATGTTGGCGAGAAGATGGCAGGACCGCTGTCTGGAGGTAACGCACACAGAGACCGTATGCACATCTCCATGCTAATGCTGCATTCACCTGGGTTCAGACAGACGGACAGCACCTCCCTCACAGCACAGAAAAACAAAAAAACATTCCAATGATATGGTTTTATACATGCATGACAATATGTTGCTACGGTGATTGTCATGATGATGAATGTATTGGTTAGAATAATATTAGTTTATACATGTTTTCTCCTCGCGTGAGGGACATGTGGTTTTGAATTCCGTCAGGTCAGATATTTTCACTTTACATGACAATGCTGTCTACCATTACCGCTGCCAGTATTGTCTGCCGGCCTCACCTAATTTTAACATCCCGCTCCACTAACATGACATCAGGTTTGCTGTCAACTGTTTGCCTGAACCCATGTGAATGCAGCATAAGGCTTCCAGGTTAACCCTGTCTGCTAAGAATGACTTTTATGTTACTCAGAAACATAATGTAGACCTGGAGTACAAGATGAGGAAACAAAATGTTATAAATATGAATGTTTATATTGAAATAAATTGAAATAAATGTAAAAGAACCCAACTTGACGTCTAACATGGCTGCTCACTCGAAGACCCGCTATAGAGCACTGAAGAATAATGATCAGAATAGTCATAACTCGACTCTTTGCTGTTTTAGGTGCGAGAAGCAGCACAAGCTCTCTTATTGGCTGAGTTAAGAAGGATTGGCCAATCAGGACGTAAGGACACCATCGACATGTGGGCTCCCTACCTGCCTCAGTATGTGGATACTGTCAGCTCCCGTAAGTACCTTACGCTACTTTATTTCTGAGAGAAAGAGAGACAGAAAGAAACCAGTTTTTCTGTTGGTTCTTGGTGGTTTTTAATGTCACACAATGACAGTATTTGTTTACAGCTTTTTATTTCGGAAAAACAGCTGAATTTTTTTTCATGAAAATGTATCTCAGAATTGTGAGATAATTAACCCATTATTTTAGAAAACATACAGAAAAACAGGGCAAATATTTAGTTTTCTAAGTGAATGCAATACACGTCTATCCCCCATATAGCCATCTGTCTATGGATACATATTCTCTATCCAAACCTTTTTTTCTCTCAGTCCGTCTTCTGTATTTTCCCTGGTCTCTCCCCCTGTCTATAGTTAGACCTGCTGATGGGAAGAAAGGTGAATCTCCACCTTCTTTTACTAGAAACAGCCTTCTAAAATGGTGTGTGTGTGTGTGTGTGTGTATTCGGGAGTCGCCCTGTGGTTGGTGAGGATGCTGGGGGTTTCTCAGGGGAACTGTTGCCATGGAAACGGGCACCGGTCAGTGTTGTGTTACCACAGCAGTACCGCAGGCGGGGGGAGGGTGTGGGGAGGGAGTGATGGGCCGGTGACCTCGGGGGAACGAGGGAGGATGGAGGGGGGAGGGAACAGAGACAGAGAGAGAGAGATAGAGCGAGGTTAAAGGGTCATTGAATTTGATCTGTGTGCTGCACAGCAGGACTGGAACAGACAGTAAGATGACTCCTGCTGGTCCTGAAAATCCTGGAATATCATGGGAAAGTCGGGAATGTGTTGAATCCTCTGGAGAAGTTCTTCGAACTTGAAGCTGTACTTGGGGTGTGTGTATTGTGAAACACAGAATATGTCATTTCCAGACATCGTGGACTCAAAACCATCCTTTTCCCTTACTGTAAAACAGGGTGCGTCAACCTTCTCTGGTCTGGGACCCCATGTTTTGGTCCCAAAATTCTAGTACACCCCCCCGTCACATAAAAACTGCTGGTCTACTTTTGCCCTGAAGCGAACCAGCACTAGCAGCAGTAACATTGCTCGAAGCTTCGTATTCGAAGGTTAAACGTGTTGTCTCTGTATCACAAAGCGTAGTGTCCGAGGTCCACAGGGCTCCAATGAATCTATTAAGAGGAGGGTGACAGATATTTTCCCCTAACGTTAAGACCAGGCCTGTTTTTAGTCATTGTTTTATTACATCAACACTAACATTTTTAGCTTGTTCACTAACTGGGAATTCACTTCAGACGTTCAATGTCACTATTGTGAAAGCTCTACTGAAGCATCCATCCATTCAGTCCACAGCAACTCTGACCTCCATTACAGCTTCATTGTTCTCAGAGGCAGCTGTACACAGCACCTGAGGAGCTGAGAGGACAGCGGCAGGACTAATTGTCTTCACCAGGCAGAGAAACGTCGAACATTTACTGCAAAAAAAATAGTTAGAAAAATAGGCTTCGTAAGCCTTCATCAATCATTAGAGATATATAAGTTAATAAGTCCACTACACATAGACAGCAGGAGATTTGTATTATTTGAGCAACAAAACAAAAACAAAAAACCATAGACTCAGAAAATTGTAATTGTATTTATCCTCTCACTCAGATCGCCAACATAAACCTGACTATTTAGTTTGAGACTTGACTGTTGGTAGGATAAGCTGCGCAGTGTGACACTTTAAAGTGGGTTTACCAGACGCAAAGTGGAAGGGAAAAATGTTTTAAACCCTCCAGTTAAGGCATTTCAGCCATGGCAGTCAATCTATTGTGGCTGAACCTGTTATTGGTTCATGGGAATAAACACTCTGGCTTGTTAGGACCAGGGTGCAGCGACGGTGCCCTTGCCAAACAGTGTCAGGAGGACTTGTTTTGGTTGAACATTTGCATATGGGGGGACAACTGCTAGCTTGTTTACATTTGTACCAGGTTAGGGTTAGGGTACTCATTCGGTATTCAGTAGGTTGTTAGCACAGAGGTTGTTGTTGTTTCACGTAGTGGCAGGGAAGGACACTTCCTATGGGGCAGACTACACCATACTATATACTGTACTGTACATTGCAACACTTCTCACACACCCACTCCTTCTACCCACAGTGTCCTTCACATGGGGGCAATGAGTGTAACATAAGTGCAGTGATAGGACTTATTTCTCACTGTTGACACTGTCATCAAATAGTCTCTCTCTTGCTCTCCCTCTCTCTCTATCTCTCGCTCTCGCTCTATCTCTCGCTCTCTCCAGCAGCAGAGTGGTTGCTGTTTGAAGGAAGTCACCTGTATTTATCCATTAGCTTTTAGTGCTGAGGAAATGTCACAGAGTCAGTGACGGAGTCCCACTGTCGCAGCGTGGGGCTGATGACCACACAACACACACAAACACATACACAAAGCAGTGCCTATGACCTTTCAGCTCTCCTGGAAGTGTTTAAAAGGCTTTAACACAAAGGAAACAGGGCGAACTGGAGTTGTTAACCTGCCCTTAGAGAGAGAGAGAGAGAGAGAAAGAGAGAGAGAAAAGTAGTGTCTACTCCGTCTCCATCGTCACTCCTGTGTCTAATGTCAATTTTTTTTTTTTACCTTAAAGGAGCTGGTCAAACTTTCTTATTAGCTTTGATTAGAGTGAGATGAGGACATTGACAATCTCATGTTTGTGTGTTAAGTATGGAACTGGACTAAGGACATGGTTAGTTTAGCTTAGCATTAAGACCATTAACATACATTAGTGGACAGAGCCGCCAATGCGAAGTACCTTAAACCCGCATTCTTTCTAATGGCCAGCAGAGGACAGCTCCACTGGCTGCAAGAAAAAGTCTGATAGTATTGAGCCTTATGGAGAAATGAGCCTTTCCGACTTGATTTATTGGCTCAGTTTCCTAATGAGTTTATAGTCTCAATCTCTAGTTTCAAAACCTTTTCCATACATTATTGTGTACGTAAATGATGGTTCCATTCAGAATAAAATAAATGATAAAGCAGGGTATGATTTTGGGCGTGGATACCTTGGGACTGACAAGTCATTCTTAGTGAGTCAGTCCAGCTCAACACACCAACCTCAGATAAAACTGGCATCGCTGATCAAATATGAATCAAAATTCTGTTACGGCGTTGCCCATTTCTCGCTTAAACTATTTCCGAAACCTATTATGTTGCACTGTTATAATACTAGAATATGTGTCCGCCATTGTTTCCTGCTACGAACGCGTTGAAACCAAGCACAGCTAATAACCTCAACTTGCAGTATGTCAATGCTTATGGCTACAAACTAAACTTGCTGCTCTAGGTTCACACCTAGGTTCACACTTGCATAGCTCTGTTTAAAGTTTAAAAATCAACTTCCAACACCTCTAAAGCTCCGAACACCAAACTGTTTCTTAGCAAACAACAGCCAGGAGCAGCGACCGTATCTTGGCACCCTGTGGTAACTGAACATGCTGCACAGAAGCACTAACAAACAATAAAACCTGAGTGTGAAGCTTTAATCTTTGGGGTGGAAGACTTCCAGAGCAGCAGGGAGGGGGACAAAAGGGAGCAGTGGAGGCCCGGGAGAGAGGCTGCGAGGCTGGGCAGGGAGAAAGAGTCCACCTGGTGGGGGTGTGGGGGGGCTGGATGGATAGAGAGGGGCTCTACACACACTTTACACTCTCATATTCACACACACTTGATTAAACAAAGTCCCCAGCATTGTTCACACTCACACACGCATGAACACACACAGTTTTAAGGGTCAAACTGTGTGTGTGTGTGTGTGTGTGTGTGTGTGTGTGTGTGTGTGTGTGTGTGTGTGTGTGTGTGTGTGTGTGTGTGTGTGTGTGTGTGTGTGTGTGTGTGTGTGTGTGTGTGTGTGTGTGTGTGTGTGTGTGTGTGTGTGTGTGTGTGTGTGTGTGAAGCAGCTGTTTCTTTGATCACTGAACAGCGGTCACCATTTCCTCTCTCTCTCTCCTCTGTCTGTAGTTTATTCTGTGCCTCGATCACCCAATCCGGGCTACTCGGTAACCTGCTGCTGTTAAAGATCCGCCTCTTCCTCCTTTCTTGTCATCCTCTCCTCCTCCTCCTCCTCCTCCTCCTCACCTTTTTCTTCTTTTGCATCTGTCTCTTCAACACCTTTCCTCCTCTTCCTCCTCCCCCTCTCCCTGTCTTTCACTTCTTGACCTCGGCTCCTTTTCCTCACCTCCCCCTCTTCACCTCTTCTGCTCCTTCCCCTTCTTCTCTTCCTCCTCACTCTTCTTACTTTTCCTTCTCCAGTTTTGTTTTGTTTTGTTTTGTTTGTTTGTTTCCATCCTTTTTTTTTTTTTTTTACCCTGCCTCCTTTCTGTCTTTCCTTTCTCCCTTCTTTGCTGGGTAGCCTTAATTTCTCCTCTCTATATATGTATCCTCTATATGTTCTTATATAATATCATATTCTATGAAGCCACTTTTGTTAAAATCTATATAACAATAAAATAAAAACTTTAAAAATGTAAAAAATAAGTGATGAAAATTTAACATAAAAACGAACATGGCAGGAGTGGCAGACACTGAACAGGTCAGAGGTTTTAATCATATAGAAAAATGATATTAGCCTGATACATATCTGAAATATGTGGTGGGAAGTTTTCAATTTCAATTTTACACATGCTAAAAAGAAAACTTTTAGTAGGGGAATTTTACAAGAAAAAACATGAAATAAAAATGTTCCATTAAATATTTTAGCAACAGTTCTGAAAATTAACGTTGCAATAAATAATATAAACACAGAAAAGAAACAAAAGATCAAAAAAAGAAATTGAAGCTGAAAGAGAGCAAGGAAGAACAGGAAGTACGCGTTTTAAACTGGAGGAGAGAGAGAGCAACAGACAGAAGACAGGAGCATGAGATCCTGGAGGTTAACAAGGCATGCTGGGAGCTATGTGTCATGGCTGACATGACAAGCTTGACCTTGGAGCAGGGCGGAACGCCTTCTCCTCCTCCTCCCCTACTCCCCCCTGTCATCTGCCCCTCCTCCACCTCCCTCTCTCCTCTTTTTTCCTTCAGCTCCTACATCTCTCTCTCTCCCATTCCCTCACCATGAACAGTTGAGTTATAGGCCCAGCCTGTGTGTGTCTGGGTGTGTGTGTGTCTAAGATAAACCACCATGAACAACACAGGCAGACCAGAATTAGACAAATCTGCACAGTGGTTTATTTTATAGCTCATCCACAGCAATCTATCAGTAATGTACAGAATATTGGTGCATTGTGCACCTCACAGTTTACATCAAGTGCTGCAGCTGGAGGTAGTATATCCTTTATATAGGCAGGTGGAAAGTGATTTGAGTGTTTTAGATGCTTAACCCTAGCCATACCTTAACAATTTGCAGTAACTGACATTTTTCCCTAACCTTAACCACATCGTAGTTGCCGTGCACAGATATTGTGAGAAGAAAAATGAAAATAATTTCTGCATTTACCGTAATCCTGGCCAATTCGGTCCTGCATGTGGTCAGGGTTCGGCTACTAAAAACCTGATTGGATTGAGCGAGTTCTCAGCTGAAACGATGTATGTACGAGTACCATCAGAGTAAAATGTGTGATTATCCGTACCTAAATATAGTCCTCAATTTATCAGTCAATCCAGATCAATTTCAGGCTTTAATGAACAACTTCCTGTTTAAGCACTGCCCATGTCCACTTTACACCCTGCTCATTCTGAGTACAGATACTAGTACAGATAATTTAGTTGGTTAAACAGATAGAGATAATGGCATGCTCGCTCATCCCTACTAAAATCACGTGCTTTGGGTTGTAAAATAAAAGCATGTATCATGCTTTAGGTGCCAGGAGTAGATATTGTAGGAAGAGAAATAAAATACATGGTCAGTGAACAGGTACCTTCATTAAAAACATTCAGAGCACAAAAAGCTTGAAAATGGGGAGCAAAAGGCAAAGGTACAAGACTGCGTACATAACTATTTTAAGAGTGAATGAACTACTCATCCCATAAAGCATTGGTTGAGAGCGATAGTGTTTATGTAGAAACATCAGTTGGTCTTTTTGTCCAATCACAGCGAAGCATCAGTTATGTTTTAATTAAGTTCAATTAAGTTTTTATCACTTTTATCGTTTGAGACGGATAATCAACAACCATGCTGTGTATCGGCCTTCTGTCAGTGTGTGTGTGTGTGTGTGTGTGTGTGTGTGTGTGTGTGTGTGTGTGTGTGTGTGTGTGTGTGTGTGTGTGTGTGTGTGTGTGTGTGTGTGTGTGTGTGTGTGATATAAAGCTGTACAGGGTCATTATGTTGAGCTGTCAGCAGTGTGTGTGAGCAGGTTAATTGGAACATGGAGCACAATGTTAACCGGGATTAATCAATGTAATTACACAGTGTAATTACAGTTTTTTTTATTTTATTGGTGCGTTCAGGGTCTCCTTGTGAGCTTGTGTGTGATGGTTGTGTTATTGCTGTTATCTTTTTTGAAATTAGCTTTTTTTGGCTGATGTTTTCTCACACAGGGACACACTGTGAGACTGTGTGTGTGTGCGTGTGTGTGTGTGTGTGTGTGTGTGTGTGTAATTCATTAATTAGGCTGTTTTCCCAGAGATTAGCCCAGTGTAGGCTCTGTTACCTTTAGTCGCTTCATTCATTAGCGCAGCATCATTCATTAACCCAGCTGCTAATGAAAAGCCACTCTTAATTGCCAATGAAGAGATAAGGGCTAAATGAAAACACTAAATATAGAGAGGGCAGCTGTGTGTGTGTGTGTGTGTGTGTGTGTGTGTGTGTGTGTGTGTGTGTGTGTGTGTGTGTGTGTGTGTGTGTGTGTGTGTGTGTGTGTGTGTGTGTGTGTGTGTGTGTGTGTGTGTGTGTGTGTGTGTGTGTGTGTGTGTGTGTGCATTAATTCTCTAGATAACGAGGAGGCCCAATAAACCTTTATTAGCTGCTTAACCAGGACAGTTAGCCTGATAATGAGGATCAACATCAACTGTTTATCTCTCTCTCTCTCCTCAGCTGGGTCGACCACTGAGCCCTCCCCTCCAGCCCCGCCTCCTCCTGAGGCTCAGCAAATAGAAACCAAGGTGCCTGAGGAGGAAATGGATGTCACGGATGATGACATCACAGCAG